GGCTGCAGTTGAACTTGTATTCAGAGTACAGCTACTTTCGCCATTGCAAACGCTTCGGGATCAGTGTCGACTCAGGACTCCCGAATGACAGTCTGCCTAAACAAAGTCAGTGTAGCGGAGCAGGATGTGTACATATCGTCGGGGCTTTGCTTCAACTGCACACCGTGTAGTTACTACACATCCCACCCCCAGGCCTGCATGTTTCAGAGCAAAGTTAAGGAGTCCGGCAGTGGCGTCCTCAGCAACGCGGCGTACACGTTCTCATCGTGAAAGCAGACTAAAGGTGTGCCACGGGTTGCGATACATCAGACTGTGAAACACATGAGTACACTACCATTAAGGACTGTCATGTGCTGTTCGTGTGACCACGCGACTCATCTACCCGGAATGTGAATGATTTGACAGGCAGCACTGCTTTCTCTTCGAAATGTGAAACCTTAAGTTGGAGAACCAATTTGGTTCATTCCTGGAAGCGGCTCCAGGAACAATTGTTATATCAACTGCTCCCATGACGCGTGAGCACCTGTTCCTTCGGGTTTGCAGATTGAAATGTCAACCTCCAGGCGGACAAGTGTGGGAGCGGCGCCTATAATATCTACTGTACGCCAGGCCTGCGTTGAGAATTATGACCCGAGCGTGTGTGATTGACCATTCACCGGCATCAATTTCAAGGCGGCATTGGAAGAAATGCACCCGATTCCCAGAGATTGCCATTTGATGCCGTACGCTTGCTCCTCGCAAAAGGGTTGTCTCGACGCCGTTCGCTTGCTCCTGAGCTCTCAGGCCTAAGTTCTTGCAAGAAGTGAAAAGGGGTTCAAAAACAAGCTGCATCCTCACGACACTAACGACTGTTGACAGATTCACTTGAAAGGGACCGCGTCCTGCGCGCATGGACAGGGGCCTTCAGACTAGGTTGAGAAGGCTCTTTGTGTGACGATGAGATGGCGGAAGAGGAGTGTCTTTTGAAGGAACACACACCATTCATCTCCACCCACGATCGTCCGCTCCTGATGGCCAATGCCAAAAAGAAAACTTGAACGGCGAAGGGCGTATACAAGCTTGCAGCTTCGTTACACAATGAGGAGACAAGCCCAGAGTCGGACCGCGGTGTTGGCTGACTGGTTTTGGGATGCATGTCCAGCTCGAACAACTCCATCATCGACTGTTACCGCCAAGCGAGCAATTTGCAGCACGTCTAATAATGCGCAACTATTTGACACGCACGAATGCTGCCACTCGCAGCGATACCCGCTAGCCTTGTTGCTGGTACAGCCCCCTTCCGCATGCGTCCATGCTCTTGCCGCTTGATCCAAACACCCCAACCGTCAAGACCTTCTCTATTCCTTCAAGCAATGTACGTATCGTACGATCCTCCACCAATGTTCGCCAGCAAGATAGCGCTTCGTCGGCTCGGCGGCTCAGTGGGCGGCATGGCGTGTGGCTCAGCGGGTGGGCGATCTTTATTGTTGGGTAACACGGGCTGGAAGAGTCCATTTGCCTTGTTCTGGAATGTCGTGGGGGACATGTCCTCGGCGCTGTGTAGCGCATCGTGGTTGGGCTTATCTTAATGACTAGTGAAACTAGAGCTGGTGAGCTTTTCGGTTTGCAGCTGATGTATGTTCTTTCCACCGGGTCCTGTAGGAGCGGGTGAGAGGAAAGGGCATCTGTCAGTGCTGATGAGCTTTTGACAGAACGTGTGCATATGCGATCCACGATAAAAGTGGCGCTTTCAACCTCATATAGCAGCCGATGTAGTTGCTAGTGCCTTGCTGCGCGGGGACCTTGCCGTCTGGACCGACGGGCCCCACAAGATGTAGGCGGCTGAGAATTGCGACATGCGTTGAGAGTGTCAATATAAGAAAGGGAAGAGCAGCGAAAGGGCAAGGTACGACAATCCATGGTGGACGATGCATGAATATCGATGATGACGCATGACGATGATGAGATCCATGCCATAGACTGTGCAAGGACTCACAGCTTGGGAACAGCCTAGCTAGCATGTCCGACTCAGAAAATGGGAGGAGCAAATGCACCGGCGCACCAGACGAGGGCGCAGAGCCACAACAGGAGAAAGACACGCTAGTTCCTCGAGGCTTTGACCGACGGTATCTTGCAAATACGGGCTTTGTGGGCAAACTGGATCAGCCAGCAACAGATGGACGGAATAGGGAACGAGGGGACGAGAGATTGAGGTGTGCAGGGTAGAACAGCCCGGCGGGTAGCTGCTTCTGGGAAGGCAAGCTTGGATCAAAATGGTTTTCGGGAAGGGGGTTAATGAATATAGAAAATCAGACTGACGCCTTATGTATGTGCTTTTGGGCAGTCCACTGGCAGACCTTCAACTTTCCATCAAACCACATCCCCGAGTCGTGCAGGCAATGCTCCTGCATCAAGAGAGCTGGCCGAAGTTCAGCCCCAGCGCGTTGCTGCTGCTGTGAGACTTTGGACGTAAAGGGCACATCATGCCAACTTTGGATAATCAAGCATCCCATGGGGAGACAGTTTGGAGCTCCATCCGCGTCTCCCGCTCAAGGACGGCCGGAAGCACAGAGGACAAAGAGAGACGGACGGTCCATTTCGCCCTGACTTTACTTCTGTCAGTTGGATTCCAATGTTTTCTACTCTCTTCTCTCTAGTGCTGTTTGGACCAATGCAAGGTCCACATTTTCGATGCGGAAGCTGAGACCGTCTTGGTGCATCTGCGATAGCAAAAAGCGAGATGGATCACCCTCTTTGTAGCACACGCTACTTGCATGTTGTGATGAACATCCGATCCACATTGAAATGTAGAAACACGTTCAGCATAATAGAAAAGGAAACATGTTCGCATCGGAAAGGAAATACTGGAAATACTCATTTGCATTTCTAGTCTGCATCAAGAAATTATAGATCTCTGCCACTTTCCGGTTCCTTGATGCTAGACGGCTCAGTAGTGTTCACTTTTCGTGTGACAGCACTCGTTGCCACCACTCGTCCGGTGAGCATCAAGTGGCGCAGGAGCTAGCCATCTTGCAGGAACCATCGCTGGGCGCATCGCTCGCAATGACGTCCGTTCCAGATGCCAATGGCGACCAGCCGACCATTCATGGCGATCGGCGATCAAAAAAGGCTCGTGGGAAGCAAAAAGGCGCAAGGGCTTCTACGCAAGTACCTGAAGACATCAAATTGCTCGTACGATCGTTGGAAACCGCAGGGTGGGTCTTTCGGTCACGCTAGGATGGGGGCAACATTAACCAACAGAGGGCAACGTTTCTTTTTGTAGATCTGTTTCGGCGCTCCGAGCTCAGCTAGGATCTTGCATAGATTTGATCAGCAGTGCTTCTGATCTTGCCTCAGCCCTTCAGGCCTTGGTAACATGGGCAAATCGAATGAAAACCTACGCCGTCGAAGGGCTTCTCACGGACGATGAGCAAGAGCGATTGTGCGACGTTATTTGGGAAGCATTCGACGCGCCGCAACCTTACATCGCCCCTCTCGCCAAAAGCCTCTTGGTTGGCTTGCTAGATTCAATTCTCTCATCTCCTGATGCTGAGCCACCTCGTTGTCGCTTGCTGGACCTGATCATATCGCGGAGTCTGACCAATATCTGGCGCAAGAAGGCAATCTTCGCGTTTGAGACGTTGCACGAGCGCTACGGCACTGGCTTTTTCTTCAACAAAGAGCTCATGGGACTTGACTCGATCGGTAACATCTACTCAGGGCTCATGCAGGCGCCTAAGGGCCTAGAGAGTAGCAGCAGACGTAGAGCAAATATCGCCATCGCCATCTTGCAAGAGGATGCAAAAAGACTAGGGCTCATTCATTGCAAGGGCAATCTTGTCTGTGAAGGAACGGAGAGATCTGTCCTACAGAGAAAATGGGATATATGGTGCAGTCACTGGGTTGAGCCGTTGAGCTTCGTGCTTCGGTCCTCCACGACAAGACAGAGGGCGACGATGGGCGCGCATCACCTGGTTGACCTCTTCAACTTTTCGCATTCAGCCTTGCAGGCTCTGCTTCATCATCTTTGCCGAGGAGAGACGATGCCACCCTCGGACTCATCATCATATGGAAATGAGGAACGTTTCATTACCACGCGGGCTCCAGCGATTCTGAGTGTTCTCAAATTCGGCAAGGACCTTGGGCTGATCACTACGGTCGAAGGAGGACATCACAGGCGCGTAGTACCTCTTGGAGAACCAGTCGACCTCACGATAGGCGCAGACTCAGGCGCCCTCGTATCTGTTCCGGCACTCATCATGTCCATGTGGCTCAACACTGCGAATCAGGAAGTGCAGCTCGGTACGCTAGGGCTGATCATATCGTCCAAGCAACCCACTCTGCCTCTATCCAAGGCGGAACTCGACATCATTGCCACCTATTTAGGCTCAACATTCGAAGGCCTTTCTCCAGAAAGCAGGACTGCCGCGCGCGGCTGCGTATGCCATCTGCTCACTCGACTGCAGGCAAGCACTTACGCAGCCAATAGGACCTTGGAAGGGAGGAGCGGGAAAAAGGACGCCCAGGCTCTTTCAACACAACAGCGCATCATTGCCGATGCCCACACGTTTTTGAGGGAAGTGGAGACAATGATACGTCAACATCTGCGGTTGGGCTCTTCGTTCCCCGCAGCATCGCAGGCGCTCACGTATCTCGAGATCTTTTTTGACGCTAAGGTTGACGCGCGATTGCGCAGTGCTGCAAACCACCCTGAGGGAAAGAAAGATGCTTTCCCTTTTACAGTGGTCCTTACAGATTGTGACATGGTCGACAGATTGCTGCAGATGGCACATAGCACATATGACGCCTTGTCCGAGCGTGCAATCAAGGTACTAAAGCGCTTCCCAGGACCGCTGCCCGGTATGGAAAACAAAGACGATGTCGAACAACGCATCTTATTCCCGGCAAAAAGACTGCTATTGAGCACCAAAGAATTCGAAGGCATCAATGGAGCCGCACTATTAGACCTCTATCAGTACATGTACGTCAAAGGCTTGGGATGGCCGGCCCTATCTTTCACGCCTAATGTCGCCGTCGATACTGCTATAGCCCAACCGATGGGCCGATGCATTGCCGCTTTGCTCGGTAGCTTGGAAGAAGGCATCCATGTCGCTGAGATCGGCATGCTGAAAGATGTCGCCATCACCCATCCTTTGCACGGAACGTTGACTGCCCTGCAGCATATGTTCAGCAAATTCAAACTCGACGAAGACACGGGCCATCACGATGAAATGCGCGCCCTATCAGAACGTGCGTTCCAAGCCATCGATCGCATTTGGGTCATCGTATCCCCCGTGCTGTGTAGTGCTGCACCAGAGGGAAATCTAGGAGAAGTTGACGAGCGAACGACCGCGATGGCGCAAATGACAATCGAGGACGGAGACCGCATGGCCTCGACGGATGTAAGCCCAGAAGCGGACGGAGAGGCTGAGCCCAAAACAAATGGGACAGGGTACCAAACCGTTCTGTCTTATGCATGGCGAGCCATCAAAGAATCGTCCGCTCTCGTTAGTTCTATTTCTGCAGCTACATACACGCCCTCGCCTCGGCCTCTGTGGAACCTTGCGGAAACAGATGCACTAGGACAACGCTTCATTACTTGGTTGATGCATGTGCGTCATCGCGGCGCCTTCAGCACGATTTATCCGGCATTTGCAACGACCAGCGGCGCCATTATTCGTTTTGGCGATGCGGAACAAAGTCTGCTCCCACAGAAATGGCTTCAATATTTTATCGGAGCCATTGCTGGACCTTCTGGTGCGCTCACTATCACACGGCGCAGTGCAGGCCTGGCCTATTCTGTCGTGGCTCTGCTCACAGCTCACGTTCACGAGCACGCCATCATTGAACGAACAATTGTTCGCCTCATCGAGGTCTGCGAAGAAGACCAGAAGGACAAAAGTTCAATGCAGAATACACCACAAATCCACGCATTCAACACACTGAGGTACATCGTCGCAGATGGCATGTTAGCCCCAGCTTGCAAGCCGTTTCTTTCCACCCTCATCTCTCTTGCCATATCTCGCTTCTCTTCTAGCTTATGGACTTTGCGAAATGCAGCTTTGATGCTCTTTTCTGCAGCCTGCATCCGCATCTTCTCGCTCCAGATGGTCAACAAGCGGGATGCCAGGCTCATGCTCACTTTTCGCGAGTTCCTCACCCGTTTCCCTGGGCTGGACGACTTTTTCGCCAAAGAGTTGCGACAGTGCAATGCTGCGCTGCAGGGCATTTCTGGCGAAGCCGGCGCGGATACTAGAGCGTTTGCGATCCTGATCTTTATATCTAACGTGAGATCGGCGGAGATGCAAGATCTGCCAGAGACTGTCGCTCTCGTCAAAGCTGTCAAAATGTGCCTTGAGAGCTCTATTTGGAAGGTGAGAAGCACAATACGAGGCCACACTGATTGTCGAGCCGTTTTTCTGACCCCTGCATGCCTTCAGATTCGAGAAATGGCAGCATATGCCCTTGTTGCTCTGACGCCGGAGAGTAAAAGGATGGAAGCCGCACATTGTCTCTGCGCCGCGCCTGTGCATGGCACCAACTGGTTGCACGGCACTTGGCTTGCCATCTGGCATCTGCTCAGAAGTACCGTCAATTCAGACTCCCTCGGCACAACTGGAGATGCCGAATCTGTGCTAGAAGCCTGCAAGGGTCAAGCGCAGGCTTCCTCAACAGTGCCAGCCTCCATTTTAACCCTCGTCAATCTGTCTCTGAGCAAGCTATCACAAAGTGTCGACCGTCCAGGCAACGCCGAGTCTCACTACCAGCTTGCGGGAAGTCTGCGAGAACTCATCGCCATCCTGGACATCACACAATGCGTCCCACAAAAAGAAAATTTGCTTCTCTCGCTAGGATCAACATTGAATGCGGGCGCTGGTAACGACATACAGGCTATCACAGCAGCGATGCAGCGCATCGCAGCCGCATCCGATGAGCATGAGGTACATAGTGGCACGCTTCGCCCATGCTCACTTACCGTGCTGACGCTTTGTCTTTGCAGGCCGAGACGACGCGCGCTGCCGCTTTGCGAGCCCTGCGCCGCGTTCCTTTCGAAAATTTCGCGACGTCGACGCACGTGCTAGGGTTTGTTGCGCTGCTGAACTTTTTGCAGGACGATGATGAGACATTGCGCGACGAAGCAGCGGGATTGACAGCAGAGTACCTCGCATCGCAAACACAGGCCGCTCAGACGTATCATGGGCCTTATGACCTGCTCTTTGAAGAGAGTCCGCGATTGGGCTCCAGCCCATCCCGCTGCATTATCCTACTACATGCGCGACTAAATCTACTTCTGAAGTTCCGAATTCCCTGGTCACGCTATCTGCTAGAGCAGTTGCTGCCTGACGATGAAGAATTTGGTGAGGATTAACTGCAAAAAATAACGGCGACAGCTGCTGACATGGCCTCTCTGTGGTGCTCTTTCTCTAGAACATCAATTTCTGCGCGCATTCCCGGCGCAGACTCGGCTGTTCTCCGAGGAGAGGCCGAATCTTCACAAAGATCGCGTAGCCGACGTGAAACGACTTCTCCAGTCGGCATCGAAAATGCATTTGCTGTCTCTACCGGAGGCTCGCGAACAGGCCGGGCGGATACAGAAGCATCTCGGACGTGCCTTTTCGCTCGTCAAAAGCACACAAGTCCGCAGTCTTTCGGGGGAAGCGGAGCTGCTCGTAACGCAATTGCTCGCCGCAGCAATGCTTTCCTGCACCTCAGACAGTGCCTCGGATGCCACCGAGCTGACAGGCTTGAGGCAAGCCATTGAATGGGCAAAAATGGACCTGGGAGTCCACATCGACACACCATCGCATCCTTTCAGTCGGCAAGCAGCGACTCGGGACGACAAGGCACTCTTACGCCCCCATCGAATAGCGTAAGAGACTGCCGCCAGGCGAAGAGTGTATTGTAGCTTCTCACTGAGCTACGCTCGCTGCCCTTGAACAGAATGATTTCAGACTTCTTCTTTCCGAATGTGGGGGGCGTTGAAGGGCACATCTACATGATCAGCCAACGGCTGCTGGCCCGAGGACACAAAGTTATTGTCATCACGCATGCGTACGATCCAGATCGGGTTGGCGTGCGCTTTCTTGCCGGCGGCCTCAAGGTTTATTACGTCCCATATGGGGTCATCGCGCAGCAGGACGCACTGCCGAACTTCCTGGCTCTCTTAGCACCGCTGCGCACCATCTTGATTCGAGAACAGATCCAGATTGTCCACTCGCACCAAGCCTTATCCTCTATGGGCCATGAGGGGATCACACACGCGAAAACGATGGGTATCAAGGCGGTTTTCACTGACCATTCTCTCTTTGGTTTCGCGGATGCGGCTGCGATCATGACCAACAAGCTACTCAGGTTTGCATTGAGCGACATTGACCATGTGGTCTGCGTGAGCAATGTCGGGTGAGTGTCCTCGCGGAAATCGCCTCCATGGCGTTCTGACAATGACCGTACTGGCCTGCAGAAAGGAAAACACGGTTCTCAGAGCCCACGTGGATCCTTCGATCGTGTCGACAATTCCAAATGCTGCAGTCACTTCACAATTCTTACCAAGGCCAGACGCAGCCGGCCTTGGACTGCGTGAGCTCCGAGTGCATATACTAGCGTTGGAAGAAATTCTTACACAAATCCGCCTTGCAACCTTTAGTGACCATAGTCGTTCTCAGCCGACTAATGTACCGCAAGGGCATTGATCTACTCATCGCTGCGATTCCGCGCATCTGCAGTCTTCATCCGGACGTGCATTTCGTCGTGGGAGGTGACGGTCCAAAAAGAGTGGAGCTTGAGCAGATGCGCGAGCGCTTTTTTTTGCAAGATCGTGTCGAACTCGTGGGGGCTGTCCCTCGAAGCAAAGTAAAAGAAGTGCGTCCCTTTAAACGGCAGGTGGTTTCGACAAGGATAGGTGGCTAAGATCGCTCTACCTTCCTGCACGTTCTTCCTCAGCATCTGACACGCGGGCAAATCTTCCTCAACACGTCACTGACCGAAGCGTTCGGTACGGGCATTGTCGAAGCTGCTTCGTGCGGACTCTTCATCGTGAGCACACGCGTAGGCGGTGTGCCTGAGGTGCTACCTGCGGCGATGATGCAGCTGGCCGAGCCGCACGAGGAAGACATCGTCAGCGCAACCAGTGCCGCCATCACATACGTGCGCAGCGGGCAACATGACCCAAATCAATACCACGAGGCTGTCAAAGAGATGTACTCGTGGAGTGATGCTGCAGAGAGACTTGAGAAGGTCTATGACCATGTCATTGTCAAAGAAACTGTAGACCCTGTCACGCGGCTGCGCAAGTGAGTCCGGTGCACTGAGACGTTGCTTTTTAACCACAGAGCTGACCAACACCAACTTTGTATGACCAGCTATTATTCGTGCGGTCCCATTGCCGGCTTTGTCTTTTGCATCATTGTTGTCGTCGACATGCTGCATCTGAAGCTCTTGGAGTGGCTGCTTCCGGCCGAAGAGGTGGATAGGGCAATCAACGTTTAGGGATTCCGACTGACTATAGTCGACAATGCAACTGCGAATGCATTAATTTATTTTTTGCCAGGTGGCTTCGCTTGCGCTTTGTTCGGGTCATACACTTCCTGAGTAGCTTGCATGAGCTCATGCAGCTGGTACAATTGCTCCTCCGAAAGCTGGAAGAATCAACGTCTGTCAGATAAATCATGGTGATATTGTCATAACCATCATTCTACACACCTTTTCCATCATGTCTGGGTCTAGCCGTCTTCCTTCGAAGCATTTCCGCTTAGCTGATCCTACCGAGGGACTGCTTCCAACTCCACCTGAACTATCAATTGCTTCAAGCTCTAGCGTGTCCAAATACATCTTCCAGGAACTCAAGAAGCCGACGATCTGGAGCGGGTTGTCGATCGCCCGATGGCGCCTGAACTCGTCTTTGACATAGTTGTCACCCAAACTGCGCATCTCGGGATTAAGCCCTTGGCGATGCGCCCTAAACAAACGACGGTAGAGCTGTATTGGTGGTAATAAGGACTGTGCGGCTGTGCTAACCGCTGCGCTGGGCGCGTCCGAGGCGACGGACGATGGAGGTGAACCGGAGAACGCCGTGGCAGCGCCGCGACGAAGCATGGGTTGCAAAAGGATGAATGCAGATGTTCCGCGTTGGATTAGGGAAGATGAGAGCCACATTTTGCGTGTCGAGGTGCAAATGGCTGCTTTGAAAGGACCGGTCTCCGCGGGGGAGCCATGCACGGTGTGCATAGATCACCGAGAGCCCCCAGATGCTGCTAACAAGAATACGGATGACCATCTCGATGTGTTCAGCTGTTTGCATGCTGAAGGGGAGACTTGGAAGGAGCGTTTCTTACGTTACGAGTAGAAGCCCACGGGCGGGCCGAGGAAAGTAGGGTTTTCCCAGTAGCCATCCTTCTACACTCTAAACATATTGGCTCTACGAGTACGGATGGCAGCACAACGATCCTGTGCTCCACATGCCAAAACCACCATCTTTAAAGGGGGAGAGAGGAGATATCGGTTATGTCTCGCAGCCGCTGCACGTGGATGCGCCTAATGAAGCATAGGCACTCGATGCTACCGTGAATACACTTGCGTCTTTGGCGGCAGTTCATCCACCATCTGAACTCCCGCTCTCAAGGCGGCACGTTAGCAGCATCACCACAACCACTCCGAGCATGCCACGGTGATCCAGTGATCTACTTGCAAGAGGCAAGGAGTGTAAGCGCCCACAGAAGCGGCAGGATTGGCCAGCATGGACCCAGGAAGCATTAATGGGGACGAGTGGCTTACGCAGCTGGTAAGGCGCGTCAAGCTTGACGAGTTGCAACTGATTGGACCCAAGGTTGCTACTCAAACGAATGGTGGGCTCTCCAGCTGGGCCACCGCACCGCTCTCGTGGGTCGGTATTGCGTCCGTTGGCAGCTCCAGGCAAACAACTGCAGCGCCTGCCAACGGCAAATCAGCTGGTCCTCTGATCAAGACGAGCCCATTAGTCATCAATCCCCATCACCTCTTTTACCTGCTGATCCGATTTGAAGCACTCGGTCTTCCAGCTGGATCTCTCGATACGTGTCTCAGCAACCTGCCCGCGCCGCGGCCAGTCTCTTATTATGTATTGCCTGATGTTCAAGTGAGGCGCGAAGGCCCATCCGGCCTTGGTCATGGTAGGCGCTCGGACAAGAGCGACACGATGAGCTTCACTTCCCTTCGCTCTGCGTTCGGCAGTTCGAGTGTCTCAGCAGCGAGCTGGTGGACCGCGCCCAGGCATCCGCAGCAAGATATAACGCGCGATCTAAAGCTACTCTTCTCGCTCTTGACAAAGCTTCCTGCGCTCAGGATCGCTCCCACTCCCGGCACGAAGTTGATCAAGGATTTCGAAAATGATTGCCCCGGGAGGAACGGGATTCCCATGGATGTGTTTAAGTCATTGAGCACGTTGCAGATGGATGGCACAGATCCGCGGGGCCTTTTAGGCTGGGACAGACTTTGCATTCAGCTGGTCGCGCTAAGCATACACCACAGCGGGCTGGAAGACCTTAGCGACTTGCTCATCGATGCTGTCGTGCACGACTGCAAAAGACGCAAGGGCGAGAATGTCGATGATGGGCGGAGAAAGGTGATTTATTCGCCGAATGGCAGCGCTGGCAACGATGATTCCTCTTCGCCGCTCAAACACGAAGCTGCTCATGCGACCGATGCCGCGTCGAATGCACCGCCAAGTCAAACGCCCTCTCTGGCATGGTACTTCTTGCGACATTTGTCACTCGCCAACAACTCCCTCACTTTTATACCCGAGGAACCTTTGTCGCAGCTCTGCAACCTATCCTCTCTCGACTTGTCTTCAAATTTGCTCAACTCGGTTCCACCCTCGCTCCACTTGCTGCCTCGCCTTGTCTCCCTCAACGTCTCCGACAACCTGATTGACTCGGTCCTGGGCATCTCTTCTACCATTCCGACCATCCGCACGCTAATCATTTCGAAGAACCGCCTTGAATCGCTCTGCGGTCTCGAGCGCCTGAAAAACCTGACACGCATCGACCTGCGTCACAACTACATTTTTGATGTTGGCGAAGTGGGTAGGCTTGCGCAGATAACGCCCATCGAGGAAGTCTACGTAGAAGGCAATCCCATCGTCGAAGAGCTGCCGGACTGGCGCATCGACCTTTTCCTTCAATTCGCAAGAGAAGGCCAGCGAATCAAAATCAACGGAAGCGAACCGGGGTACTTCGAAAAGCAACGCATCACCGAGCGCTTGCCGGACGTTGGCAGACTGCGCTTTACCGACTCTCCAGAGAGTATGCGAAAGGCACCACGGCACAATGCGTCGCACATGCCACTGTCAGCGGACGATGAGAGTCGCGAAGGCCTCATCAAGGTCGCCCTTGTGAAATCGGTGCATCGCTCAAGAATTGCATCGAGGCGCCGAGCAGAGTCGACAACCGCGAGGGATTCGTCCAAAGAACGCCCACGTTGCACTAGCCATGCCGCGGACGACGAGTTCAAGGGGGATCGCAGAAGGAACGGGAGCGATACCAGCTCCACGCGGAGTGTCGCTGTCAAGATGCTTGCAGACAGAAAGCGCAACAAGCGCATCGTCGAGCTCGACTCTCCAAACTCTGATTGGAAGCAGAATCCAAAAACGCGGTTAGCGGCGACAAGGGCAGAGAATGGGCCTTCTCATATGATTACAGAGTCCACTAGTGCTGCAGAGTCACATTCGATGCAACCGAAGGCCGAGGGATCGGATTACGCGGCAATGTCCGATTCGGAGGCAATCAAAGCTGCGGTCCATGCCGGACAGAAGTCGCTGGCCGCCAGTCCGCTCATCATGGCTGTTGATGGCAAGCCGACCGAGCGAGGAAGACCCACAGGAATGCCGAAGCTTGCCACCAAAGATGCTCTCAGCAAGAAGGCAGATGCTCAGGCTGGCGTGTCCTCAAGCGCAGTCACAACGCAAGTCGATACGCCTGGTTACAATCTCGAAAACGGACCTTTAGGCTCAGACGTTGATCTCGCAAAGGCCGTGCTCCAGAACTTGTCATCGGTTCCTTCAACTGCCAGCGTCGGTATCGCCGACAGCAGCGGGACGACACCCAGCAGCCCTCTCAGGCCTCCGCGCACACTCTCGCGCACTGTCACCACAGACGACGACGTGATCTACCATGTAGATCAGCTGCGAAGTCCGAAGGGCCAGGCCAGTCGGAGAAATAGCGGCGCAAGTGGTGTGCTATCTGCCCAGAGAGCCGTGGTAGCTACCGCCTCGATGCATGAAGCGCCTTCGCTTCAGCATCGCAACGCTGACTTCTATCGCAGATCGTCCATGGAACATCCAGAAGATCTGGATCCATCGCACGAAGCCCTTGCGTTCCGAAAGGGGATTGAAGCCCTCAAGGGAGAGATGGGTGACGATTGGCTCACAATGTTGGCAAAAGGGGTCTACAACCCGAATGGGATACCGACGCTGGGCCGGACTAGCGGCAAAGCTGCTGCCGCGGAATACAAAACGAAGAGATGATCACCGCAGAATGAGATGTTTGTTGTACAGCACTGTAGCCTAGCCACACCATTTGCTTCCAGAAGAGGAAGGAATCTACCGCTTCTTGGTAGATCCAAAACCCCCAAAGCCCAACATGGCCATGGCATCTTGATCCATATCCATAGCCACATCCGCCGCCCCTTTCCTTCGGGCATCTTCTTTCGCAGCTTTCTTCTTGGCTTTTCGTTCCTCCTTTTCCTTCTGCTTCTCTTCTGCTATTTGCCGCAGACGCGCTTCAAAATCGTAGGATCGCGCTTGGCTGCCATTGGCCCTGCTTTCTCGAAGCGCCGCGATCTTGGCACGCACGGCCTCTAGTGACGACCTCACAACTTGCGTCGTCATCCCCATCATTCGCAGATCTTCCAGGGTAGATCATAGAGTATTTAGCGCTTGGTCCATGATCTGACGATATGCGACGAGTGGAATAGCACTCACGCATTCGGCCGTTGATGTGATCGAGATAGCGACCGCTGTCCTTGCATATGCGATTGCACAGCTCGCAGTAAAACCCCGGGCCCTTCTTGCCTTCGACCATCATGGACTTGCCTTGATTCTTGTCCAACGCAAGTGGTTCCACCCTCGCCTCGAGCATCTTGGTCGGTTTTGGCATCTCTTCCTTCTTTCGCTTGTTCGGTTTCAGTCCTGTAATCGCGATGAGACAGCGTCAGAAAGATCTCTCTCATGGCAGCGGCTTGGACGCAATTCACCTTTTCGCATTCGCTCCTCATTCTCGACAGCCCGCTCCTTCTCTTCACGATCCCTCTCCCTGGCTTTGGCAGTAAATTCTTCCACGTCCCATGAGCGCCGCGAGGGTCCCACCCCCGCGCCACCCGAGGCAGTCTGCTTGCCCGACATGGCTACGGTCGTAAGTGAGTGCCACGTTCGAGGTAAGTAATTGCCGTTCACGAGATGTCGGAGTCAGATTGCTTTTGCGTGGCTCCAGAGGTCTGCACCCTGGCGTATCCCGCGATCAATGCTGGTAAAGAAGAGCAAGAGAGAACCTACACGGCTGCACAGCATACGATGAACGGATGGCATCGATCCCACTGAGGCTAAAGAGCGGTGATTTCATTGAACAGGCGAGGGGAGTTCAGCGAGTTTCTACTTCCGTGCTGGACGGGTGACTACTCCATCAACCTCTCCCAATCTCGCTATCAGCATTTCTTGGAGTGCATTTGTTCCATCCCCCACATAGGTCTTGTCTTTGACACAACGGCATACGTGCACTAATTACCTAAGCTGCTCCAATACTTTCCTTTGCTTCTAGAATGAGTGGCGGTGGCGTAAACCCGTGAGTTTCAAATGCATCGGACCAGGGGATGGAGCTTGCGAACTGACGGTGTGATCTGGCTCGTTCGTAAACGTAAATTGCAGTGTTCTGTCGCTCGTCAGCCGGACAGATACGTTAGCGGAAGGTGAAAATCCAATTGGGGACCTATCTGAACACCCCTTTCGAGTCTGATATAATGCCTGCAACACTTCCCGTAATGCATTACAGGTTTCCGACAAGTACATCAGGCGTCACTTCCACTCATTCCGAACCTTCAGCAGACATATCACCAAGTTCAAGGCAGCTGGACGCCAGAAATAGAAAATTATGCCGAAGATATATTTTCAAAGATTCGTGACATTCTGCAGCACATGGAGAAAACCGTGGAAGAAATGATGAACCTACTCTATCAAGTAGACATTTACCTCTCTGACTCAACCACACAACTCGCTGCAGGGTTCAATCCCAAGGAGGCGCTCGATCACGTTTCTGCATCTGTCCATGTAGGTGCAACTGCTGAATGCCGGGTGTGTGCCTCTGATTGTCGATAACTGATGTCTCCTCTTGCATGCTGTACGTTGTAGTCATATCAATCCGAGCTGCTGTCAAAACGAGAGCTGCTGGCCGATTTGACTTGCGAAGAGATTACCATCGAAGAGTTTTCATCTCAATGGCGTACATTGAATGAAGTGAATTGCTTGTTCCGCTCTACAGAAAGCTTCGACCACATGCACTTTCTGACATTTCAACCCCGCACAGGTCGAAGCTGGAAAGAAGCAAGATTTGGACTCGCTAGCCGACATGTTTGCCGGGTTCGGGTGATATCATGGGGACTTCGAATTGATTTTTTCATCCCTGGTTTAAGTCTCAGAGCGGCTGCTACCTGCGCAATCGTGGCCAATTCGCGCTCTTAACCGATAAGGCACCAGTCCCCGTCCCTTCCCTTTGGGATGCCCCGAGTCTGGTAGGAGGGCAACTGCATGTTCACGAGAACAGGACTCATGTCACTTCTTTGCAAAATTCGACGAAGCGCCACGTGAACGACCCTCTCATCCATCGCGCAAAAATGTGCTCAAGGCCTTGCTCATACAACCGCATCGTGGCTGGCTCTTTCGCCCCTAATGATTGCCCTTGAAGCTGTCTGGACGCAGCCAAGGGGAGTGCTCACAATATGCGCCAGCAACGCTCTGCATATTTATCCCGGAAGGGGACAGAGCGAGAGCGTCGCGATAGCTTGATCTTGCAATCACGCCAAATTTACAATCCTACACCTCATGACTACTGCGATGCGTATCCAATTGATCGCAAGAGGTGCCTCGTGCAACAACAACAACCCTCCCCTCAGCTGCTCTTGTTCCCACATCCTTGATGAGAATGCTCGACCGATCTCGATGCCTTGCCTTTCCGCTATACCGAGAAGCCGTGGTCCAGTGATCGAAGTCACGCTTCTCCGACGTGCGTCGGTGTTTCGATATTCCCGATATGTGGAGGATCTTGTGATATGCGCCCAAACCAAATGCGTACTTCGCTCGACTGTCCTTCCAGGAATTAAACAATTGATTCGTCACGATAGAGCTGGAGTGGGCATGCTAAGGGAAAGTAGGTGGTTGTCATGGAGGCAAGATATGCGATTCGCTGCACCTCGAGCAACTGTATGCAAACTCCTAGAAGCCCCGTGACATACTCCCTTACATTGTTAAGCCGCGAAGCCTCCAAGGCCTGGTCTAACTTGCGCTGCGAGAGACCCCCTTGTATGCAGCAGAGGTATCAACAACCTGCTTGGTTGGCTATTCGGACCCAACAGTCCGTGAATCTGTTGACGCAGCGGAGGTCGAAGCATGGGTCATATTGACGTCCAGATGCAGCCAGACCAATCCCAGTTGAAGTGTTAGCTGCGATAGCACAAAACAGTGGTATCAGACATCCAATGGAAAGTGCTTGGTCAAACTCAGTTGTGCGTCATTCAAGGAAGTGGTGTGCTTTGAAGGCCCTGAGTTTGGCACGCAATGTATTGCTTTGCTGAACAGGAAAGAGTGCACACACCCCGAGCCATCGCCTGCAGACCCGCGCACGCAACTGCTGTTGCTAGATGAGGAAGTCTTAATGAGGATGTCTTGATGAAGTGATAGCCCAATGTTGTCACAAGACAAAGGTGGTTCCCAAATGCAATGGGTTGGAACGTTGAATGACTTCCTGTCGCTATTGAGAGCGACAAGCATGCACTTTTTCGTCCCACCGCGCCGCCGCCTTTTCTTCCTCTGGGGATGGATGGCATCAACGCTTTCAAGATGTGAGACATGGTTCAATGCCACCACCCATTCTCTCCCTCTAACCACTCCCTGTCCTTCAACATTGCGACCTGCCATAAGTGCGCCTGGCAGTGCATCTTCCCTGCCGTCTGCCGCCGCAGAGTAACTGAATGGTATTGCCTGTCTTGCGCCTCAATAACCACCGATTAGGGTGGGAGCAGCGCTGTTAAGCCCGAGGTTGTAACACCGCAACTCGGCATAGCCGAACGGGGTACCCCAGCATGCGCTGGGAATATGACCAAGTCATATTACATGTCTATGTTAAAAGGTAGTGTCTGGCAATTCATTCCGACTGAGAACATCCGCGTCATCGCAAACCAGTATGCATCCCCCGTCCCCGTTCATCCGTTCTCTGTGCCTGCGCTCAATAGCGCTTGCGCTGCGTTCATGCCATGGCCCGCGCATGGCAAACCGATGCCCCTCTGTTCCTTTCCATATCACCGGATGCCCATCCTTCTCGACAAGCAGTGCTAGAGTCAGCGCTTACTCTGACTGGGCCTCGGCAGACGCACGCTCCGCCGCTGACGGCCTGCTGTCAAAATGGACCTCGTCCTCGGGCCAGCCCGCGACTGTCTACACGCATGAAATTGGCCGTACCCAGGTCCAGCTCCTTCGCATCACGCTTGAGGAGATCCTCCCCCTTTCCCAAGAGCCAGCGCGGTATCTCCAGCAGCTTCTGCGCGAACAGCCAGAGAGAGGCACACCCTTACTCCCAGCGGAGCACCTTGTCTTCTTCACTCCACGTGTGCTCAGCTCTAACCTCGGCGAGGATGGTACCGACACATCATTCAACCCCTCTGGCGGTGTATTCACGCGCCGCATGTGGGCTGGCGGCTCTATGGTCTGGAACCTAACCGACGGCAACATCCTTCGAATCGGCGACGAAGTCACCGAGACTACGTACATCGAAAAAGTGGACATCAAGCAAAAGCGCGGAGACAAGGAAAATGAGATGTTGGTCGTTTGGCTGCGGAAGGAGTTCGCCAACAAGGATGGCCTCGCCTTGACGGATCGAAGGAGCTGGATCTTCCAACGTGCACTTTCGTGCACAAACCCACCGCCAACACCCCTGCCGGTCGACGTCGATGCGGAGCGGCGGCAGCTGTTATCGCCCTCACTGCCGCCAGCAGCATTGGCAAGTAGGCTGCAACTCAAGCAAGCAGAGCTTTTCCGCTACTCGGCTCTCACCTTTAACGGCCACGCCATTCACCTTGATCCGGACTGGTGTCGCAAGAGGGAAGGACACGCTGCGGTAGTTGTGCACGGGCCGCTCAATTTGACGCTGCTCTTGCGCAAATGGATGCTTGAGACAGGAAATGTAGAAGCAGTCAATGGCGGGGTCACCTCGGTCGATTATCGCGCAAAGAAACCGGTTTATGCTGGCCAGACGTATTGGCTGCAGATGGAAGCTCAGAGTGGTAAGAAGGGTGAAGACGTGATGCAAGCTGTCAGGCCAGACGGAAGCGTCATCATGGAGGCACGTGTATCCGGAAGTCATAAACAATAGCATGCATTTCTTTGTCGACAGTTGAAGGACATCCTGAACCCCTCCCCCTTTATACTGTGTTGAGCTTTACAAGAGAAAGGTGGAACTTGTCGTCGCCGATCTCCTGCTCTTCTTCCACCAACACGTCCACACCAGGTGCTCGCTCCTTGACAGGCTTTGGCGCCCTACGCATGTTTTTGGAGAAGAACTCAACTTCTTTCGCAAAGCACTCCTGCAGTGCCTGGCCAACGCCATCGTTGAAGCTGTAGAAGGCGTCGACATCATCCGTTTGCTGCAAACCAACCTTTTTCCGAAGGCGCTGGATGCGGTTGATGAGCTCGCGCGCGTTGCCCTGTGACTGCAGCTCCTCGCGAACCTGCTTGTCCAGCAGGACGACGACATTGCCATCCGTGTCGGCGTCAAAGTCCCCTTCCACCTTGGCAAGGTCCACCTGCTTTTGCACCTTTAGGTCACCCTCGATAAGCTCCACGCCAGCGACGTTGATCTTGCCGCTCTCAGCAAACGCCTTGCCTTGTTCTGATGTCACATCCTTCAGCCCATTCTTGACCTTGCCAATGTCCTTACGCAGCTTCTTCCCCAGAGTCGGCCAGTCGGCTGTGAGGACGTAATGCACGCCGCACTTGGCTTCCTCGCGAGTTAGCACGAGGGCTTGCACGTTCATTTCACTTTTGAGGTAACTTGAGAGCGCATCGACGTCATCAAGGAATTGCTGGTCACTGTGGTAGACACGCATCTCCTGCAGCGGAACGCGCACAGGGAGTTTGCTCCGGGTTCGAATCTTTCGTCCGATCTCGACGATGGCCTGGAACGCGCTGAATTGCCGCTGAAGGACCGGGTCGAGATACTCTTCTTTGATCTCGGGAAAAGACAAGAAGTGAATGGAGCGCTCGTCTTGGTCGCTGTTCGGATTTGGGGGCATATAAGTTCGAAGACCTTGGTAGATATTCTCGCACAGGAAAGGAGTGAACGACTGCATGGTCCGCGTGAGAGTGAAAAGTGTCTCGAACAGGGTGTTGAGAGCTGTGATGGTGTCCTCAACGCCGTTCGCGCCTTTCAAGCGATCGCGGTTGAAGCGGATGTACCAGTTTGTGAGCTCATCAATGGTGAGTAGCAATCGCGAAATGACAGTGTATAGTCGGTACGCGGAAAGCTCCTCCTGGACCATCTTAATTAGCGACTGGCATCGGGCGAGGATCCATCGATCGAACAGGTTGGTCGACTTGGGCGCATGTACTTCGTAGACAAAGTCTTTGCATGTGTCCTTCTTGAGTAGTTGGACTTGGCCGATGAAGAAGCGGAAGGAGTTGAGCCAAGGCAAGAAAGCAGAGGTGATGACTTCGCGCACGCCATCCTCGCGGAAGCGAAGGTTCTCCGCGCGTACAGCTGGGGAGCTGACAAGGTAAAGTCGGATCGCATCGGCACCAAACTTGTTGATAAGCCCGGTCGGGTCTGGGTAGTTCTTTTTGCTCTTGCTCATCTTCTTTCCATCTTCTGCTTGGATGAGACCGGTGACGATGACATTCTTCCAGGGCGCTGTACCGAAGAGATGCGTGCCGAGGATGAGCATGGTGTAGAACCATCCTCGAGTCTGGTCGATACCCTCGGAGATAAAGTCGGCAGGGAACGAGTTTTTGAACTTGTCCTGGTTCTCAAAGGGATAGTGAGCTTGCCCATACGGCATGGTGCCCGACTCGAACCAGCAGTCGAATACCTCTTCGATGCGCTTCAGCTGCCCCTTGCCCTTTTGTGACGGGATGGTGATGTGGTCGATGTTGTCTCGGTGCAAGTCTGTGATGCCAGTCACGCCCGACAGCTTCTCGAGCTCGGCGACTGAACCGATGCACACTATCTCCTCGTAGTCGTCTGAGACCCACAACGGAAGCGGTGTTCCCCAGTAGCGATTTCGCGAGATGTTCCAGTCCCTTGCGTTCGCAAGCCAGTTGCCAAATTTGTTCTCGCTTACGCTGCCTGGAACCCAGTACGTGTTCTCGTTGTTCTGCATCAGCTTTTCGGCCGCTGGCTCGACACGCACGAACCAGGAGGGGATGACCTTATAGATCAAGGGTGTGCCGCTACGCCAGCAGTAGGGATAGCTATGCGTGAGTACAGATTGGACGATGAGTCTGCCTTTCGCTTTTAGGTCCTTCTGAATCTGCTTGTCGGCATCTTTGACGTTTTGTCCCTGATAGTCTGGAACCTCAGCAGTGAAGCAGCCCTTCTCATCGATCGGGCAGGGCGGCGCTTCATCATTTGCGATGACACCGTTCGCAACGGCAATGCGGTGATCATCATCACCAAAAGCAGGCGCTTGCTGGACAATCCCGGTGCCGGCATCTGCGGTGACGTACGTGTCACACAGAACGCGGAACGCTTTTGGATACTTCTGAGTGAAAAAGTCGAAGATGGGTTCGATCTTCCATCCTTCCATTTCTTTTCCTTTAAAGGTTTGCAGCTTCTTGAACTTTGCCTTCTTTGGGTCCTTGTAAAGTGTAGAGAGGAGTTTTTCGAGGATGATGAAATTCGTCTGCCGCTCCTCGTCAAAGATTTTGATGTAGTCAAAGTCGGGATGCACGCAAACAGCCAAGTTTGAGGGTAGCGTCCACGGTGTTGTTGTCCATGCGAGCAGTGCAGTGCCCGGTTCATCGATGAGCGGGAAGCTGATCGTAATGGCAGGATCTTGCACATCGCGGTAGTCGAGGTTGGCTTCGAAGTTGGACAGCGGTGTGGTGCAGCCATTCGAGTACGGCATGACCCTGTTGCCCCGGTAGATGAGTCCCTTTAAGTGCAGCTGGGAGAAGACCCACCAAACCGTCTCCATGAAGCTCAGATTCATCGTCTTGTACCCAGCGTCAAAGTCTATCCATCTCCCCATCCGCTCTACTGTCTGTTTCCATTCGTTTTGATAGCGCATGACAATAGACCTGCATTCGGCATTGTACGCGGCAATGCCCATCTTCATGACATCTTCCTTGCCTGTGATACCAAGTTTTTTGTCGATCTCGTGCTCGACTGGTAACCCATGGCAGTCCCAGCCGAAGCGTCTGTCGACGTGGTGGCCGGTCGAGTGAGCGTGCCTTGTGATAATGTCCTGCAAGGCACGGGTTCCGGTTAGTCAGAGAATTTGCGATGAGGGGAGAGGCATCTGAAAATTCACCTTAACGGTACCAGCGAGCAGATGGCCATAATGAGGCAAACCGGTAGCGAATGGCGGGCCATCGTAAAAGCTAAATGGCTTCTTCCCTTCGCTCTGCTTGAGAGAGGTCTTGAATGCATCAATCGCCCGCCAGTATTCCATGACTTTTTCCTCTTCTTGAGGAAATGAAAAGTTAGCAGTGGCTAATGAGTAGTGAGGGAAAGATGTCAGTGTACTGATCTCATCTACCACATGTCCCAGGATCATCGCAAAATACATGCACGGGACATGTGTAGCGGATGACAGCATGTCGCAACGCGGCGATACAACCTCTCTTCATTACCGCACAGGTTTTGCTGCTACGACGTGCGAGTTGGCTCCGATGAAAGGCCTTTGCCACTCACCATCGTGCGCTGGGAATACAGCAGCCGCAACCCCATTGACAAGCGGTGTCGCCGCCATCTTGAGCGAGACCCTTGATTCCTAGTTCCCGACTCTTGTTGAAGCTAATGCTGCGCGTCCAGATGTCGAGGGAATAGACCCTTTCTGCGATCTCGCGTAACCCTTTATCAGAATATTGCCAGGCGCTGATGAACCCTGACCCGTGAGAGCTGGTAGCGTAAGATCAATGGAAGATGTGGCAACCTTGGAAGCAAGCGAATCAAATGCCCTCCACAACCAAAGGATAGACGAGTCACAGTTTCTGTTGCTTATGCCTTCTCTCCGAATGCCGATGTTGGATTATCTTCTCCCGGGACTCCCCCGGTTCAGGCAGAACATATTTTACAAGGAAACGACGCGGTTTGCAAACGAAACACGTCGCGTGTGCTCGAGCTGTCACCCGAGAGCAACACTTCGACAGTCCACCAATCATTACTCATCGTACATGTACAATGGAAGCTACACACCACATATTCGTTTAAGAGAGTCCATGCATTGCATTTTTGGCATCGCCTTGCATTGATCCAGTTCTCTTGTTAAGTGTGACCTCCTTTTTGAACTTTTTGGCGCTGTAAGCGACGCCTCTTTCAGATACACAGAATCGGCCAAGGTTGCTGGAGCAGCAAATGCAAGCCCGTAATGGCTACTTCCCCTTGCCACCGACAGTATCTATCAGCGCGGCAGGTCTAATCCTCTAACATGGTTGACGAACGCCAACTTTTATCAGTTCGGCGCTGGATCGAGAGCCAATATCCGACTTTGGCTCTTGATCAAGCGTGGCTGTGAGTGGTAGCGCTATCGAACGCTGAACAGACGCAACTCCATCTAATTTCTGCCAATAATGTATATTCCGCTCGCTCAGGGAGCAAGCAGCAGACTATGTCGCAGAATCTGCGCCAGAACCCCTATCTACGCCGAACTTAATCAAAGCAGTGCACTTTCAACTCCTACATGCCGATTTGCGACAGTTCATCAAGCGTACAACGTCGACCGACGGTCGCGGAGGTGGTTTCGCCGCTGTACTTCAAGCGGCTGAGGTCAAGGACGGAACCAATGCCAAGTATAGACGGATAGATGAGGTGATCAGCGGCAGGTTAGCTTCGGCTGGGTCTCTTGCGCAAATTTCGGGCAAGGTTCGCTCGAAAAGGACGGAGCTGTTGGTCCAAGTCGTGGGCATAACGGGTGTGTATGTCTCAAATGCACTGCTCGTGAGGGACGGTTTGTCGCATGCAAATGTTGACCCACAATATTTTTCACCTGCTGCAGATGTCGGAATTCCCGTGCAAGGTCTGTTAGATGTCACTCTTGCGCGCCAACAAGCTTCAAAGACAGAAGCAGGGCGGAAGTTGCTCGAAAATGCTGCCGAAGTCACTGTACTCGACAACTCCTCTCGCGGGAGGAGCTGCAGTGCGAGCCAAAAAGTAGGCCGCGCTCAGGCACGTGTCACAATCCGTAGCAACGCAGGGGCAGACAGCGAAGACGCAAGTCTGGCTGCGGAAGAGGAGGTTCTACGCTCCTCCATCATCTACCCGCGGTCCATGTTGCAGCTTGAGTTGGACGACGGGTATGTAGACGATCTAGACTCACGGCCGGTGACAGCTTTGGAGATGGCCCGGATACCCGAGCTGGCGCTCGGCAAGACGGCGCTAGGCTGCAAGCTCGCTATTCGTGATGCCGAGGTCTGCGATGGCATCGTGAGCGCGCATATAGCGGTGTTCCATGCAACATGGGCGATTTCTGACGTCATACCTGGCCTTCGCAGATTTTACTAAGTCCTGATAATGTGACTGTGAAAGGCGGCAGCGTCATGGAGCTGCAGGATGCTGCCGAAGAGAGGCTGATCAAGCGGCTAAAGGTACATCTAGACATGGCTCAATCAGGTACCCACCGTGGGCGGGTCGGCGGTTCGAGTGGAGGAAGACAAGGGCCCCCAGCGCGTTTGCCGATCAAATCCATTTCGCCTGTCAAGAGGGCTGCACCTACGGAGCGGAAGCGAGACAGCGAGTGGTCTGGGGCCCCAAGCCATACGACCACAAAGGACAATATCATCGACATAGCTGATTACGATGAGGGCAAGCTGACGCGAGAAGCTCTCTGGGCTGAAGAACCTTCAAAGTCTCCAAAGCAGGGAACGGCTCCGGACACTCATGCTTCCAGAACTCGATCCATTGGGAGACTCGCTGGCACCCATATCGATGCTTCAGAAGTCGCAAATCAACCTCAGAGAGGGAAAGGCAAGCTGCCGGCCATCGACATCATTGCGATCGACGATGACGATAACGATGAATTCGCGCATCTGGACTTTCCGTGGCCCACACAAACTCCTAAACAAAGATGGCGCGGTGAGGGCCAGCGGCACGACGATCCGATCGTGTTGGACTGATGTTGTAGCCTAATCAGCCTTCGAGCCGCCAATCAGTATCAGGCGAACAATGTTCTTCGGTTAAATGCAGCATCAGTCATCGCTTCCGTCCTCATCGCTATAGAGTACATAACGCTCTTCGTTGTCTTCACGCAAGACGCCGCGGCTGCCAAGTAAATGTGGTCAACTCTGAACCCATTGCGCAATAAAGACTCCCGCAGGGACTGGGCCTCACCTTTGCAAAGCATCTCGGATATCTCTCTCTTCTCCTTTTCCCCAATCGTCGTCCAAGTCTATTCGTACTAGATTATAGAGTAGCTGACCCGCCTGGTAGACCAGTAGGGTTGGCAGCACATCAGCAGCTTGCTCGTCCATCTCCAACTCGCGGAGCCTTCGCCGTGAGCTGCTTTCCTCCCGATCCTCGTCCTCGTCATCTTCCCATTCGCCACTGACCCCATTCTCTTCTGCTGAACATCCAAATTCGATCTTCGTGGCCTGTACCTGCAGAAACTTCGTTTGTGGGTATTGCCGCGCTAAGGATGTGAGCGCTGCAGAAATCTTCGTACATGCCACAATCCGCTGGAAGGGGGACATGCGACTTATCAGTGACTCAAGGAAAGGAACATGATACGCGCTCTGCTCACCTTCGAATAGATGTGAATGACGACAAACGTGCCGTCTTCTGTACGATCTATCGCATCCACGTAGCCGCGCGCATCCACCTCCCGCAGATGACCAAACCACGTATTCGGTCCACGCACGACTTTAGACCCTCCCAATGATCTGGCAGCCACCTGGGCTTTGATCTCGTTCATCCTTTGCTCGCGTCTCCTCTCTCGCGCAGCAAGCTCTTCGATGGACGCCTGCTGACCGCATCGATTCTCTCCACTGGGCTTCTCGGCCTGCTTGTTTGCGCCATCTGCACGGTTGCGTGCGTCTGACTTCCTTTGCTTCTCGTCTTCTTCCCAAGTATTTGTCGTCAGCGCCATGCATTCCAGGCGCCGGTTGATTGCATTTACTTGGGCCTGTCTCTTGGCCTTGTCAATAGTGTCTTGCACCTGTCTGTCATGGATCACACCTTTGGGACCGGTGCGAGTTGACGGAGCCCCTCGACGTGCACTGCCGCCGGTCCCCCCGTGCACGTCCTTGGCAGCGAATTCTCTGTCTCCCCACTCCTCGTTCCCTGAGAGATCTGATCCGAGTTCATCGTCAGTGTTGGGCACCGAGACGTCCGAGTCCTCTGAAGGGTCGCCATTGATTCGACGCTCCGGGCCGTAGCCGTCCCCCTTGGAGGCCGCTCCCTGCAACATGAGTTGTTCGAGAGTATCTGACATTGCGTCGTTTCTGTCAGAGCTGTCGGTACGCTATCTTGAGGTCAACGGGTGGGAAGAGAGGTTGGATCTAGGTAGGTTTGGAAAGTGAAGGTTCCAAGGGGACCTAAACGCTGAACTCAGCGTTCGACTCTTTTTGATCGGTCGTTCAATTTCGGAGGGCTGTTATCAGGCTGACTTTCCATCGTGCATGATGCATTCGACTAATTCTTCACAAGCCGGACCCCGATCTTGAACGGTCTGCACTTGGCGAACAGTCGGGCTTCACTGGGAGATTGATGCGGGACTAAAGCTTCGAACGGGCAGCTTTTGACAGCTTTCCATCGAAAGAAATGCAGACCGGCACTTCCAAGATCTCATTCGGGCTCAAAAAAAGCGGTGACGTGCCACCTCAGGCTGGAACTAGCAAGAAGCCATTCAAGCTCAAGCTCGGCAGCGCAGCATCATTAACAAAGGAAGAGGCCTCCTCGGCCACAAGACCACCTGCAGCACTTTCGTTGGGAGGCGAAGACTTGGAAGAGGATGTTGACGATGCGCCATCTGCCACCGCCACCGCCAAACGAGAGCCTAAAAAGGGTGCCTCCAAGGGCAACACTTTAGGAATAGGTTCCAAAGCTGCCCCTGCATCTAGGAGCTCGCAGCTAGCACAAGATGCTGCGCTCGTTGTTGATGCAAGTATATTTGATTATGATGCAGCGTATGAGAAGATGCAGCAAGCCAAACATGCGGTCAAGGAACGCAAGGATGCGGAGAAGGCAGAGCGAAAGGTCCGCACTCAATTATAGCCTGGGTCGAGTTGCTCCCATCAAGAACGTTAACTGACATGCTCTTTCTTCTATGACAGCCAAAATACATCGGGAACTTCCTCGACAGCGCCGAGCTGCGCAAGCGAGATCGAGCGCGTGCCGAAGCGAAGATGATTCAACGCGAGCGCGAGCGAGAAGGCGACGAATTCGAAGAGACGGAGGTTTTTGTAACGGACGCGTATCGAGAGCAGCTGGAGGAGATCAAGCGCCTGGAGGAGAAGGAAGCGAAAGAGGAAGAAGAGCTGCGAAATAAAGCCAAGTCTGGCGGTCCGAGTTTCTTCAAGGAGATGCTACAAGCGCAAGATCAAGACCACGAAGCGATCGTCCAGGCGGTAGAGGCGAGCACGAGGGCGGGAGAAGCGGGGAGAAGCGATAAAGGGAAGGAAAAGGCGACAGGGAGCGACACGCAAAAGGGCAGCAAGAAGAGTGATCTGGAGCTGGCGCGCGATGCACGTGCCAAGGGCCTGCAAGTCGAGCTGAACGACGAGGGCGAGCTGGTGGATCGCCGCGACGTGCTGAGTCGAGGGCTGAACGTCATCCGGACCGAGCGGAACGCACAGGCCGACATGAACCGCGTGAGCAACCGCTCCGCCAACGCGCCGTCCTCCCAGCTGCACGGTGCTGGCTTCGATGCGCGCGTGAGCCAAAATGCGCGGCGGGACCAGCGGGCACGGCAGACGCTGCTGATTGAGCAGCAGATGCTGGAGGAGGAGCGCAAGCGCGCGGCAGAGGAGGAGCATGAGCGAGAGGAGCGCAAGAAGCGGATCATGGGTGTCGCCACGGCCGAGGACGTCGCGAAGCGAGCGGAGAAGGTCAACAGTGCACGAGAGCGCGCATTGGAGAGAAAACGCAAGCGAGAAGAGGAAAAGGCGCAGGCGGGAGCATAGGGTGGTCCCACAAGATAGGTAGCACGCGAATGGGACTGAGTCTTGATGGCTCTATCGGCTACGCGTGTCTCGCCTATGTATTCCCGCCGGCTTTAAATTTGGTTGGGCCACTATCAACTGTGCTGCGTGCGCGTTGCCCAATGCATCATGAAGCCTTCGATGTGGGCGAATGTGCGAAAGTTACAGCTGCATGGCAGTTAATACCATTTTTTTCAAAGCTCACGCTAGGATGGCAAAATAAGGACTCCTTAAGATCGTCAGATTATGTGACTGCTTGTATTTTAATAATTATCGAGATACTTTGGTTGCCAAAGAAAAACGATGGTGGCTGACATTTTGCTCTCTGCTATTACTTGGGTGCTCAGGATCTCTTGACATCATTGTTGGCGAGCAGTTGCGCCTCCTCTGTCTCACGCTGCTCATCGCTCGTGGCGCTACAGTAATGCTCGTTCGGTTCTTGCGCGCCACAGCCGTTGGCTTCTCGTCCGACTCAGTGGCCTCCTGCACCTTGCGCTTCTCTTGATTCGCTGCTTTGTCGAGCTTGTTCGTTGTCAGTGCGAATAAAAAAAACATGTTGAGTCGGTCAGGTGATGAAGTATAGCGGGCCAGAACTTCTGCTGGTCTGGATTTCTGACTTCCAAAAATGGACTGTTCAGCAGCCTGGTCGCTTCCATGCACCAGGCTCTCCTCCACGTGATCCGTCCTCCCTGGACCGAAATTCTTGTTGAAATGTGCTCACCTTGATGCTTTTCTCGTTCTTGGAGCCCAATTTTTGGTGCGAAGTATCCTCGCCCTACTCGTGGGATGGCCGGTTGTCCTACTTCTGATCCTCGGCAGAAAGGCGCTGGTCTACGCCGGAGCTGCACGTGAGGTTAGGGCAGAAGAGAACATGGATCGGCGATATGTGGAGGCAGTGAAGAATCGCAACTCGCAGAGACGGATCACGCGACGACAAGGTCCAGTCGAGCTGTCAGACTCATAGGGACTCCATGGTCTGTGATTTGGTTGCCATTGTGAAAAGAGGTAGCGTTGCTTGGAAAGCGTGTAGGGATCTTTGCTGGTGCTGAATACTTTTTCTGCTTCGCAGAGGGATGGAGCGAGTTCATGTGGGAATGCGTGCGTGGTGTGTCAGATTAGCAATGGCAATAGGAGACAAAGGAACCAAGGATCCCTTCTCCCTTGCTATATAGCTCATATGTGAACTTGCGTAGTATTTTGTGGACGCGCACACGATGAGATATTGATCGAGAACTCACCGTCGACGTCATGCGGCACCCGCATTACATAATCATCATGCATAATCGATGCCATTGGTGGCGATGTCACATACCACATACATCAAAACGGGGTGACAAGCTCATCGCAGCTGAACTTCGCCACTTCATCCACCCGTTTCAGGCCACGCCTGGGAGTCCGCAATCGGGTGCAATGGGTATTGCAACATGGCAGACCAGTTCAACCTCGACTATCTTTACTCGCTGACCGAGTCTAACGACCCCGTGCCCGACGCTGCCAGCACTCGCAGCTTCGGAGCCAGGACCGCGGATAAGCAAGGCGGAACCCAGCAGGGACGACGAGCCTGGCAGCGGCGACTGCGTCCAGATGACCAACAACATGGCCACACCTCTACCAAGAGCAATCACAGCAGCGCATTTTTCGGCGCCACCGGCCACCATAATAAACACGTAGTAGGCTCGCCGGGCGCAGCGTACTCCGCGCAGCTGACCGCATCGCTCATGTCCCGTCCGTACACCGCTCCTCTCTCGGTCCTCGTCACCGCGTGGTCAAGTCTGTACCTCGCCATCCTATGGCTATACTTTTCCCTCATTTTTGCCCTCTGCTTCAAGATCGCTTGGCATTCCATCTTGCGAAAACCCAGCCATCTGTTTCGCAAGCTGAAGCTCTATGGCAGCGAGCGTAGCGCACTCTCCGAATCGTCCTCCTCCGCTGCAATTGATGCCCTCCACGACAAGCGCACAAGCGCACAGATACGCGAAATCGCATTCGAGCGTAGCGGAGAGGTCCTCCTCTGGCTCGGTCTAGCGGTGCTGAGCCTAGGCACAACGTGGTACCACATGATCCGCTACCTGCTTTGGTCCTACCAGACCTTTTTGCATAAGGCGAAACTCGCACAGCTTCTCCCGCCCGTGCGTCATGCTGCAGATGCGAGAGCAGGCGCAACGCTTTCGCCATCGTCGACGCTATCGACGCACATCACCCATGCGGTACATCTATCGCAGACCACGCTCGAACGCATGCATGTCTGGCTACGCGAGACAAGCTTGTTCAAAGAAGCATGGCTGCTGGTTGTTGGCAACGAGCTGAATTGGTGGTGGAGCGCAGAGGTCTGCATTTTCACTGTCGGCGTCTGGGCTCTTTTCCTCAGGCAAAGAGGTTAGAACCCGCTCTTCCTTGACTTTTTTGTGCTGGTGCTAACTTGACTGGACTCGATACAACAGGGGGTCGCTCGTCCATTCCTTCTGTCTGGGCGTTCATGCTTCTGGGCCAAGTCGTTGCCATCTCTTTCGCGCAGAACCTCTTCCACCTTGCCCTTGTGCTTGCGCCACCAGAGTCAGGTAGAATAAGCATCTCATGCTCCTCCGTCTCCGCGAAAGAAGACGACATGGAGCTCGTGCGAGCCATCAGCACGAACACAGACGAAGTCTTGCGTCTGTACACCGAAACCACCGAAGTGGAATGCGAGCAGATTGACAATACGATGAGCGCCACAGGTCGGAGCAGCAGAAGTGACACAATCGGTACCACTAACACGACCCGGCGCATCTGGAAACAGACGCGCGCCATCACGCCTCCGAGCATCGGTCGCACACTAGACGTGCTCGTCATCGCGCCTGTGCTCGTATTCGCCGTGCGCGCCGTCTGGTTCGTGCCATCCACTCTGCCCCGCATCCTCATCATGCACCTCTTTCCACTCCTCCTCTCCCTCTATCCAACCTTTGCCGGGGGTCTACTTGCTCGGCTACGAAGCAAATTGAGAATCTACATCGAGCATGTCATGCCCACCCGGCATCTCTTGGCGCTGTCGATGCTCGCGCAGCCTAGCGCTGTGTACGCGCTTCTGGCACTCGCAGCGGCCATTATGCGCATCGCGAACACTTACGCAGCCTACGGCGTGCTAAAAATATCTTTGCAGCATGTCACCGGCCTCCAAAGCGCCAGGCCGGGTATCCGGATGCTTTGCGGCGCGTTATTCCAACGTACCTTCTTTTCGCATCCAGCGCAGAGCAGCATTAGCTTCGACAACGTGTGCATCGGGATCAGCAGCGCCGCGTGGATCATGATCGATATGAGCAGAAACATGGACAAGTCGCGTAGTGCGCGTTCTGCGAGAGGGGCGGGAGAAGAGCAGAGAAGCAGCTTACTTTTCAATCTCGCGTTCGAAAGTGCTGTGGTAGCGTTGATCACCATCATTGCAGGGCCTTCCGTCACCATGGCTGCATATGTTGCTGTGGACGAGCACAGACGAGAACAGAGCATGCTTGCCGCCGAAAAGCGCTTAATAGTAGCTGGCGCTACTCCTGATGCGCCTTCAGCAAGGTCGACTACAGTTTCATGCTCGCGTCCGCGTACAGCTCAATCTGATCTGAAGGAGCGTGCGCGATACATTCTCGTGAACGAAGTGATCGAAGAGACCATTGTGCGTTCCAACCCCGGAAGGGTGCGACGTTGAAAGGGTGCGATTGACGCTCGCAGAAGCATGCAAGCCATTTTGTATAACGGCTTCAATCGTTGCATCAATCATGACTCGCAATCAGATGCCGTACATGGGTATATACTACTGCGGCCGCTGCTGCTGATGATGCTGTTGTTGCTGCTGATTCCAAGCTAATTGCGCCATGAGCTGACCATACTGAGCCGCCAAGTTTGGATCCATTTGCATTTGCTGAGGGCGCTGTTGTCCAGCCGGTCGCTGCATTGTCATCTGCAGGGCATTCTGCATCTGGCCAGCCGTTATTCCATTCGTCGAACCCATGCCAATGGGCACTAGCCCCTGCGGCATACCGGCGTGCTGTGCATTCAACTGCTGCAGTCCGCCTTGGCCCAGCGGAGGCTTCATGCCCACAGCTTGTTGCGCCTGCATTTGCTGTTGTGCGGCCAGGAATGGCAACTGCTGTTGCATCGGCATACTGCCCATAGGTGCAGGTCCGGCAGCCCCAACAGGGACGTTGTTCATCCTGGCTCCCATGCCAGGCATGATGCCAAGCATATTCATACCTAGCGCACTCATGTCCGGTGCGGCAGCTTGCATTTGAGCCGCCTGCGCTTGCGCCTGTGCTGCCTGTTGTAGCTGCATCTGCAGTTGATGCGGCTGCATTTGCATCTGGAGAGGAAGTCCTTGTAAGACCTGCTGCATCTGTTGCGGCAATGGTGCCAATTGGGATTGTTGTACTTGCTGCTGCTTCCCCTGAACTTGAGCCTTTATCTGTGATGGTGATTCGGCCAGCATATGCTGCGCATTGTTCCTCCCCGCTGAACCTTTTGCAGGCACCTTCTTGACGGCTGACTTTTTCTTACCTTTTGTCGCGCTGTCAGCTGGTGCGAGCGATGCGGCTTCTGAAACAGGCGTCGCGGGCACCTCGTCCGCACCACCGAGGCTTGTATCGGCAGGAGACGAAGCGGTAGCTGTTTTTGCGGCCCCTTTCTTCTTGACGGAGCACTTCTTCTTGCTTTTGGCCTTGCTCGCCTGCTCTGCTTCCTTTCGCTCTTTCTCGGCTTTCTCTGCGGCAGCGTTCTCGGCAGCAACTTTAGCAGCCTTCTCTTCTGCTGCCTTGGCTTTCTTGCTCATCTTCTTTGGCTTCGCTGCAGATGCAGGCTCTTCCGCTAGCGGCGAGCCAGCTGTTGTGGAAGCGTCAGTGTCTTGCTGCTGTTGCGGTTGCGACGATTTCTTCTTGGTCGTTTTCTTTCCTTTCGCAGCGGGTTTGCTACTGGCATCAGCAGCGGTAACAGCAACGCTGGTGGTGCTGTCATTAGCAGCTGCAGTTGATGTAGACCGTGCTGTGCTGTTGTTCGGAGCAACGACGGACCCCGCGCCTCCGGCGCCTCCTGCAATACCGACATTTGCGCCTCCGAAACCGATACCACCGGGCCTGGGTACTCCAGCTTTATCGTTTGCAGCCTTCGCCTCTCTAAAGTGCTCGATGAATCCAAGGCGAGAAAAAGTGGGTGCGAAGATACTGCTTGCAGTTGCGGTTAATCCTGGCACATTGCCGTCTTCGCCATTTGCACGCTGGGCCGCAATTGCGGATGCTGCGATGCCAGCCGAGCTGATGACACCAGGCAGAGGACGTGTGATCTCTGATTGTCCGGCCGTCCCTTTCTCCATGAGCCGCATAATTAAGTCTCTACGACGGCGCTTGAATGCCTGCTCCTCAGCTTCGACGCTGTTCATCAACCCACGTTTGACGCCGCGAGAATCTCGATCACGGTAAAAGGGCGGAGTCAAGTGAGCTGGCGGATTATATGCTATTGACGGAGCAGTTGCTGCCAGCATGATGTTTGCAATTTTGCTTGCATGAGGATCCGGCGTCAAGCATAATGGCGGAGAGGTGAGTGCCTACCAGAATACGGTTGTTTTTCAATCAGGTTCAAACCGATGCAAATGCTTTGAACAGAGCATGCTCACCAGCACCTTGGCCTCGACGCGTAGAGCTTCTTCATCGGTCCATACCGGTACGCCGCCAGGGCCCAATTCGGCATCGAGGTCTTTGATGTCTTGCCATACGGTCTCCCCGGTTGCATGCAAGACGACACGATAAATTTCGGGGCCGGTGCTGATAGACGAACCTCGAGCTTCCGCCTGTGCACGGCGTCTTGCAGAGCTGTTCCCATACAGCGGGTGCCGTGATCGGTCTAGCAATGACGAAGAGGCCGTTCCCAAAGAAAGTCGCTGTAAGGTACTAGATGGGAGAGGGTCGCTAGAGCTGCTGCCCAGACTTGGAGGTCTGTGGTCATGCACTTCGATGATGAGGCACCCTGCGAATGGGGGAACGGGTATCAGATTGGTCTCGTGAGAGGACGAGGAGGAGTGCTCGTTGCTGACCTTCGTAGAAAGCGACGTTAGACTGGACGAGAATATCGAGGAGGTCAACGGGCACCCTTTGCTGCCGTATGCAATCTAGAAATGCTCGCGCTGGGCTGTCAAAAGTAAAGATACCGGACTGATACAAAAGGATCAAGTTTTGATCAGCTTCGGTGTCAAAGAAATTTTCTTGACCAGGCTCTCCATCCTACCTGACGTTCGAAGCGAAAGTGCCCATTGTTGAGATGCATCACTAGACTGGGAGGATCCTTGCGGTGCCGCTTGAGAACCTGACGGTTCGTACGCTGCTGGTTGTAGATTGATGCAGACGTCGCCATCTTGGTCCACGCAAAGCACAGCCCGCCGTGGCGGCGAGCAGCGTCTCGTAAACGGAAGGTATTGCACAGTTGAAGCGGATGTGGTCTGCGCAATGTTGTGTCTTGTTGAGTTGATTTGATGGGAAAACGACTTGGGATCAACAAAACACCATCAGCGGCCAATTGGATTGTTACGGTGATAGGCAGTTTGGAGAGCGTTCCGAATCACGCCTCACCTGCCTCCGCTCCATTCCAGATTCATCTACCTAACAGCATTGAGATTCACACTGGCTCCATTACATCGTACAGGCTGCGTATCATATTCGCCACCAGACACTTATGGTCGGCCGTGAGATATGCTAGCCCGAGTCTAGCGAGGGCTGCGACTCCTATATCGTCGCCGGAGTCTATTGTATGCAAAGGAGCGAGAAAGTGTCGCAACCAGCAAGCGATCACATGTTACAGCTAGCAGAGCCATATTCAGAACGATGCCTTATCTCGAGTGCCATCGCGCCCTATCATGTCTTCCCGTCAGAAAATGAGCACCTCAAGCGAGGCAAAAATGGGAGTCATGGCCATCGTCACGACTCCCACGAGTGAGGAAGCCGAGAAACTTCCGAATCTGCTCTGTGAGTATGGATGTCAACACAGCGCTTTTGTAGCCTTGTCCTCGGATGCCGTTATAATCGTTCACGATCATTGTTTCCGACAAACTTACACCAGTGGAAAAGGACCTCGTCGCTTGCGCCCAGCTTGTGCCTCAAATCCGATCCCTATGAAACACATTTGTACCATGGTGCCGAGTTTCGATCGAACACTCGCTGACACATACGCAGCTACCGATGGAAGGGTAAGAGGTTTGCGATAACTTTGAGGTGTTCATGCTCTGCAAGGCTGTCGCACGCGTGATGACAAGCGTAACGGAGCTTGTCTACCGCGAGGATTCTTATGACGAACCAGAGGTGGTAGCATGGTCGATTGAAAGCAGCTGAAAGGGCTACGTTAACACGGTTCGTGGGTGCACTGGCCAGCTCGGGAACGCCAATGAAGGCTCGTTCGCGGGAGACGGAGTTGAATGAATGAGAGGTTGCTTTCAACATTCCTTCAAATACACTCTATCGCTACAGGTGAGGTTCAGATAGGGTCGGACGGAAATACCCGCCGATGTTCGGCTGTGATGATAGTAAGATGTGAATTAGGATTCGAGCTGTGCTCTTTGCTTGCTTGTAATGGGAATCGACGACCGTCTACTTCAATTGCTTTTGTGCTTCTTCACCGCAGAGTGTTGTAGTGGCTCCTCTTCGTCGTCGTGGGGCTCCGAGCGCTTCTTGCTGTTTCCTTTGCCGCTCGCTTTGTTCGGTGGGGCATCATCCTCGCTAAGGTCCGAGTCATCGGCGCCATTTGGCTTCGTGCTCGTAGAAGGAACTGCGGAAGCCTTTTCGCCGAGAGGCTCGTCGTCGCTGTCGAAATCCGCGTTCGTGCTGGCCTTGGCAGTTGCCTTCTTCTTGACCAAGATCGACTTGGGTTTGTCAGCCTCGTCCGGCGCACCCTCCTCGATCTGCTTTTTCTGTGCGCTGTTCATCGAGCGCATTTTGGATTCTGAATTCTCAACAAAGACCTGCGGGAAAGCGAGAGGAAGGGGGCGTTAGCGCAAGGTCAGACCATGGACTGTGCATATGCGAAAGACATAAAACACACCCAGTCAGGCGAAAGGTCCTTGTCGTCGTCATCACCGGTAGCAGCCCATTTGAACTTTTTCTGCATCGTCATCGGGAAGAATTGACCGATCGACATGATCTGCAGACCAAGCTCCATCTTCTCGCTGCCGACTGCCTGGTTCTTGCGCTGATCAGGCTTCTCGTCCTTCACCTCTTTCTTGGCCTTAGCTTTGGACTTCTTATCCGAACTGGCATCCGGATCCTCCTTCTTCGTCTTGCTGCCGCTCTTCTTCTTAGGAGCACCGGCCAAATCGATTAACCGCTGGTCCCACTTCTTCAGCCACGCCACCGTGATTCGTGGGTCAATGTAGTTCAGCTTAGACGTCCCCAACGCGACCTCTTTGGTGTTCTCTTTATTGATGCGCTCTGCCTCCTGCTTCTTGATCGCTTCGACCTTGCCGAGAATCTTCTTGGCGCAGCTGGCAACGTTGACGTTCTCCGCAAGCGACCGGCCTGACTTGCGCTCTTTCTCCAGCTCCTTCAAGCGCTCATCGAGCGCCTTGAGCTCGTCTCGCACCTGCTCTTTGCTCTTGAGGCTCTTGTTTACCACTTCTTCCTTGTCATCTTCATTTTTCGCCTTCTTCTTGCCCTTTGCTTTCTTGTCTACTCCTTCGTCCTTCTTGGCTTTTTTTAAACCCTCGAGGTACTCTTGCTCCTTCATCGCGCGCTCAAAACTGCTCTGGATGCGCGCCTTTTTGTCCGAGATCATCTTTTCCTCGTGCGCTTTGATCTCCTCAGGGTCCAGGTCGACGTCCTCCAAGATAGTCTTCCAGTGTTTTGCCCAGTCATGCTCCTTTGCCGGGTATTGTTTTTTCAAGTCGGCCGGCTTCCCAGCGTTTTTCAGCTTTTGCAGCTCTTTGAACCGCTCGTAGCGAAGCGCAAAAATCTTCTCTTCGGTCCGCTGCATGCTCTTCTCGTGTACGACGGCATTGACAGTCTTCTGATGGTTGCACAAGATGGCCACCTGCCTATTCGCTTCATTGTATGCTAATCGCAAGTTAGCAGGCGTCAGCGCGCGCTCGTCAGCCGTTATGCGGCTCGATAACCACTCCTCGGTCTTGTTGAGCAGAGCTTGGAACGTCGTCGATGCGTTGTAGGTACGGAACACCTTAGCCGACAGACCTTGCATGCCGCCATTATCGCGAGACTGCAGCCATCTGTTGATGTCGGACGGGTCGACAACCTCAAAGATCGGCTCTGTGCCCTTCTTAAGTTGGATCTTTCCCGACTTCTTGTCCTTGGCGTGACTGCGGCCGAACATCTTGAAGTTCTTAAAGACCTGCTCGGGACAGATGAGTTCGTCTTCAAACTTCATGCTGTCCTTACCGAGGAAACTCAGCTTGACGATGTTTGGCTCGATCAACGTGCAGTGCTCCGAGAGGAGGGAGCAAGCGCCGTATGTGTCCGCCTCGTCTTCCTTCTTCTCATTACCGACACGCAAAGAGTAGACATCGATGAGCCAGATGACTGTGGCGACTTGTCGCTCCTTACGCGACTTCGAGCTGAGAGCATTAGTGTAATTCTTCCTCAGTTTGGCTACTGTCTTGTCCAATCGCCGAGCTTTCTCGTACTTTTCTCGGTCAGCGTTTGTCTTGAAGTTGCTGGTGGGGTCGAGGAACATGTACTTGTGTTGAGCATTAATGTTCTCCTGCCAAAATGCGAGCCACGTGGTGTTCTTGTCTTCGACAACAGCCTTCCACTTATGCCCCTTGGGCGGTGGAGGGGGCGGGTGATTTGGATCATTGAGTGTGTGGTTGATCGTGATCTGCTCCGGCATGACCCGAGTCTTAATACGGCCCGTCTTTGGGTGTTCGCCACGGCCGAGGAAGAGCGCCGGCGGCTCGACCATCACGTTCCCTACCTTCTGCTCGATGCCATCGACAATGCACGTCTTCATTTCTGCCTCCGCCTTCTTCCTCTCCTCCACTTCCTTCTTGCGCGCACTCGGCGCTAAAGCTTTCTTGCGTTCTGCTTCCGCGTCTTTCAAGCTTTTCCAGTATTCGTACATCGGCCTGAAGTCGAGCTTCTCGAATTTCTCGAGCTTCGGCGCGCTCATGTCCATCGGAGGGTAGTTGGCAAGAAGTTTCTTGAAGTCGCTAAAGAAGTTATTGTTGAAGATAGGGTTGCGCGCGTGCTGCGTCTCGAGCTTGACTGCGTAGAACATGGCCGCCTCTTCGCTCTCCGGCGGGAGTGCAACAGGAGTCCCATCGTATACGAGCTTGATGTGCGACGGGAGCGGCTCGTACTCAGGCGGGAAGCAAGGCCCGTTGTGGTAAAGCGTTTCCCACTTCTTCGCGCCGCGGCCAGGGGTGTAGGTTGGCTTCTTTGCCTTTACCTTCTTCCCAACTTCTCCGTCCTCGTCTTCGTCATCGCCCTCTTCCTCACTGTCTTCCTCATCGTCGCCCTCCTCATTTTGGTCCTCGGTCTTGGTAACAATTGCCATGCTGCTGGACGCTTGGTGGACAAGCGGCTCTTCATCCTCGCTCAAGTCGGAGTTATTCTCGCTTTTCGCGCCGTGTCCATTCGTGTAGGAGCCGTTGGCAACCGCCTTGCGTGTGATTGCAGTCAGCAGTGCTTCGCCGTCATCGTCTGTTTCCATGCTCTCGCCGGTTAGAGGACTGTCCTCGCTTTTGATGCGCTTACCCTGCAGTGTTTGCCACACACGGGGGTCAGTCATTTCATATCGCCCTTCGGAGCTCAGTAAAAATAACGCACCAGCGGCATCTCATCTTCGCTGTCGTCCTCATGGATGACCTTCTTCCGAATACCGGCCGCCATCGTGTGAACTGGGCGTCAAAAATCGTTACTGCAGGCACTCTGGTTTGGGCGACACTGGCACAGCTAAGTGCATTTAGATCTATACCTTGCAGGATCTGATGGTCTCTTCAGCGAAGGCGCCTGAAGCATGCAAAGGCAACAATATCGACACCTGAAAAGCGGTTTGCTATACAGGAACACCTCCAGACCGCAAACGGTGTGGGTGTAGGCGACCTTGCGATGCGTTGTTACAGACGAGGGCCGCCAAAGATGGAGGATTCGGCGCGTCACGAGCGCCTGTCAAAAGCTTTGATTAATATGACGTGTGAGCTGTTTTTTTTTCGCGACAGATGTATGCGTCTCTCGGAGAGTTCATGCGACAGGTTGGCCCGGCTTAAGTGGCGTGTCCCGCAAATTAGCTTGCAAGGCCGGGCGCGTTGAGACAAGAGAAGCACAATTTGCTACTGTATAGTACTTCTAGGACGACGGCAATGCTTGGAGAGGTCGTTGTGATCGGCTGGAAGGAGGCTACTGGATTAGGATGAGGGACAAGTGAGCTGGATGTTTACATGGAATGTAATATCCGCTCAGAATTTTATCAAGTTTCCGTGAATGCGGCACAAGTCACCCGAATCGAGTGCGGCGGAAGCAGCACAGATTTACAAGTGGCTTTTGACGTTCGAGGAGTGTGTAAAAACCGACGCTATCGCTGCACCTTGGGAGACGACCTTGATACGACCATCCTCCAGCTTTGGCAGCTCATCAAAGCCTCTCCTCAACGTCGACTTGACGCAACGGCGGGGCTGGCAGAACATGAGAACTTGCTGATTTGGAAGGAGAACGCTCGAACCCAAGGTGGGTCTCTTTGCCAGGAATTCTGCTGCGCGCTTGCACTATAACTGACACCGTTTCTGAACGCACCCCACCCTCCTTTCCCAATGGCTGCTTGCCCAACCCTTTCGTGACCCGATCCTCCCTTAAAAATTTGATCTGGCTATCCGGTTACCAGCCCTCCTCCAACCAAATCATCATGTCACAGCTTTACCGTGACCCATGGGCGCGCTCTGAAGCCTGGCGCAAGCACCCTGTCTTCTCCAACCGCTTCCTCTTCCGCTCCTTCCTCCCCGGCTTCGGGCTCGGCACTGCCGCTTTTGCGCTGTACTATGCCATCGACACCATCACGCACCCGACCAACGTGGAGAAGATCAAGGAACAGTCACACAAGCCGATGGAGTCCAAGATTGAATGAGAACATCAAGCTCGCGCGAGAGGGTGCCGTCTCTTGAAGAAGCATTTCATCATTTATCACAGCACTTGTGCAGGAGCATCAATGCCGTAAATGAAGCGTCTGTATAAGCGTCGAAGCAAATAAGCAACTGAAAACAAGCCGCCAAGCGAGACCTAAGGCGCCACATCGAGAGTGAACTCGGGCGTGATGACGACTGGATGCAATAAGAACTCACTTGCTTTGCATTTCTACTGTTACAATGTCTCGCATCTACATCACGCGCCTGCTAAGGCTGCTTCCAAGCGAACAGGGGCATAAGATGAATAGCTTTTCACCGCTTAGTACCGCCCTTGATGCGCATGATACGTCGGCAAATGACCTCCGCCGGTGCTCTGCCGCCTCTCCATAGCCGCGTACTGATCTTCCGATGAGCCGATGCAGGCTGGTGGGCCGGTGTGCTGTTGCGAGTGGTGAAGTCGCTGCTGTTGATGCTGTTGCTGCTGCTGTTGCTGTTGCTGTTGCTGCTGCTGCGCTTTGAGACCTTGCATGAGCGCGTGATTCGCATCGTACGCGTCATAGCTGCCCGCCACGCCCCCTATGTCAGGACTGTTGTACAGACCAATGCCCCCACCGCCGCTGCCAGCAGAATGCGGCTGCTGCGCGTAACGCAAACCGACCTGGTAGGTATTCAGCGGCGGCGCGACGCTCGCATCGGCCGCAGAGTCAAGCGAGGTTATGCCGCCTGGTACACCGCCTGTTCCGCCCACGTTGCTACCGTCGTGTCCACTGCTGGAAGAGCGTATTCGTCGATCATGGCCATCGACGACGACGGAGAAGCCGCTTGAGCCACCTGCTGTGGGGTTGCCGGCGCCGGACGAGTGCATCGTATATGGTAAGCGGGCCGCTGAAGTATAGTGCGAGGGGGACCTCGCAGATGGAGGTTGCGTTGGCCATCCTGGGTCGTAGCCTTTACTGTTGCTGGTGTTGTTGTTCGCAATCAGCATGCCTGGTGTAAGGCCAGTGGGAATGCCATTGGTGTGCGTCGACCAGTCTTCCCGCTTCGTCACGGGCGTCATCGAAGTCCGCTGTCCACCTGCAGCAGCAGCGGCAACTGCAGCCGCAGATATCGCATTGGGGTCCATGTGTCCCATGGTGTCCGAGCGTTGGCGTACATAGCTGCCCGCATTTGGTGACCCCATAGTTGTAGAGCCAGCATAATGGTTGCTGGCCGCCGCTTGCTGCGCCAGCTGTTGCACTCGTATCGCATGGGATTGAGCTTGGGCTTGCGCTTGAGCCTGTGCATGAGCGTGCGCCCGCGCCTGAGCTTGCGCGTGTGCTTGTGCTTGCGCCTGAGCGTGTGCATCTTGCGCTGCAAACGCAGCGGAGGCAGCCGCGGCAGAGGCTGCATCCGCCACGTAGTTATCCGGGTCTTGCGGTAAGTTGCCCGACTGCCGCGCGGACGCGGTTTGCTGGTACGCATGTTGCTGCGCGGTTTGCTGGTTATATGGCCCTGGGTCCTGGTACGCCGCCCGGCCCGATGCGCGCGCTACAACCTGCTGGGCGAAGTTGCCGGACGAGAGGTGTGAGGACGATGCATTCGCATTCGGTGACGAGGGGATCTGGCTGCTGCCGCTGCGGATTCCCGTGCCCGCTCGCGGTGCCATGGCTGGCGGGACGAACGGTTTGGTGAACTTGTCCCCCGTGATGAAAGGATGCAGCTTGGCTTGTTGTGGCGTCCAGCGCTCGAGAGGGTCCATGTTAAGCAGGCCAGAGACAAAGTCGATGAAGGAGGTGCGATTCGCTGCCTCTGAAAGCATGTATGTGGAGAGAGAGTCAGCAGAAGATGCGGATGAATGCGTATGCCTGTATCTAATAGCAGGCGGGGAACGCACCTTTGGCCGGATCCGGGTGTTTGCCCGCTTTCCGCGATCCGGGGTATGTTCTGATGATATCAGGAAGGGTGGTCGCCTGAAAGTATTTCTTGCTCGGTTGCTCCGGCTCATGCTGGTTAGGGTGTTCGCGGATCCATTGATCGAGAGATTTGACGCGGTAACACTTGCGCCCAAACTCATCCGAGTAGATGTTGAAGAACTCGGGCGTCTGCTTGCCCGCATCTAGCATGTACCTTGGCGGGTTTCTGTTTGCACGCGTACCGAAAAGACTGTCAGCTCAGGCGCGGCTCTCATGCAGTGTGCACAATGCACGCCGCCAAAGGTAGACGCACCCTAGCATCTCCACTATCCGCGTGATCTGGTTGAACTCGGATGTGCCAGGGAAGATCGGGAGGCCGAGGAAGAGTTCGGCGGCGATGCATCCCAGGGACCACATGTCGATTGCGGCATTGTAGGGCAGGCCTAGCAGGACCTCGGGTGAGCGATAGAAGCGCGACTGGATGTACGAGTAGACTGTTTGCTTCTCGTGACACGCCGATCCAAAGTCGACCAACTTGATGCTGGGCGTTTGGAGGCTGCACGCAAGTCAAGATTCGAAGTCAGTTCGATGTCACGTCCCAAAAGAAACGCATGGCTCACGTTTTGAGCAGGATGTTCTCTGGTTTGAGGTCGCAGTGGATGATGCGTGCGTCGTGCAGGATGGAAAGCGCATCAAGGAGCTGGGCGGTAAAGACGCGAACGAGGCTCGTGGAGAGGCCGCGAAAGGAGTTCTGCTTGATCAGCTCGTACAGATTCGACGACAGCAGCTCAAACACCAGGCAAAGGTGCTTGGCGTGGATGAACGTGTCGTGTAGCCGGAGGATGTGATGCTCGTCCTTAGGGTCCCAGTTGTTGTTGAGCTGTGTTAAAGGGAGAGGCACAGAAAGTCATCAGCTATTGTGTTTCTTCACTCCCTTACACATTGCAAGCAGCTGTGCAGCTGGCCGAAAGAAAGGAACGCACCATCTCGAGGATGGTGACCTCCATCCAGCTCTGCTGAAAGTATTCTGGCTTATTCTTGATGACCTTGACCGCGACGATCTCATGCGTGCGCATGTTCTGGCACTTGACGACCTGCCCGAACGTGCCTTTTCCGAGCGTGTCGAGGATAAGGTACTTGTTTCCCTCCTCAGTGCCGAGCCAGTCGTTGACGTACAGGATGTAGTCGCTCTCCGCATTATCGTGCCCGTCGTTATGCATTGGCTTGGGTGGCGACGTAAGCACCCTGCGCGGGTTGAACGAGAGCTCGTAGAAGAACGACGGGTTGACGAGGTGGTACGTGTGGTGCAGGTACGCCGTCAGCGCCTTAAGTGGACTGACGAACTCGCCCGCTGGATCTGCGCGCCGGCCCTTGCCGATCGAGGCCTTCTCGACGTCTGGACGCAGATCGCTCAGCTCGCGCACGCGTCGGAAGCCTTCCAGCTCCCGCGGTCGTCGAGGTGGCGGTGGCCCCGCGACGGCGCGCGCATGTGCTGCGTCCGAGGAGGCGTGATGCCCCCCTGCACCGCCACTTACACTTGCACCTCCGCTTTGCCCAGACGCAGACGCCGAGGCGGTATGTGGCCACCCTGCCGCTGCGCTGCCGGACGAAGAGAAAGGTAGACCGGAATATCCATGCGAAGACAGCCCACTCACACCTCCAGTTCCACTACCACTACCAGTAGCACCGCCCCTGCCAGACGAGTGCGCAAACGGAAGCGTTTCCATGCCACTCAGCCCCCCAAGCCCGGAACTACGAGGGGACGTGGCGGAGTACTGGTTGTGCAGAGGCAGCTCACCGGATGCCTCTCGCGCCACCGAGCTATTGCGGCTCAAGCCGGTGATCATGGAGGATGCGCCGCCTGTGTTCGAAGGGGAAGCGTGCCGCGAGCCCCTGCCGGCGCCCCCGCCCATTGGTTCGCCAAGGTCGAGGTAGGTGCTGCCGCCACCACCTACGCCTCCCGCACCTGCTGCACCGCTGCTGCCGCCACCGAGGAAAAGTTCGCTCAGGCGCGAGCCTTGTCCACTCTCGAATCCGGAGCCGGTCGTAATGGAGTGCGATGAATGCGAGGAGGGCGGACCAGCGTAGCTCATCGGCCGCTGATTTCGATGCTGCGAGCCATTAGAGTACGTGGCGGATGCGTAGGAAGAGCTGTACGGTCCTGTTGCCAGTCCATGTCCGGCGTAGGCTCCAGTATTGATGGTGGGTTGCAGCCCGCTGCCGCTCGCGGATACCCCTAGCCCTCCATCCGACGAGCGCGTGTAATCCCGCACGCCGTGCTGGTAGTGGTGGTTAGCGAATCCGGAACCAGGGCCCGAGCTAGGACCAGCAGCGGGAGAACCTGCTGCACCCGCGGAGGCGCTAGAAGGCGAGCCATACATCCTCTGGAGCTGCTGCTGCGGTGATGTACCGGGCGAGACGATGCTGGAAGCTGTGGACGTTGCGAGCCTCGAGGTCTGCACCTGCAGCGGGCTGTGGTGGGCCGAGTGGTGACTGTTGGACGTGCTAATCGAGTTGGACAGCGCAAGGCTGGCGTTGATGCCGCCAGGGCTTAGCGACGTTGCCGTCGACGGGTCTGCGTAGCCGGGATGCGCACCGGCCGAGTAGCCAGGAGCATGCGCTTGGCTCAGGAAGTCAGACTGGCTCGACTGGCTGCGCAGACTTTGGCGAGGCGAGGTGTACATTCCCGGATGCGCGGCATGTGACATGGGCGGCCCCAGTGAAGCACTCGCATCACTTGGTCCCCCTCCCCCGCCTCCACTTCCTCCTCCGGGTGCATATGTTGTCGGCGAACGAGGTTGTTGGTGCTGATGCAGATGCTGATGCTGGTGCTGCTGCTGGTGCTGCTGCTGGTGTGTATGCGGATGTTGACCGGAGTACCCTGCGTACGCAGCATGTTGGTGCTGCGTTGGCGCCTGCTGCTGCTGCTGTGGCTGCTGCTGTTGATGATGCTGATGATGCTGTGCCTCCAGAGCCCCCATGTTGATGCCAACATGGGAGTCATGCCCTGTCTGTTGCTGTAGCCGAGAAGTGTAATCGTCCGCACTTCCCGCGCCGGCCCCATAGTAGGAGCGCGAGCTTGGGCGCGCCATGCTGCCCGGATACGATGCCCAGTCAAGAGTCGATCAGGGTAATGGTATCGGATGGGATGAGACGAGGGCTGAGCGGGAGAGCCACCCGGCTCGTGCTGCTGCTGCTCCTGGTGCTGATGGTGTGGGATGCATGCATACCTCGTATGTGTACGTAGATGCGGTCTGACAGATTCAATTGCCGAAAGGTGCAGTCTCTCGAAGGGCCAATCGGTCGGTCGATTCCAGAGCTCCCCTGCGTTCTATTACCGTGTGAAGGGCACGCTTGAGTAATGCTAGGGTATTCGATGACGGATACGACGTATGGAAGCTTACGTCGTAGGAGTGAGCAGTGCAGAACGCGAAAGGCGGGGGAGACGTTTATTTCTGTTCCCCTTGACTTATGGCGGCCAAGAGGTTGCAATGATATATGATCGCTCGCAGCTGTCCTACTCTTATAAAGGTACTTGTACATGCACCTCACCCCCGATTCCTCGTTCTCAGGTAGAGTACAGGCGCGCCCTGTCCTTGTCAACATCAGCAGGCAAACGGCAAACGCCAAGCTCCCTCCCTGAGCATAGCGCACAATGTCCACTGCAGCTGGACATCCGCAGCAGGAGCTGTTGGCGCCATCCGGGCTCGCCGCGCACCTCCGCGCGCTGACGTCGTCGACGGCGTCCCCGGCACGCGCGAGCGCGTACTCTGGTGTGCTCGTGCAGCTACTCGCATCCCCGCGCGCCAAGGTGTCCCCCGCGGAGCTGCAGCAGCTGCTCAACGTCTACATCGATGCGACGGCCCTCGCGGACGTCAACGCCTCCGGCGGCGGACTCGTCGTAGGGCGCCAGGTCCTCGCCGACTTTGACCATGCCATCCGGCAGACTGCCGCCGCCGCCGGCAAAGAGAGCAGTAGCGGTGTTTCCGCCACGGCAGCAAGCGACGCAAATGCCATGAGCGTAGATGAAGATAGCCCGAACACTCCAGCCATTGCAGAACTCGAGACGCGGCGCCAAGTCATTCAGAGCGTCGTCGACAGACTCCAACAGCGTACGCAGGCGTTCGAAGAGCAGGTTGGTCCGTTTGTCACTCTGCCACAGGTGGCAAGCTCTTGATGTGCTCTTTCCCCTCCTGGTGCAACGCAGATCACACGATTGCGAATTTATCTCTGCACTTTGCTAGAAGCAGAGGAGGACTGGCTCGAAGCGGCCAAGGCGCTGTCGGGCATCCCGTCGCTCGACGCCTCGAGCCGGTCCATGACGGACCTGAGCCGACTGGACACGTACGTGCACATCGCGCGCCTCTACCTTGAAGCGGACGACACGGTCCAAGCGGACGTGTACCTCAAGCGCGCTTCACATCTCCTCACCGCCGCGCAGGACGCAGCGCGCTCCGGCGATGCGGCCCACGGAGCGCAGGCGAAGGTTCTGCTGCTGTCGTACAAGCTTAGCCAGGCGCGCATCTACGACGCGCAGCGGCGCTTCCTCGAAGCTGCAACCCGCTTCCACGAGCTGAGCTACGTGGCCGACATAGACGATGAGGAGCGTATGCAGATGCTGTGAGTCCACAAGCAATAGCTGTAGCTAGCATGTCTGCTACTTTGGCTCTGACACTCCCCTTTGTCCTGAATCCATCTGCCTTGCGGTTCGCACAGCTCTGCAGCAGTGACGGCAAGCATCCTGGCGCCCGCGGGCCCGCAGCGCTCGCGCATCCTCGCAGCGCTGGTGCGCGACGACCGGACGACACAGCTGCCGCAGCGCACAATCCTGTCCAAGGTCTTCCTCGACCACATTGTCCGCCAGGCGGAGATTGGCGAGTTTGAGAAGCTGCTCGCGCCACATCAGATGGCGCGCATCGTGCCGAGCGCAAACGACAAGGCCATGTTCGCCATGGCTGATGCCGAGCAGGAAGCAGCAGTGGGGGCTGAGGGAGGAATCGAGAAGAAGCGGCACGGTCCCTCGACGGTCCTCGACCGCGCGATGATGGAGCACAACGTGCTCGCCGCCTCGCGCCTGTACACGACCATCACCCTTGCCGGGCTCAGCAGCCTGCTGGGCGTCAGCATGATCGGAGCTGAAACGATTGCCCGCCGCATGATTCTGCAGCGGCGTCTCGCGGCCGAGATCGACCAGAGCGAAGCCGTACTGACATTCCGTGAAGAGGCGCGTGTCATCGGCGGCGCGAGCTTCGGCGAAGGTAGCGAGATGACGAACAACGTCGCGGCCAGCGCCGGCGCCGGCGAGGACAAGAAGGAAGACGGCGCCGGTGCACTGGGTGCTGGCGCAGGCGGGGTCGACGAGTTGGTCGACGACGACTTGGACCCGGATGCTATTTGCACAAAGCGGTGGGACGCGCACATCGCCCGCACTGCCGCCCGGCTCGAGGATGTGTACCAGCGCTTGCTCAAGCAGGGTGTCATTAACGCCGCTGCATCCACCAAGGCAGCCGCATGAGCGTAAGCTTGAGCGCACGTATGCGCACACAGCGGCGGCGGTGGCTGTCGCCGCTCGTTCCTGCTCCCCAGCGAGCGTCAGTATACGACCGCACCTTTAACACACCTATGTAGCAACACCTTCCAACGATGCACGATACAGCATTGCACAACACACTCACACGCCACTCTGTATTATACCATCAGCACATGCTCATATACGTATCCGGCTCTGTACTTTCATCTGTTACACGCAGGTAGTCAGGCAGGCGCTCAGAAACAGTACTTGTCAGCGCCGTTGCTTGTTGTTGGACATTTCTCGATTGCTAGCGAATAGAAAACAGGCGCAATGTGTGAAGCTTCGAAGTAGGCCAGTAGAGCCAGAGGGAGACGAGGGAGACTGGCGCACTCGCTTGCCGTGTAGAGTCGAGTCTCGAATCGTCTGCTACCCTTCATCATCTCTCATTGCTTCGCTTTTGGGAATGTGTGAGCTGTGAGATGAGGTGGGCGCAGGTAGAGAGTAAAGGCTCTGATGTATGTGCTTGGTTGCGAGCAGGAGCAGGTATGATGATGTATGTCGAGTGATAGCAAGGTGCTGCAGGAGAGGAAAACGCAGCACGCTTTCGTCCGCCGCCGCATCCGCCACTAGCGTCGCATCTATCTATTCTTCTTTCTTCATGTAATTAAAGCCGAGCCGAGTCGACCAGGCGAGCGCGAGTGCGTGCATTCAGCTGGTGCTCATCGCGAGCTTACCCCCCGAAAAGCCGTTGTTCTGCGATCCGCGACGCGATCCAGCTTGCGAGCCGCGCCTGGAGCCCGGCGCGGATGTGCCGGCAGGGCCGAGCTTGCCCATCTTCATGCCCTCGTCGAGCGAGTTGAGGAGATCCATACTGAGAGGGAAAGAAAGAAAAGGAGAATAGGTTAGTGGGTCAGCTTGGATGCTTGGCTACATGTGGCGCGGCGCATCGCGGCCGATGGAGGCTGTACGAACTCGTCCTGGTCCAGTTCAAAGTCGAACAGGTCGGCGTTGGCCACGATACGGCACTTGGTAAGGGACTTGGGGAGAATGATGTTGCCGACGTTCATGCCCCATTTGAGCAGGACCTGTGCGGAGGACTTGTCGTGTTTCTTGGCAATCGCGACAATCTCTGGGCGCTCGAGCGCGGCGCCCTGCGCCATGGGCGAGTACGCCTGCACGTGGATGCCGCGGGCGATCGTCGCTTCGCGCAGCTCCTCGTGCTGAAAGAAGGGGTGCGACTCGATCTGGTTGACCGCCGGCTTGATGCGGCAGTTGGCGAGTAGGTGGTCTAGCTCGTCGACGTCGAAGTTGGAAACACCGATCGAGCGAATCTTTCCGGCGTCGACGGCGGCCTCCATGTCTTTCCACGCCTTGAGACGCGCCTCTGTACCAAGATTGCCGGGCGAGTGGACGAGGTAAAGGTCCTGAACATGCGCCAAGGAGAGCGGATTATGCGTCAATGCTGCAACTTTCACGAGATGCAGCGAGAAAGCAGTCCAAGCCTCACCATCTGCAGCCAGAGAGAAAAATTGAGCAAGCGAAGGCAAAGGAAAAACCAAAGTGTCGCGTCAACAGACAAGCCCTTGCAGGAGCAAACAGATCCCTAGGAAATTAAAAGAGGAACGACTCACGTAGTCAAGCTGCAGCTTCCTGAGCGACTCGTCGATCGCCTCGGCCGCACGCTCGTGGTCGGCATCCCAGAGCTTGGACGTGACGAAGATATCCTCGCGCGGGACGCCCGATTTGGAGGTGAAGTCCTTGATTGCGCGGCCGACGGCTTCCTCGTTGGCGTAGCGGGCCGCTACAGGCGATAAACAAATTGTATTATCAGCAGGGATGACAGCGGTGAGAGTGCAAGTGGTATAGTCAGCAAGCAGATTTCCTATGATGATTGTTTTTGCTGCGAACCCCGAAAACCCAAGTTTGCACCGCTCACCGTCGGCTACAAAGCTGAGGGCGCATATATCCACCATATATGCACCAATCTGGCGGCAAGGGCATCGCCCGTCGACGGTTCAAAGCCCTTTCCCCCTTCTGCTGCTGATCAGGGAACACTGATTAAAGCACAATCGGATTACCAATAAGACGATCCAGCGTAGGTAATACCCAAGAAGGCCAGCTGTGTCGCCATTAACCCTCCTTTTTGCCTTTTCTATTCTCCCCTGTTCATGCCCAAGAAAGAGGGTAATAGCATGATCCCGGTAACTCACCGCCATCGACGTGCCTGTAGCCAGCCTCGAAGGCCCATTTGACAGCGTCCTCGGTAGTAGCGTCATTGGGCGCCTTGTAGACGCCGAGTGCGACCTGGGGAATGTAGTGGCCGCTGTTGAGCTTGATCTTGGCGTCGCTGACGCTGGAGCGGCGGCGCTCGCCATTGAGCAAGCCGGCGGCGCTCTGCTTGCGCTCTCCGTTGGGGGCGACCTGCGCCTTCACGTCAGCGACGGACATGACACCGTCATCGGCTGCGACGTTCAGGGCGTCGATCGACATTTTGTGTGAAGTGCGGCTGCTGCTGCGGATGGTGCTGCGAAGGAAAAGTGAGAGGGTGGGTTGCGAAAGGGCAGATTGCCAGGAATTTAAAAAAATGTGTTTACTGCAGCGGAAGCGAAGCAAGCAGGAGCACGAGAAAGGAAGGATGGGTTGAGATGGCGGAGTCTCTTATATACAGGTTTCCAACCTCACACACACATCATACAGCCATCTATCACACGCGTATTATCACAATAGCAAGATTCGTCAGCGGTCTTTGTGACGGGACGGAGATCATCGCGAGTCGCATGTCTCAATCGCGCTGTGTCTGTTTGTTTGTTATTGAAGCGCGCAGATACATGTAGGATGAGGGGGCTGCACACGTGCGTGTGCGCAATCACATCCTCTCGTTCACTGACGCTCCTCACTCGGACCGTCGACACGGCCCTCAGAGTTGCAAGGAAACAATTTGTTGAACCGAACAACCAACGATGAACGCGGAACATCGCCGATATCGCTCACCAGAGAGGGAAGGAGAGGAGACAACGAGAACAATTACACTCACAACCAGCCTGGAAAGTGCAAAGGAACTGTCGATGTGACCAGGTTGCAAAGGTTAGCGGGTGGTTGGCGTCGCTGGTAAAAGCTGTACAAATGTACACTCATACATACAATTGCAGAGACGTGGGGCGGTAAACGGTGGGGTAGAGCACTGCACTAGTGTCTCCCCAGGCTCCTGCAGCCGTGCAGCGTGGGGCGCAGCATGACGTAATGCGCACCCCGGTTTCACCGATCGCGTTCTTCAATCTGACCACACAGTGTTGTCACTGTGGCTCACTGGTGGGCAGGCAGGTCAGCACCTCCAGAGAACAGGGCACCGGAAATAGAGGGGTCCGATGCAAAGTCACTTTCGGGAGAGAGACTGTAGTGAATTCGTTGGGAACATACGTACCTACGTGGAGGGAATGCGATGAGATGCGTGTGGCTCCCATGTATGTCATGCGAGAAGGATGTTGCACACACAAGTGGTGCTATGCATGCCAAACAGCGATGCTATTTGATGGAAGCTGATCCCGATCTGTATTTGCTACACTCGCCGCTGCGGACGAACGCTTCGATGGCTACTGGTGACGACCGACCGTCGGCTGGTGACAAAGATGATTATGGTTGCGAGATCTGCAGCTGAGGTCCGAGCGGCAGACGCACAGACCAGGCAAGCCGAATCAGGCCCGAAAGCCGAACTCTGGCTGCTGGCTCTCCCAGTGCCCCTTGCCAACGCAGCCAGAGTCACCTCTTCGCCCCTTGCCCCTCGGCAGGCTGCCACCATGCGCACCAACCATTGCTGACATCATCGCTTCCATGGGATGAACCCCAAGGGCCATAAGCGTGGCCCATGAAGGGAAAGAGCACCAAACGAGGGATGCGATCCAGCTTTCCTGCAGCATGTCTCACCAGCGTTTGCCTGTTATAGCAAAGTCAAAAGCTTGGGCATCTGCGAGCAGCGAGACACGACAACTCACCTGCCGTGGGTGCGTTCGCTTCGCGTTCAGAGGCGCAGACCCATCGAAATCCACATGTCGCGGGGAGATCCATGCTCCATCGACGGAGGCGCCCGCTGGCGGATGTTCATGAAATGAACTTTATGAAGTGACCGATGAACCCGCATTGACCCACAGCCTCCCTCGGCACGCAGGCCGCCAACTCCATGGCCATACAATCATTTTTTTTACTTTCCTTTTCTCCACCTCACGCGAAGAAGCAGTCTGGCGTTCCGCTTGGGGTTTGCGGACTGCGACCCTTCGTCATCACTCATCGCAACCGGGGATACCTTTCGAAATGTTGGCTTGAGGCTATTGATTACAAAGCATGTCAACTGTCTATCCTTGTCAGCCCTTGTCCATTCATGATGGGACTGTACTGAGTGCGCCTAGTAAATAGCTGATTGCCCCCAAGTCGGAAGCTCGACAGCATTTGATGAGATGAGGCTGTGTCAATACTTCATTGTGCATTCCCTGTGCTTGGGCCTTGGGCCAGTGGTCAGCTGCAGCAGTTGAGGTCAAGCATACTACAGCCCTGTTAGTCGGCTTGCCCACCGGCATTGCCAACTTCGCGCTTCCTTTCATGGTGAACGTCTTCGGTCTTCACGCTTCACGCGCTTCACCGTTCATACATTCATCCCCAGCTGATGGTGCTGCTCGTGGGTGGTGCCTGTGCGAGCTTCATCAGAGCAAAGGTGCCACCGCAGAGGCCATCACCCTGTAATCAGAAAGAAGCCCTGAAAGCGCGTGATCCGCAAGGGAAGCTTTTCCAAGGCACCCATATGTATTGACGACTCCATTTTGAATTACATCGTTACTACTCTTCCAAACCTCGCTTCAAATCTACCTCTGCGGAGTGCGTCTGGCGTGCTGTCCATGAGGACGGGGCAGCAGCCAGCGTGCCATCAGCGACGAGGGCCGTGTCGGCGGCGCGCAGCCCCTTAATGGCGTTACCCTTTTGCAGAAACACCTGCTGCTGTAGCTTGGCCTTGCGCAGGTCAAGAAAGAACAGGCCTGAGCAGCTGGCGACAGTGAGCGCGAGGAGGAACGCGAACGGCATCCGAGGGTTGTTCACCCGGCTTGCGATGGCCGAGCTGATGAATGGGCCCATGAAAGCGGACGTCTTGCCGACCAGCGAGAACAAGCTGAAGAAGAGGAACTCGTAGCCTTTCGGCGAGAACTCGCTGATCATCGTAAACGATACTGCGTACCACGGACACACGAAGAGCCCGTAGAAGGCCTGGTACGCGTACGCCTCCCACACGCGCTGAAAACCAAAGCGGTCCTGATGCCCAATGGCACCTATCAACCCCCAGATTTGCAAAAGGATGATCCCAGGCACGATCAGGTTGAACAACGTCAGAGTCGACAGCTTGAACCGCTTCTGGACCAGCCAGCTGTGAGTTTCGAAAAAAGGCGCTGGGTCAGATGCGTACAGCCTAGCCTCCATCTGGACTGCTGCAGAGGTGCACTCACAATCCATAGATGCCGATGCCTTGCGCGGCGATGCCGAGGATGAGTTGCAGGTTGAGCTGGGTGGTGCTAAAGCTGACTAGGTCGTTAGTGATCGTGCTGATCACCGTCGTTGTCGTGACGAGCGCATCGCTGAGAAAAAAATACACGATCAGGTAGATCAGGCTCTGCTTCAGCTCCCAGATCACCTTGATCGTCGTCCAGGCCTGCATGGCGCCCGCAGTGATATAGTTCGTCCCCCGCGGCAGCGGCTGTCCAGGTCGGTGCTTCTCCAGCAGGAACCACGGGAGTGCGGTTAGGGTCCAGGCACCGCCGGAGAAGGCGATGATGATGGACAGCGCGCGTGTGTTGCTCTCCTGGTCCGCGTCAGCGCGGATGCCGATTAGAATGCCCTGGATGATGGCGAGTAGGACGAGCTCACCGAGCGAACTAACTGCGAACGAGATGTTCGAGATCCGGTTGCGCATCAACTGGTCCGTCTTCTCCAGCTGCTCGGGCGAGCTCTCTCCGGCTTTCAGCTTGCGCTCCTCCTCGCGCACCTCGCGGCTGCACCGCGCCATGCCAGGGAACGCAGCGGCCCAGAAGGACAGCGAAAGCTGGTAGCTGACGAGGCCCATGATGTACAGCGTCGTCCCTGTCGGGTCCCACTTGGACGGAGAGGTAGCGCCAAGCCAGGCGAAGGAGACAGCTATGCCGAGCGCAGAACTGACGATCAGGATGTACGGCCGAAACGTCCCGTAGTCGGCCATGCTACCCAGCAGGACGAAGAGCACGGCTTGGATAACAAATGAGATTCCATCTGCACATCCACAGAGCGTGTGTCCATCAGATTTGCGGACCTGGTCCACACCATTGGGGAAGGCAATGACTCTACTCACTGACGAGCAGGACGATCGAGGTGGGCGAGCGCATCTGCCCCGCCCAGAGGAGTTTGCATACATCTTGACCAATTCCCCCGCAGAGTTGGTTCCCCGAAGCGTCTAGCGGGGCGAGGTTATTTGCACGGATGGTGAGCAGGTTTTGATATTGTGTCGGTGCAAAATTGAAGACGCCAAGACCAGAGTTGCCGCTTCATATGTGTGTGTAGCATGCGAACGTAAGCTTCAAGTCTGTCGTCTCCAGTATCGGCAGCAGAGGTGCAAGGTAGGTAGTTCCAGCACTGACCAAAAGAAAGTAAAAATTCACATGTAATAAATATAGTACGCCCAAAGCTCGTTCCGGGTCAGGTCGTATTGGGGGTCGGCAATGGCAGTCGATGTAGCGCTGGACAGCAGTGCCGCGGTGAACTCCTTTTTGTATGTCGACGGCGCTGTGAAGGAGGTGCGGGGGGTGCGCGAGGTTGTGGAAAGCCTCGGCCGTGGCACGCCTGCCTGTTCCTGTTGATGGTGATGGGCGTCGCCTTCGTCTATCCTCATACCGGCGCTTAGCCCATCCACATCGGGCTTGACAGAGAACGAGCCAGTATCCTGTCGGGCGTGCTTTGGCCTCTTGCCGAGCGAATGGAGCGGCAGCTCCTCCGTGGACGGCATGGCTTTTCGCTCGTGCATGAGCTTTCAGCAATGATACACCGAAGAGCTTTAACGCAGCGAAATAATGAAGATTCTATGCCTGTTTGCACCTGTCCTGGGGGTGATTAGGCGCTGAGGTCGCAAGCGCGTTTACAACAGTGAACCAAATGGAACAAGGTGGAGCGAAGTGTGAAACTGGCGGAGATAATGATATTTGCCGGAGAAATGGAAAGGCCCCGGGGTTCTGTGAAACGTCCCGGCCTCCTGGGGGTTTCACCCGCAGATTTATGGGGATGGGTCCTTGTAAGCTCCACCAGAAACAGCATGTACATATTGTGTAAAACCCGCCGGTTGAAAGCAGTGCTTTCGGCAATGACACCGGAAATGCAACCGATGTCCCGGATGGAGACACGACGTCCATGTAAATGGCGAGGACGAGTTTGACGAGAGCTCGTCCAAGAGATGACGGTGCATTGGTCTTTGTATGCCTTGCTGTGGATATATAGCCCTCTCTCGACCTTTATCTGTTGGTGATCAGGAACTCGTCCCGGGGCAGCAGAAACTCCCAGCCTCAACACGGAGGCAGACACCGACTTGTCGCTTTCATCCTAACACCCGAGCATCAACGCTCGACAGGCTGGCACGTGGCTGCTGCTCGACCATGGCAGACCCGGTTGTGCTCCCGTATGTTCCCAGCACCTCCATCTTCAAGAATGACATATTCAAGGGAAAAGTCGCCTTTGTGACGGGCGGAGGAAGTGGAATCTGTGAGCTGGTGCTTGGCGAATGGAATTACGATCATAGATCAGCTTGTCTGGCAAGCCCATTGCCGCTGATAACATACATACTCTCGCTTCGCTTATGCCCGAGCAGGCCAGACGATGACACTCAACCTGATGCAGCACGGCTGCAGCGCAGCTATCGTCGGCCGCAAAGCGGACCGCTTGCAAGCATCCGCTGACTGGCTCCAGAAGCAAGCAGGCAACGGCACAAAGTGTATTGCAACGCCCGCCGACGTCCGCACACCCACTGACCTGAACGAGGCTGTCAGAAAGGTGAGAGCCTCGTCCCTTCCATTGGGGCAAGTTGGTGTGCTGATAGTGTCGCATCTTATGCATGAATGCCTTCTAATAGACGGTAGAAGCGTTTGGCCGCATCGACTTTGTCATCTGCGGTGCCGCCGGCAACTTCCTTGCTCCCATGGATGGTCTGTCGGAAAACGCGTTCCGGACGGTGATCGAAATCGACCTGCTCGGCACATACAACACCTTCAAGGCGACTATCGACGAGCTCAAGAAGAGCCACGGCGCGTACATCCATATCTCCGCGACGCTCCACTACAATGGCCTTCCGTGGCAGGCAGCGGCGAGCGCCGCCAAGGCCGGCATCGATGCGCTCAACCAGTCGATCGCAGTGGAGGTGAGAGTGACTTATCCTTTGCTATGCGCTCAGTTTTTGCTTTCTTAACTCTTTTATCTGTGCTTCCCTGTGCGAAATTGAAGTACGGTCCATTTGGCGTGCGCTCCAACGTCATCGCGCCTGGCCTGATCGCCGACACAGAAGGCGCGGACCGCTTGACTCCCAAGGGCGCGGAAGACTTTATGAGTATGCGCATCCCCCTCCAGCGATCAGGCCAGAAGGGAGATATCGGCAACATGGCAATCTTCCTCTTCTCTGATGCCGCTAGCTACATCTCTGGCTCGAGGTTCATCGTCGACGGTGCCAACTGGCACAACGGCGGTTTCTGTGAGTGTCACTTTGTATGCTACCACCGTCAAAGAACCCGGAAGGTTGACAAGACAAGATCCTTGTGATGTTTTCCAGGGCTCCCGTACCCTGATTCGCAACTCGACCCAAAGAGTATCAAGGATCTTATTTCAGGCAGCAAGCTCTGAATACTGGCGAAGAAGCTCAATTCTGGTCATACCCCGTATCTTATGATATGCATGTATTTCGGTGCCCTCGAAGCGGAAAAAGAAGCTAGATGGATCCGAAGGAAAAATGTTTGCATCGCCCGATTACGATCACGTACAAATACATATCACCACTTGGTTGGCGACACACGACTGAGAGAGTAAGGATGTCTATGACCAAATAGATAGCCGATGCTGTTGGAGCATCGGTTCTGAATTCCGTGCGACCTTTCCCAAAAAAATGCTCTGCCAAATGCGCTACAGCTTGACTCGACCCGTCAGTCGAGGCTCAGTCTGGATGCCGCCATTGGCGGAGAGAGGATGCTGGCGCTCTGTCGGCGTATGTTGCTACCAGCGACGTTCTCTACCATCACGCTAGCCATCTCGTCCGGCGACCCGCCGGCCAACGAAGCACGGCTCTGCGATTTGGCGTGCGCGTGCGCCGAGACGTGGCGTGTGGTGCGCACAAAATTGAACATGCCAATCGACTCGTGCGCGACGCGCAGGCCCTTGCCGAAATTCGCAAAAACGAAGATGCCGATGACGATCGTACATAAGAGCGTGCCGATCGCGAAGCACGACATGAACGTCAGGCTCAAGCGGACGTAGCGGTAGTCCTGCTCAGAGTCCGGCATGTAGATCCGGCTCAGCTTCCAGACAAAGTACGTGAGACCCGTGACGAGCATGATCAGGCTGCTGCCCATGAGAAAAGGCTCTTCTTTTCGCGCGGCAAAGGCGGAGAGAACCAAGACCAGGACAGCGATCGGGATGGCCGCGATGGTGACGCCGTATGCCCAATCGCGCTCGTCTGCGATTAGGATGAGGTACGCGCTGGGTAAGAAAGGACGCACCAATACTTGACAGTCAACGAAAAGGGACTGAGAAAGCGACTACGGAGCAAAGACTCACACCGTGAAGAAGATGCCAAAGATGAAGCATAACTTGAGAAAGACGACGTAGAGCTGATAGACAAGGTAGCGGTTACGCAGCGTGCGGTCCGCGCCAATGTTGGTGTATATGCTCCACGCAAACTCCTGCCACAGGCGGAACGCGATGCTCGCAAGGACAAACTCGGCGATCCCGATGACGGCCGGAACAACTATGAGGAACGAGCGGACCTTGGGCTCGAGCGTGGCCAATGCACGACAACCCGCAAAGCTGTCGGCCGCTCGGCACTTTACACCGTCGCCGAATCGGTCTTGCGCGTCCAGCGCGTCACGGACTTGCGGTATCTCAAGCGCCGCTGCGACGCAAAGGGCAATATTGAAGACGAGTACACCGATCACCTGCGAGCGAAAGCGTCAGCTCGAAGAAGTGAAGAGCAGCAGGCGCCTTTAACGTGATATTGTAAGCTCACCTGTAGTGTGTTCTTTAGTCGCACAGCGTCGAGTGCGATGAGAAACTGGAAGAACATGCCGACGACGAGAAGCACCAGGTAGACGCTCATCGTCTTGAGGTCCTGCACCTTGTGGTCCGTGCGTGCCTGGATGTAGCCGAACGCGAGTGCAGCCATGACGATGCAGATGGCGCTCTCGACAAAGATGGCGATCATCCATGCACCGGCCCAGCGGTTGGGTAGGAGCTTCTCGCGCTTGCGCGACGAAATGGTTGCGACGGACAGGCCCGTCTCGCGTGTCAAGGCCGACGCGCGCGATCGCTTCGTCTTGCTACTCTGTACCATGTCGCCTGCTGGGTTGAAGCTGGTGCTGCCGCTGCCGTTGCCGCTTACCGGGGAAGCGGCGAGCGGAGGCGACGTGATGGGCGAGCGATACGGCGGCGAACCGTTGGCTGCTGTGTGGCCTTCGATGGAAGAATGTGGGTTGGGCATTGGCGGTGAGGTCATGCTTTGGGCAGGATAGCCTGCGCCGGCAGGCATCGCGCCGGACAGGCTGCCAGTGGCGTAGTGCCTCGAGTGCGACTGCCGCATCTGGGCTGCATCGGGGGAGAGCTGACCGAACTGGTTGTATGGCGTGATACCCGTCGCGAGCGCCATTTCGCCGCTGCGACTCGATACGCTGCTTATCCTCGCCTGCGGATGGCCCATTGCCCCCGCTGGAGGATACGACGATTGGGAGGCGGCAGAGAACGGGGGCGAGGGTGAAGTAGCGGGCGATCCTGCGAGAACCTGAGAGTGGGGCACAGTCGCTACTGAAGAGGACGAGTACAAATTTGCGATAGGCGCTTGCACACTTGCTTGATGGGCACCAGCAAAAATCGAGCCCGGAGACGCTGGCTTGGCTGCGCCGGGTGGTAGGTGGCTATGTTGCGAGCCAGGAGAAGGAAGAGAAGGAGGTGAAGCAGCGAAAGCATAACCGGCGCCTGCTGCAGGTTGCTGCTGGTAGTATTGTGAGGCCGCCTCATACTGTTGGTAAGGGGACGCCATGTCGAAAGCGAGCTTGTCAGCACCTGCCCGCTAGTTACCGACCCTTCCGCGATCTACGTCCGCGCAGCGCGGTGGTCCGGACAGCGGTGCTCGATGTGCCCAGCGGCCTTGCTATGTTGCGAAGAAGAGAATTCAGGGTCACTCGCCGCCGAGGTGGGAAGGAGCTGCTCGAGGTACGACACGATGCGATGCGTTGAAGGCAAACTTAAGGATCATTGTCATTCAAGAGATGCATCGCTTGCGATGACGGGACTGTCTCATGCATTTCATTTCCTGCAGCCGCTCTATACGGGGAAACCTCATACACTCCCGGGGTAAACTGCACAATTCGAACATGAATAAGAAGGGAATCCCCGGATACAGACTCTGCTTCCCGGCTTGGCACAGCATTCGGGAGATGATTTGTTGGAGTTGATCGGCTTGTCCGGAAGAAGCAAAGTGATGGCGAGGATGATGATGCTTCTTGCTTTTTCGGAGGTGGTATTGCGAGGTGCGCACTCTAGAGACAAAGTTACAGTCCGCTAATTGGTCTACGACTGCATCTGTGCATATTGGAACGGTTTGTTTACGGTGTCCGCATACCTAACGAGAGCGATTGGGGATGGCAATGGCGGTGGCAGCACAGACCTTGCTGGCGGCCGAGCCAGGGGCAGAGGCGCACGGACGGCTTTCGCTGCGACAGGCAAGCGTCTTATCGCATCCGCAAGATGACGATCGACCCCTCTTGAACCTCTTCTCTGGGAACGGTAGCGAGGCTAACATCAGCGACGACGAAAACTCCGATGAAAGCACCGACGCTGCAAGCCCGGTCGCTGGGCCGTCAAGCCGCAAAGCGGTTGCACAAGGAGCAGCAGAGTCGGAACTCGTTCCGGCGCAACGCCAGAGCATTCTTAACCGGCGTGCAGTCGTGCGCTACTTTTCAGACGCAACCAAGACGCCCGAAGTACACGACATCACGCCGCCCGCCGCGAGCTCTTCGTCCTCGCCTACCTCGACATTGCCGATCGCCCGCACCCTGGGCGCAACCGACGCACGCGGCACCCAGTACGATGTCTTGCTGAAGCTCGACGTCAGCACCGGCTGCGGGGGGCGGATCTGGCCTGCTGCGGAGGTGCTCGGCGCGTATCTTGCTTCGCATGGCCCGGACCTGCGCGAGCGCTGGCGTGGTAGGACCATTGTCGAGCTCGGCGCCGGCACCGGGCTCGCTGGCCTGCTCGTCGCGCGTATGGGCCTTGGCGTGCAAGGCGTGTGGATCACGGACCAGGACGCGATGATGCAGCTGATGAGGGAAAACTTAGCGCTCAACCAGACTCAGGCGCAGGCGCCGCTGCCGGATCCGTGCCATGTCGAAGAGCTCAACTGGTGGGTCCCTGTGCAGAAGCTGTGCAGGCTCCGCCTACACAGAACGCTGATGATGACCCGTCTCGCTGCAGGGGCGAGCCGATACCAGACACGGTGCCATCGCAGCCGGATGTACTGCTGCTCGCTGACTGCGTCTACCTCGAGATAGCGTTCCAACCGCTGGTCGACACGATGGCCGCGCTGAGCACGCCGGCGACCGAGATTCTGTTCTGCTATCAGAAGCGGCGCAAAGCGGACAAGCGATTCTTTGCGCTGCTGCGCAAAAAGTTCACCTTCGACAACGTCGACGACGATGATCCGGTGCGCATGGAGCGCTATAGGCGCGAGGGCACGCAGCTGTTGCGAGTGCGGCGCAAGCAAAGCTAAGGAAAGAAAAGCCAGACGAGCACATCTTTTTTGTTGTACTACAAATCTCTTTTGCATTTATTCCAGACAATTACGCCTCACCATTTGATAGAAGAAAGGTGGCGAGTGCGAATAGGTGCCGAAACGAGCGCAATTGGATTGGGGATTCGGCTCGAGAATAGAAGCAGAGGGGGAAATGAAGGGGTATCTATTCGGCGACGAGCCGAATGGAGAGGTCGGGTCGGGCAGGGGCGTATCTCCGCACGCCACGTAGTCAGCTGAGCGACCTGAACTTGTCCGTCGCCTCGAGGAGGAGATGGGCGATGCCAGGCTCGCGCGCCGAGTGGCCGGCATCGGGGACGAGGTGGAACTGCGCCTCCGGCCAGCGCTCGTGCAGGTTCCACGCGGTCGCCGCGGGGCACACGACGTCGTAGCGCCCTTGCACAATCACCGCAGGAATTGAGCGGATGCGGTCAATGTTGCGCGCCTCGAGCAGTTGCCCGTCCTTCATCCAGCCATTGTTGATGAAGAAGTGCGCCTCGATGCGGGCGCTTTGAAAGAAATTAGGAAAAATGGCCAATGTCGTATCAGCGCACCTTCACTTGTATGAGACTCAGGTTAATCGGAGCGCGGTACTCACAATTGGAGCGCCCACTTTGGCAATCAAAGCGAAAGAAAAAGGGAAAAAAGATAGACTCGCACAATGTCAGCACCGAAACATAAGGGCATCTGTGTCGACCTGTCATGCCGCGCCATACGCACCTGATCGTCGTCACCCCTGGCGATGGCGTCGGGGTCGACGTACAGATTGGACGTGGCGTTTTCCCACGTGCTCCACCTCCTTGCGGCGTCAAGGCGAACTTGGGGGTCCTTGTGCGTGAGGCGCTTGTAGTACGCCTTCATGAGGTCTGCGCGCTCACGCTCGGGTATGTACTCGCGGTATGCCTGGAACATCTCTGGGAACATGTGGCCTGCGCCGTCCTGGTAGAAGAAGCGGAGCTCGGCCTTACGCAGCGTGAAGATGCCGCGCAGGACGAGCGCCACGACGCGGTCCGGGTGCTGTTGCGCGTAGGCGAGCGCAAGCGTCGAACCCCAGCTGCCGCCAAAGACAAGCCAGCGGTCGATGCCGAACTTGGCGCGCAGCTTCTCAATGTCTGCCACGAGGTCCCACGTCGTGTTATTCTTGAGCTCCGCTGGCGGCGTGCTCCGCCCGGCGCCGCGCTGATCGAAGCACAGAACCCGGTAGTGCTGCGGGTCGAACCACCTGCGGTCGCCCGGCCCGACACCGCCACCGGGCCCGCCGTGGAGGAAGACGACGGGGACGCCGCCCGGCTTGCCGCACCACTCCCAGTACAGCTCGTGCGTATCGTCGACCTTAAGCCGCCCGCTTTCGTACGGATCAATGGGAGGGTAGAGCTGGCGTAAGGCCTTTTTGTGCCCTTCGAGACTGCGGGCTGAAGCGGCGTAGTCCGGCATGGATTTGTCCGTTGACAACAGGGGCGGGCGCATGGGAGCTGCATCGGCAGCAGTGGCGGTGGCAGCAGGAGCACCGGAAGACTTCTTGGTCGTGGACTTGCGACTGCCCACGCCGTTGAGGATCCCCGAACCTAGTCCGTCTTTTGTGGGGACGGCAGGCGGGAGGCCGTTCGCCCCTACACCAGCCTCGTCCTTGGTCTTATCCTTGTCAGACGCATTCTCCTTGTTCATAGTCGTCGTCGCGGTCGATGCGTCGAGAACGATTGGAGCGACGATTGCGCTGCTGGCCGATGCGCTCGCTGACTGTGTCGAGAGGACCGACTTCGTCGGTTTTTCTGGAGTAGCTGGCGCCCCCGCTGCTGCGGTTGTCGTTGCGTCTGCTTCTTTTGCAGCCTCGGTGGGCTTTATATCTGCCAGTGGAACAGTAGCTAGACCAGGCTTTGCAGCGTCCGCCTTTGCGCTGCCGGAAGCAGCGGCATGGCTCTTGTCTGCTGCGGATGCCAACACTAGTGCAGGTGCCTCCGCTGTCTTCTGCTCCTGCTTCTCCTTCTCGACCGGCTGAGGCACGACGGCAGGCTCGGCAGCAGTGCTGTTGGCTTTGGCCGTGTTTTCTGCGGCGGGTAGGGCAGCGCTATCCTTGGCAGGGGCATCTGCCGCTGCCGCTGTGGGTGGTGCATTCTTGCCAGGTTGCGGTGTCTCGTCGACCTTGCTCGCCGCCGTCGCAGCAGCAACCACGGGGAGCTCCGGCAGCCGCGCATTGCTCTTGACGCTGCTGATGGTGCCTTTGTCTTTGGCAGGCGCAGCCGGCGAGGCTGTGCCTGCCGTGTTGCTCGCGTCGGGGGTTCCTGCGTGTGTGGTAGACTTGGCGGGTTTGTCTGTCCTTGAGGCGAGAGCGCCGAGCACGCTGAAGCGCTTCTTGAGCTTTCCGAGAGCGTTGGAAGGCTGCTGCTGCGGCGTTTCCTTCGCCTGGTCGTCGCTGGCCATACTGGAGAAGGAGACGGTGCCTGTGTGTGTTACTTGCGAGCGCGGTCGAAGGTCTAAGCGCCGCGCGCGTGCTCTCTCGATCGCGCTACTTGACTAGAGGGAGGCGCGAATAGCACAACGACAAAGTCCTGCTGCCAGTGCTCTTGTTTTCTCTGCAGAGAGCGGGCGTGGGGCGACGGTGTAAGGTTGGCGTGCGGTGTAGGTAGCATGTGTCTAGCGAGTACCACTAAAAGTGGACAGGAGGAGGGGGCTGCGCCATGTGTCGGCTTGGCTGGGGTGTGGCCGGTGCACTGCAGCAGTGTATATGTATGTGACCGACATCCCGAGGGGAGAAGCTATCTGTGCTCGCAAATCAGTCGATCTCGCCATCAAAAGGGACTTGTTTCTGGGTATTAATTTCATGTCGAGTTTATGTACATGAAGACGAGACCATTTCAGGCCGATGGGATGAGCTGGTCCCTGCCAGCATTCAGCATGGGCGATGAGACGATGATAGAGGGAAGCGCAGCGGCGAGCGCATGGCGGCTTTCCTTGGCCATTTCCTTTCGCTATCTACACAGGAGAACGAGAGTAGTAGTAGCTGCTACCGATAGCAGTAGTAGCAGTTGAAAGGGAGGAGGCGGGAGAAAGTGATTTGCGTGCCCCGTCCAAGGCCGCTGCAGCCGGCCATCCTGACGTCAATTGATCCATTTTGGAAATGAGGGGGAAGAGCTACCCGGAGCGACCATCTCTTGCGCTGCCAAAAGCACTGAGCCTCGGCCCCAGTCCCAACACTTGCGCGCGTTTGCCTCAAGTCTCCCTTCTTTCGTGGGCATAGCAAGAGGAGGACACAATGCTCGCCTCGCAAGTCGCACGCACGCACGCATCCTCTGCCGCACTCGCGGCCGGTGGGGGCGGGCGGCTGGAACGGGCTGAGGTAGCGGCTGTCAACGTGTGAAAGTGCGGGGTTGCGCGATGAGGACAAGAGGCGAGATGGGACGGATCCTGTGCTCTACCTCTGTCGTTCGCATCACGTGATTGTGATAACATTTGCTCTGCTTGATAAGCGTTCCGCCTCGTTTCTAAGCTGGGTCCAGGTCTGGGTGTGGGTGTGGGTCCCGTCCCACTCTAGCTGTGTGCCTGTGATTCAGACAGGCACCCCTCCAGAAGCGGGAGGGGGCTCATCTGCAGATGAGAGCAATGTGCCATGCTGCCTGCTCATATGCAGGGACTCTATCTGCATCTCGTTTCAGCACCAGCACTGCACAGTATAGCACAGCAGAAGACCCGGACCACCATCATCAGAGCGGTGCCATTTCAACTGCACTCCACCCCCTTGGAGCGTCTACATAGTCTGACTCCAGCTCGGAGCCGAGGCCGCCTGCTCCCCTCTCCCCCACCCTGTACGCTCCTTTCTTCGCTCGCCTGCTCTGCCACCCGCCGGCTAAGCCCACCGGGTTTCTGCTCTGCTCTGTTTTGCGCTGCATTGCTTCGCGTTGCTTTGCTCTGCTCAGCCTTTTCCAGCCCTCTACTCTGGCGTACACCGCTTGCCTGTCGGGTTGGTCGGTTCACCGCCTCTCGGACGCACCCGCTGCTTGCCTGCCTACCTTTCCCACCGAGCGACCTTTCTCGCCAGGCCACGCAAAACGGGCGCGATCGAGCCCAGCACAGTGTCCCCACTTACCACAGCCAGCCAGCCAGCCAAGCGAAGAAAGATGGCACGCGCACCGCTCACGGCCGTCTTCCTCGCGTTTACGCTGCTGCTCGCTAGCATGGTCCTCCAGGTGCTCGAGTCACTCAGCCTGCCCTACATCAAGGCCATCCACTTTCTTCGCATAGACTCGGCCGCCGGACAGACGATCACTGTGCGTGTCTGAAGAGCGCACGCTGCGACCCGCGCTCGCGCTGATCCCTTCTCTTCTGCTCTGCCCTTTCCTCTCCTCAAGTTTGGCATCTGGGCCAACTGCGGGCGTATCGCGCCACAGGCCGGCTTTGCCTGCACGTCGACCTCGCTCGGGTACACGCAGTCGTCGTTCCGCACGCTGGTGCGCAACGTCTTCCCCGCCAGCTTGCCGTACGCACTGATCGCGCAACCCATCGCCGCAGGGCTCGCGGGGCTCGCGACGCTTGCTGCCTTTCTCAACCTCTGCAGCTTCTCCCTCCTCTGGTCCCTGCTCGGCCTCCTCGCCGCGGTCGCTGCGGCCGCAGCACTCGCCATTGATCTCGCCCTTTTCGTGCCCGCGCGCAGCAAGTTTGCATCGGGTGCTTTCAACGTTGCCGACGCCGACGCCGTCTTCGGCGGCAACGATGCCGCAGACTTCAGCCGCATCGACCTCGCTGTCTTTGGTCCTGCACTCTGGTTGCAGGTTGCCGCGCTCGCTGCTGCGCTCCTCGGCGTAGCGCTTCTCATCGCCGCCCGGAGCATATATCGCACGCACGCACGCCGCGACAAGGATGTCAGCTTCGACTTTGAGCCCACCCCCCTCGGCAGCGGCGCGATGAACCGCGTGTCGTACTTTGGCGACGACAGCAACAACAGCAACAACAATAACAACAACCGCGCGTCAAAGCGATACACGTACAACGCCGCGGACCAAAGCGATGGCAGGTACACCCACCCGGGGGGCGCCTATTACGATGAGGACGGCTACTACGTTCCCGATGGCGGCCAGGCGTATGACTCCGACGCTGCGCTCTCCGCCGCCGCCGGCGACCCACACGCCAACTTGCACTCGAACGCACAGCTCCATCCGCACCACTACGGCCAGCAGCAACAGCCAGGGCATTATCAGCAGCAGCAGGAGCATTATCAACAACAGCAGGAGCACTATCAGCAACAGCAGCAGCACTATCAGCAGCAGCAGCAACAATATCAGCAGCAGCCGCAGGACCAGTACGCGTATCTGCAGCAGCAGCACGAACACGCCAGCGCATCTGGGCATTCACATCCTCACCCTGGCGGAGGCGCTAGCGCAGGGGGAGGCATAATCACACCCGGCCCCGCTGCCAGCGTGCGGCGGCGGTGAAGCCAGGATGGCGCGTATTAAGCCTTTCGAGTGAGGATGCGATTCGATGTAGCGGGACGGCTGCGGTGATGTCTGTGTATATGTCCGTGTCCGAATACACTCCACTGCACATCCCAATCCATCTCTCTCGCTGCACACCTTGTCCCCCTTTTTGGCAATGCACGCAGCATCTACTCTCTTTCTTCACTATCGACGCGCCGAGATGATGCGAGCACAACAATCGAGTGCTGGCGTCTGTATTCAATCTCATCATTCGATGAGCTATGCAATGGTGTGTGCGAATGTATGCTACATATGCTCTTCCCTTGCTGAAGACTCGTGCCATGCTATCCGTCAAAAGGGCAGCCGCCAGCCGAGCCGGGTGAGCGCAGACCCGAGGACGCAGTTGATGCCGATGTACAAGAGAAGCACGAGCATAGAAGCCAAGATGCTCGCGTGCATCGTCGCCATTGAGACGTTCACTAGTCCCGTCAGCATATTTGCCTGCGGCGCAAAAGGAGTGACGAACAGTGTCAGCACGAATGGCGACGCCCTAACAAACGCCGGGACTCACAGCAAGAAAGATAGCGAATGAGTGCCGATTGATGTCCTCCAACAACGAAGGGCTCCACTCTGCCATGCGCTTTGTCCACTGACGAACCTCGAGCTCCTGAACCGATGCGGCCGAGGCGAGTGCACGCTGCTTGAGCAGCTGCAGCCACTTAGCGTACACTGCGACGTAGCACAGAAGAAAGGACGCATTGAACGCCGTCACCCAGACAACGTAAACCAGGTTTGCCAGCCGGCGACTGTTCTGCGCGCCCAGGAGTCGCAGGAGCAAGAACGCGGACCAGTACAGCACCGAGAAGCTCGCGAGGACCATGCTCAGTTTGCCAGTCTTCTCGCGCCGGCGCGTGCGCGAGCGCCGGCGGAAGGCCTGGTACGGGTCCAGTGGGAGCACGTAGTGGCCCAGGTCGATACCGAGCATGAAGATGGCAAGGTAACCCGCGAGCGACGCAAGGCCCTCCTTGTTCTGCTGCACGAAGCCCCCATGCCGCACGCGCGGGTCAGACAGTATCCACTCCTGCAGATCCGCACGCCACCACAGCAGCACCTGGTAGCCCGCGCCGATCGACAGGCCGATGACCGAGTAGCGCGCGAGCCGCGTCAGCGGCCGGCACAGCGAGCTGAGCACAGGCAAGACGGCGAGTGTGAGGAAAAAGTTCCAGTGCACGCCGTACTCGCTAGCGTGTTCCGGATAGTCCATGCCTTTGACCATCACGACGCGAACCAGGCCCAGCGCGAGCAGCGGCAGCGCTTTCTTGATGTTGTTCAGCAGCAGCGCCCGCGGCGGTCGGAAGCGGTGTCGTGCTGAGTGTAGCGATGGGATAAGCGGGCCCGAAGAGACGATGCCGAGCGAAAAAACAAACGAGCCTACGCCGAGGTCCATCTGCGATGGGCGTTAGACATCAGCATTTGAAGTCTCCCACTCTACAAGCACTTGATTCGCCAACTCACAAGACTTGTCCCCCAGCTCTCACATTTGGCAAACTCGCGCGGAAACACTTTAAAGTCGACAGCGAGAATGCAGATGACAGTCATGAGCATCATGTGCGCCCTGTAGATAGTCAGGAACTCTTTCCGTTTGGCCGCCTTGTACCATACCTCTTCCGCGGAAGCTGCTCTGAGTGGCGCATCAGGCCCTAAGCATCCGCCTGCCACTTCGCCACTTGCAACGCTCCTATTCGCTTTGAAACCATTAATGACATCGTCATACGTGAGTGATTCGGACGAGGACGCAGCGCTGTCCAGGCTCGATCGAGCCCCTAATAGCGACAATCTGTCGCGCGCTCCTCCACTTTGCGAGTCGATCGAGTCGCCGCGACGGCTCCAGTCGTACGAGCTACGTCCGCTGCCGCGTTTCCCTTCCAAGGCTGTGCTACCAACACTGTTGCCGCCACTGATGAACAGCTTGCGCAGCATCCCCCTGTCCCTTCCTACTGTCCGCGCGCTGCTGCTGGTGCTGCGGCTATGGCTGTGGCCCCCATCGCCATCATGGTCAGGCCCTCGATATGTGCTAGGTGGATGCGCCGCTGCGTACGCCGCGTCTGCTGCTGAGTCGATGCTGACGCGGAATGGAAGCTGCTGCTGATGCTGGCCAGGAGTGCCGTGCGGGACGACGTACCCATCATAGGCGCCTTCGTAAGTTGGCGTAGTTGGAAAGAAAGGAAGAAATGGCGAAATGGGGGACAGTGGGGAAGGTGTCGCGGGTGACGCGGGTGACGCTCCGTTAGAAGAAGAAGGAGACACTGCTTGCGAAGGTCCACTACCTGGAGCTGACATGTGCAACATTGAGGCTCCCACTCCGCCACCGACGCCGAGGTAACTCTCGGGCTGATAGTACGGCCGCTGCCCCTTTATATGACCCTGGTCTGCGCGAGGAGAGGGACGGTGGAGTTGCAGAGAGGGGCGCATTTGCGAGTACGAAGCCGGCGCTCGGGCCCGCCCCTCGGGCAGCTGTTCGTTGATCCTTTCACCATCCTCCTCGTCGGAAGAAACAAACGATTTCGTTCGCCAGTCTTTCTTTGCATCTCCCTTGGCAGAGCCTTGGTCTGGTGAACTGGACCATATATCTTGGTCCAAAAGAGATGGAAATGTGTATAGAAGCCACAAGGATGTCGATCCTATGAGTATGTTGAAGGAAAGCGCATATTGGGCCAGGACGGTGGTGACTAGCAGCAGTGGCAAGACAAGAAGAATAAACTGAACTAGTCGACTGGTAAGCCCTTGCACATTGTCTTCATCCATCAGCCCTTTCAAAGCCGCAAGCCAAGCTACTTCTTCTCTGGGATCCTCTGCCTTCAGGGTAGATTGGGAGCGCTGCTGCGGGTCATTGGTGCAGCTGGCGATGTTGCCAATGTTGATGTTTGTGTGTTTGCCCGGCGATCTTCGCCGTCGGCTGCGTCGTCGCGGTGCCCGAGTTTTGAGAACAGCCCACAGTAGGTATGTCGTAGCTGCAGTGAGAGAGACGGTGTTGATTGATAGGACCGAGCCTCCCGAGAGACCAGAAACGAAGGCTTCCTTCTGCACCTTGTAGGTCGCATCTGCCGAGGGCGGTGCCTCCATTGTGGCACTCGCCCGTCAGGGTCAGAGCCCGTGGTTCAGAACAGCTGCGCAGCGCCACTTGATTGTTTTACAAGGACAAGCATCAACGCCACCGAGCCAGAGCACGAAAGCGTGAGGGCTCCTTTCCTCTATCTTGTTAAACTGTGCACTGCAGGCGCCAGACAAGTGCGGCAGCTCAGCGTGGGGCATGGGTCCCCTCAAGCGCGAAAAGGCCTGTTGCACAACGGACCTGGAAGCAGTAGCAGAGGAAATCCAGGGTGGCACAAACAGAGACACTTGCTGGGGCAGCGTGCTCTGGACCCCTTTCCGGGAGTTGCCACCCATTTCCTAACACTAATCGAGGAACGTACCATTGACACGTTGCCTGGTGTCTGGCGACGAGCTCAAATTGGATCTGTTGTGAGACTCTCGGAGCGTCCGTAACCCCCTGACATTTGTTCTTGTCCAAAATAGCAACAATCGTGAATCTCTTCCAAAATGCGCAAGTCTCATTTATTCAAGGACCTTTGGCACCATTTTGAGAGCATGACTTTTGGTATGCGCCACCGTCCGATCCTCGGACCGTAAATGTTCAAATACCTCGAACTCCAAAACGTTGTAAGTTTTGGAAGCATCATTGATCGCCCCTCGGAAAGCAAAAGTCACGCTTCCGAGAATCGCCCCGAAAGCCACGTTAAATTCGGTACTTGATTACCTCTACAGTGAGAATCACTTTCCTTTTCAAGAAAGCAGAACAACGGGGTAGCGCACAGAACAAAAATGAAATGGTGAAGATTCAGAAGAATGCCGTACATCATGACGAGAGACGGATGATTTAAAAAGGGAGACTAGTTGAGGGTGTTTTTTTTTAAATACTACCGGTATAATTAGGTATGTATTGAGCCCAATTAAAACTGGAATACTTTCGAGCAGAAGTAGTAAACTTTCTAGAAAGTCTGCAGACAACGAAAATTTAGAAACTCACACATAATTCGTACCAGTCACCAAAGGTAATTCATCCCTATTTTTGATCCTTCATATTATAGTGGCGTTGCTGAGTGTTGAGTACTGATCCTTCAGACAAGATACCTCCATGTTTTACCTAGCCTAGCTTAGCTCATCTCAGCTCAGCTCAGCTTCTCTTCCTTCCATCATTCGGTGCTGAGCGCTGGCAGCGTGGACAAATCGTGTCGACCAGGCGTTCTTGCCGTGATTGCTTTGCACTAGGCTTTGACGAGCCACGCACCATCTTCATCTGGCCCTGGTCCGTCCACTTCGATATTTCATGATGCGGATCGTCCTTACACCTTGTAGAAGGCACATTGAGACCGTCGAGCCATCACAACTATGCCGTTTCTCCGGAGCGACATGCGAAAGCTCGCTCGCGTCAGCTATCGCCGCACACGCCAGCGCATCCTTGCGACGGTGAAGTTCTTCCAACTGTTCGCTGCGCTCATTTCCCCCGTCTCGACGCTCTACGAGATTCCGGCGGTATCTCAGCCGTGGTTCTTAGTGATCTCACCAGCTGCGCCGCCGATAAAGGTCCGAGATCCTCCGCTGTGCATCGTGCTCGGAGCCTTCAGCTTGGCACTCAATGTCATTGCAAATATCTTGCTCCTCGTTTCTTTCAGCCACGCTTCCGTCGCCGTGAGCTTGGCCGTCCCTTCCCCTCCGAAGAACAATCTGCTTGAGAACTGCAATCTACGGAGTCTAAGTCACGATTCGTTCAGGCTTGCAGATATGGCGTTTAACTTCAGCAATCTCTTTTCTGTTTTTCATTGCCGAGCTCGTCATTGCCTTAGTCAATATCACTGTGTACGGCGTAAGGCGCCACAGCATTCACAAGGACTACGTTTATCAGGAAGGGCAAGTCTGTCGTCCACCATACGTTCTTCAGCTGCTTGCTCACATATCACGCAATTTTAGTTTCTGGTGCGCAGTCGGCTCTCTTATGATGGTGGGCCTTGTCGTCCTTTTCCTTTCACTTCATCATGCAACCTACTCGCGACCACAAGCGCGAAAGCGACAGGAGGAAAACGTTCTCCCAAACATAAGCTCTCGGGACACACAGGGGGAAATGCGTCCTGCCACGCTGAGCATAACTTCCAATCAGTCTACCAATGCTTCACAAGGCATCGAAATGCAGCGACAAGGTAGTGGTTTGGCCAAAGAACAGCGAAAAGCTGCATATTCCGACGATCGGAGGCGCCTGATCACCATGCGCTTAAACTCACGAGCCTTCCTTCTCTCACAATTTTCACTTTACTTTGTCGTCGGTGTCCAAGCCCTCACCTTCAGTAGAATCGAGTGTTGGTCATACTTTGACGGTATTTATTTCACCGTGAGCTCTATGCTTACTGTGGGCTTCGGCGATTTGCATCCATCAAAGCCTAGCACGGTACGTTTCTCTCTGCGTCGCCAAGCTGGCACCGGCAGCTACTGATCTGGATCTACCCATATTAACGATAATAGAGAATCATGCTTGTCCCATTTGAGCTCGTTCTGATCGCTTTACTCGCGACTGAGATCAACACCATCGTGGCAGTGCTGGGCGGAGGGCGCGAAGAGCGACGGAAGCAATTCCTCCGCATGGTAGAGAGGCACTTCGAAAACGCAAGAAAGAAGGCTCACCGCCACAAGGATGCTCCACCGAAGAGGAACCAAACAACAGCCTGCGGCCAAGGGGAAAGGTCAATCCCGGCAGCTCCGGCCAACGCAGAAGGTTCACACCCGCAACATTCTCGCCTATTGCGCGAGTCTGAAGCACAAGAAGCGCTTCAAATCGAAGAAATGAGACACTGGGAGCATCTGCACGCGAGACAAGAGCGAAGTCTGCAGCTCTTCAACTTTATTGCAAGCCTGATTTTGTTGATGGTCTTTCTAATCACCGGCGCGGCACTCTTTACGGCCACGGAAGCGTGGTCCCTCGGTACCTCGCTGTACTTGTGAGTTTGATTTCGTGCGTTGACAGCGGGCTGAACGAAGTCTCTGCTGAAAAAATGGCTTCATTCTACATCTATTTACGACAGCACTTTCGTCAGTAATGTGACACTTGGATACGGAGATGTCACTGTGGTAAGCCGTTTAACAAACTGTCTGATTGGACAGCCTGATCCAATTGGTTATTAAGATACTGATCTGTCGTCGTCACAGACGACGGCCGCAGGAAAAGTAGTCTGGGTGCTCTACGCGCTCTGCTCTGTGCCAGTAACCACTTCCTTTGTGGTGCAGACGCTCGCATCGATCCTATGGGACAGCGTGCGCCGCCGCCGAAAAAGAGTCGAAGCACGATTGGAAGCAGAGCAAGGATTTGAAAGCGGTCGGGTCCAGCCCGCAACACACGCTGAGCTCATTCGCCGTGCCCATGTTGAGTTGCGCGACATGATGGCACTGCATGGAAATGACAAGAATGAAGACGCGCTAGCAAAGGCAAAAGACATGCACAGGTTGCTTCTCGAAACTGCGCTCGGGGCTGCGTTTCAGCTAGATGTGCAGGCGCGCTCGCTCTTGCTCCGCCACTTGCGTCCCGTGTCAACACCTTGGCTCTTGCTTCGAGCAGATGCCAGCCTTGAGCAGCAAGAAGCTCAAGCAAAGAAAGGTGGCCCACCGCGAGGGACGCATGCAGCTGTTCTGGACGGCGAGGACGATTTGATCCAAGTCGAGCAGTACCGCACCCTCTTTGCACGCCTATGCTCCATCACCGAAGAATTGCGAAGAGCAGAGTTGCGGGAAAAAGCAATACTCTCTTCTTCGCTACCGTCAGAGTTGGCTAGCGATGGAAACACCGAATGTTGCTGAACAGTTAAAACGAATGACCCAGAGCTTTCGGCTCTTATGCAAAATTCATTCGAAGCTCTAACTTGATCTTTGTATATAATACACGTCAATTGAGAATATTCCCTACAGCCATGCGGCCCAATTTGGCTCCTGGCAAGGTAAGAGGCGGTCAGTGTGTGACTGTGAGGAGTCGAGCTGTGACGCGGGACGACTCACCTGTAGCGCCAGCTTGCTTGGATTACTAGCTGAATTGATGAGGTCAAGCACTGTCTGAGATACAGGTGTGGTGCTCGGGCCATGCTGCGTGTTCTACAAGAGCAGAGTGGTCATTACCTTGAGCTGCATGAACAAACGCTTGAAATCGACTCACTTTTTCAATCTCGTACTTGCACGAAAGAAGTCTTCCACGTTTGACAACCTCAAGAATGTTCTGGTAGACGACCTCTCGCGGTGCATCAGTCACATTGGGACTTCCAGGTGGCTGGCGCTGCATGCCTGCGAGCCAGAAATTGATCTCGTCCCGCACAAATATCGAAAGGTACTCCTCGAACTCCCTCTCGGGTTCGGACAACGTCCTGCCAATGGCAACCAAAGACGCGGTTAGGAGACCCTCGATGCCGATAGGACCAATAAAGTGCTGGATGTTTGGCGTCAAGCGGAAGGGAGTTGCATCCGGCGACTTGAATTGGGGCGCGCTAGGATTCAAGGTCGGCACAAGATCTGACATAACCACCGCGCCTGATGCGCGAGAGATGTGGATGCGGCTGGGCAGGCGTGAAGAGACAAAGAGAACGTAGGTGAGGAACATAGCGGAGGCCATCTGCAGTGTGAAGTGCTTGCGCATGAGCCAAAGGTCGGATGGTGACTTCATCGACCGTATCATGAAGCGAGTCAGCACCGTCTCGGGGACCATCTTGGTGCTGATCTCGTCTAATAGTTCCATGCGTAGGTTGGTGAACTCGACCATCGATTTGCCAGCACTCCATGTAGAGCGCATTTTTTCGGCCCACGCCATGATCGGATCGTCTTTGCCCATGCCAAAGTCTTCGCAATGGCGCTCGTAGATGTCTTGAAGACTGAGCAATGAGCAGTCGCTCTCGAGAAGACGGAGTTGAGGCGAGAAGGGAATCGCAGCTGGGGTGTTGAAGAGAAGCCCACGGCGACGGGTTTCCTTTCGCTTCTCGAGCACACGATTAAGGCAGCGCAAGAGTTGCAATATGCGCTCCTCTCGACGACAATAACGCGCGGATGGCAGCTGAATAGCGAAGGAATGCAGACTGCCCTTGTGACTCAAGATCGTGATGCGACGCGTGCAGATTCCGCTGGAGCGAATGAGCTCAAAGGTCGGCTCAAAGCGTGCAATCTTGACGAAATCCGAATTGTTGTCCTCGAGCTTGAGGTATTGCCCTGGCACTTCGATGTCGTCGAACTTCTGATGTTGGAACTCCACCAGGAAGTGACTGCAATGCTCCAAATGTTGCTTGGAAGTTCTCTTGTCGAGCACTTCCTCGTAACGGTCGCGCCACCTTTGAAGCTTTTGCACGTAATCACGCAGCGTCGGCTTGCTCTTGACAAAGTCTTCCTCGAAGGACTGCTTGAGATTGCCAGGTGGCAAATTTTCGGCGAAACGAATAACGTTATCTACCGACACCTTTGGCAGCTGACCTGAGTCATTCGGGAGGGTGGCCCTTGCGATGTACTGCTGCAAGGCATCATTCAGGAGAGCCGTAGTCAGACGGTAAATGTCCTCGTCATTGCTCGGCTTGAAGCGCTGCTGTATCTGCTCCGCCATGTTCTCCATCGTTAAGGCCAGCAGCGGGAAAGAAGTTTTTAAGACTTGTAGTGTCTCATCGACGTACTCCCATGGCTGTCGTGAGGATGCAGGCTGCGGCGTGCTGGCACTGCTCATCGAGACTGTATTCTGGCCATTCGCACCGGATGCGGAATTGGACTGATTTGCACCATTGGCGGAGTTAGAACTGGTTTCGCTCTTGGCCGCTTCACTTTGTGCAGGCTGCTCCTTGGCTTCAGCACTACCCGCAGCTTTCTGGCCGTTTGATGGAGCATTACTCTGCGAAGCAGAGCCTGAATCACCCCCCTTGTTCGCCCCTTGTGAATCTGCAGCTTTCCTATCCGTGGCTGTGGACGCGGCGCTACTAGCGACGTCCTTTTTTGTGCCGTCTGCTGTCCCATTTTGCGATTGCGCTGGCTGGGGGTCGGGCACCTTGCTCTTTTCAGCCTTGTTCTGTTGCTCTTTATTCTGCTGCTCCTGCTGCTGACGTGCTTGCGCGGCTGCTCGTTGTGCCTGCATCAGCGTCGATCGTTTAATCACTGCAAAGTCTTCTTTGCTCGTGCGCAAGTAAAAGTACAGAGACTGGAAGAAAAGTCAAAAGTTAGCATGGAGCTTTGGGTCAAACAGCAAAGCCTAACTTACCTGAGGGAATGCTTTGGCTATCTGGAGCAGCAACCGCCTTGCGTAGCGAGACTCCTTATGAGAGAGAGCTTGAAGAAGTTGAGGGATGAAGGTGATCCAGTACCAGATTGGAGTGTCGCCTCGGAATGTTTCAATCGCGAGGTTGACGTTGCCGCTAGCGTCGTCGCAGCCAAGAAGCCAAAGAACGCGGATGAGGATTTTGCGCACTTTCGAGTTCTTGTAGAGGCCAGCCGCTTGCAAGTAGCAGCTGACAGCATTGACCGCGCAAAAAGTGTCCCCTGGCTTGTCCCGGAAGGTGCGATCATTGAAACGACCCCATTCTGTCCAGGCTTTTGCCACGTACAAATCCATTTGGATTGCTGTGGAGAAGGCGGAGTTTGCTTCTTCGGTAAGGCCCAGTTTGGCCATGAACATGCCTTTGAGCGTGAAGAATTCGGCTTTCTGCGGAGCACCGAAGAACATGAGATTCGTGTTGTTGATGACCTCCAGGCCCTGCGCAAGCTCGTTGGGGTTGTTCTGCTGGAAGTGGCTTTTGGCTTGTTCTCGAAGCTTGAGGAAGGCCTCTTGGATCTCGATGTTTGGCAGCGTGTAGATCTTAGTGAGAGAGCTGATGCAGACATCATTCAGATAGTGCTTGCGAGCAACGTGCGCAAACCTGTTGATGATCCAGGCTGTCTCGTGATACCCCCTGTACGCGTAAGAGTTGGTGGATGAACCCGCAGCTCCGCTTTGCTGCTGAATCAAGGGTACCAGCGGCAGATATGCTCGATTCACTGCGCCAAAGACGTGCTGCCGCCAAGCAACCAAATCACTCCAAGCATTGATGTCATCCCACAAATTTGGCAGGCGCTCACGCCAGGTTTGCATCAGTGTCTTTAGCTCGGCTGAACGTTGATCTAGATTCGTAGCATTGGTCACCGCCAAGCTGCTGAAGACCGTGCTTGCCTCTTGCAATTCGACGAACTGTTGGAAGACCTGCAGGAGCGGGACGTGAGCTTGCGTCACTTGTGCAGGAAGTGAATGCCACTTTCGCAAGGTGAGCTGGATAGCCTCGTCGCAGATACGGCCAAATTCGCTGAGCTTGTCTTGCCCGGAGTGTGACTTCAGGAGGGCCATGTATGCTTCAAATACCCTTCGCCTTGGCGTTGCAGAGACCGAGAGGCTGTCGAGTGCCTGCTCCAGAATTTCCCGTTCAACTGTCCAGTCGGACAGCCTCCAGGCGCATTCCAGCAGCATGTCATGGTCGCCCTCCAACTTTGCAAGCTCGGTGAGCACATCCCACTGCTGAAGCTTTTGCGCGCACAGTACCCAGTGGTCCTCCCACAGGCTATACTCTGCTTCGGTGAAGTTAAGCACACCAGCACGGGCCTTGATCTGGGCCTGCTCATACATGACCTGTGCTTGAGCCCACATGCCGTTCTGCTCGAAGGAGATAGCTGCATTGGTTTCAGCATAGACACAACGACGCCTCCAGAGGCCGTAAAACATGTCGTCCTCGGAGAGCTCCGAATAAAGCTCAGCGAGTGCGTCCTGTGTGGCTTCGCGGACCGAATCGTCGTCCTGAGGTAACGAGGCAAGGAGGTCTTGCAGAACTTCGGCTGAGCTGTGCCACACATTGAATGTCCTTCCGAGGTACTTCACAACGTGAGGAGGCAATTCCGGCTGCGGTGCACACGCCAAGGCGCCGGTGATGAGCGTCTGGACAATGTTTGGGCGGGCGGAAGCCTGCTGGATGTGGTACTCGCGACTCAGCAATCCCACAAGAGCACGGGAGAGCTCTTCCTGGTGCTTTCGTGGCAGAGTCCGCCAGGCAGCTTTGAAGAACAACACCCACAGACCATGAGCGGCGTGGGAGTCCGTGTAGAGGAGCGCGCGAACTGGGCGAATGATGCTACCAACGGTGAATGACTTAGTGAGAGATCCGTATGTCGAGTCGCCGCGGATCCCGCTGCCGCTCAAAAGGGAACGATCTTTCGAAATCGACCCTAGAGTAAGATCCAAGATTTGGGACATCCAATAGTACTCTGCTAGAGATTCCCAGCTTTGGCTGCCCAGCAGATATTGCAGACGACCGTGGATTGGCTTGACCAGAGTGCGGTCAAAGATGGAAATGAAGCGCTGCCGCAGAAGCGGATCCTTGTGCTTGCATCCCATCAAGAAAGCATTTTCCAGGCGTACAGTCAGTTCGGACCGAGCGAACGCGGGGTTCTCGTAGATTGAGTGGATCAGCTCTAAATAGTCGCGAAGAAGCGGGTCGTTGTCGCGAGTTCCGAAGCTCATCATCTTCACTAGAATGCCAGCTTTCTCCTTGATGGTCGGGAAGGCCTCCTTCTGCTCAAGTGTCCACTTGCTCATCATGTCAAGCAAGAATCGACACAGTTCCAGGCTTCGCGACCTTTCAACGAGCTGTACCACCGCACTGAGAAACCACCTTCGCTGTTCGCCCAGTGTTGAAATCCTGATTCGCAAGAGCTCAAGGACCATCATGAGCAATTTTAGTCCAGGGTCCGTTGGCTGCACTGTTTCTGTCGCAGCAAGGTGCTCCTTGGTCAACTTGGTCAAAGCCTTGACCAAGCCTTGCAGGTGCGCCTCGATCTAATAACAAGGATAGGGGGATAAGCATCGAGAGAGCGACTGCAGCTCGGGAACAACTTACAATGTCTGGCTTTCGTTGGCTCCATGTGGCGAGCAAGACAAACACTGAATACAAATTCGTCGACGTTCTCAGACCTTCTGCAATAGCTGTCTCGGCAAGGAGGCGGAAGGCGCTTGCGTCGTCGCGGGGCCCGTTTTCGGTCGGAGGCGATGTACCCGCAGTTGCTCCGATTTCGCCGTCTTCATCGCCTTCTGCATCTTCGTCACTTGGTGGATTGTCAGGGATGACCTGGAAAGCTTTCTCTAGGATGGGCCTAGCATACTCCAATAACGCCGGATCGCTACTGGCGATTGACTTCTCCAGCAGGCGTTGCAGTTGCGCCATGTGTGCGAGGAACCAAGTCTCATCCTTGTCCTTGACAACCTGACGCAGCGTTTGCAGGGCATTGCCAACGATTGTAGCATGGGCCTCATCGATGTCGGTGGCGACCAATGGTCGTTGGAACACAGTCAACTTGATTTGAACATCTGACCACACAGGCGTCTTCAGTACGTCTTTAAAGAGAGTGAACGCCTTTGCGATGACGCCCCCGCGAGCGATTGGTTCCGCGGAAATCGAAATGAAACGAACAAGGAAACCAACAATCATCTCGCGAAGATTATTGGGGATGCTGTACGCATGCTCGCCAAGGAGAGGCCACGTCACCTGTCCAGCTGCGCCAGTCCTTGAGAGCTTAGTCTTCTTGCGCGGCCCGCCACCCTCTTCTGGATCTTCCGAGCGCTTTCGAGACGCACTCTCATCGGAGATGGGCTTTTCGCGACCTTCATGCACGGCCTCGACGGCCTCGTCTCTTTTGCTTTGCCAGGTTATAATGACGTCTACTAACTCAATGGTAAGCAGACGTGATTCTTGACTTGCTGTCGCAGCGAGCCCCAATTTAGCAAGGTTGTTGACCACATAAGGTAGGAAGATCTCTCGGCTAGAATAAAACAAATTGGAATGGCGGACGATGAGCTGAAGGAGGAGGAAAAGCTGCGAAGAATTGTGTCCCTCTTCTGTGAGGATGCGCTTGGTCCACTTTGCCCACTGTGGCGGCTGTCCTCCATCGGCTGTGCCGACCCGCTTTGGCAACGCAGGCACAAGGATGTCGAGTGCACGCCTGACCATGGCCCTGCCTTCTGATTGATGTGATCGCAAGAGCCCAATGTAGACCTGGCCGACGATCTTGAGTGGACTTTCGAAGGACTCGATAAACTTAGAGATGAAAATGTAGGCTGCATTTTTGACCATCAAATCCTCTGAGCTGATGTTCGCCCATCCAAATTTGATGGTGTCCTTTCTTGCATTCCCCTGTGATCCGAGCAGGTGCGATGCATTGCCTAGAATGGTGGTGGACATGTGCAAAAGTTCAATGCGCAACGCATCGTCATAGCAGATGTCTGGGACGACAGGGCCGCTTTGGAATAACCGCCAGACTCGATTCAAGATCTGAGACATAACAGCTTGATTGATGAGAGCTTCCTCCTCAGCCTTTGACGTATCCACTGTGTCCTCGCTTTGTTCCGCGGCGCGAGCATCAGATGGTCGCAGAGTGGCAAGTAGCATAGGATTGATGAGCGTGCGAAGTGTCTGAGTTTTGTATACTTGACTGACGCCCTTGGACTCGAACACTTGCAGGAAACGCAGCAACGCATCGCGCTTGAAGCTAGTGTCGTCCGAATTGGCGAATCGTTCGTAGAGGAAGCGCGTCAAAGGTGTGAGGTCGTAAGCGTTTTTGTATGTAAAGACATCAGTCAAAGCGAAGTAGGTGTCGAGATCGTGCTTCTCCTTGAGGTAAGAGCACAGAACGTCGATCAAGAGAACCGACTCTTTGCTCCGCCTGTCGCCTGTGAGTGTCTCGTGTCTACGCCTTCGCGCACATGGTGCCGATATCCAATGTCTGAGCACGGCTTTTTGAACATCCTCATTCTTTATCAGCCAAGCTGGATCAACCTTGATAAGCTGTTGAATGAGCTGAAGGGCTACAATGACCTTGCCTGCATCCGCATCTTCCCCAAACAACGGACGCAAGTACTTTTCTTTGGTGTTGACGACCTCGGCCCGAAGACGTACAGCAAAGTCGGTGGACAAGGCGAGCTTGAAGCATCTCACGTGTGCCGGATCGTTGATGCGACTGAACAGGTGCTGGACAGCTTGTACCGGGAACTTCTCGAAGAACTGCGTAAGCGGCTTGGTAAAAGGAGTCGGGCCAACTCTTCGAATCTTGCTCTCGATCTTGCAGACTTCCTCTGTAAGCTTCTCCATGTACATGAAGGCAGTGGCGGGCAGCAGATGGAAGATCCGTGTGATTGCTGCTAGAATCTCGATTGGTTCGGATTCCCGCTTTTCCACTCGAAGAAGGTGATGCGCGTCCACATATTGAGGAGCTTCCAAAGCACCAGCGCTTGCTCTCTCCAGAACCGCCGGATCTGCAATGGTTGCCATATGCGAAAGCAGCTTGGTACCGATCTCAACTTTGAAATAGGATGTGAGAAGCTCCAGGAGACGGGCGAGACCATCGAGGCCAGCGGTTGTGAGACGCGATGGATCCGCCAAGGTCATCAGAATTGGGCGCAATCCACTTTGCAAAACGTCTTTCGGAAGCTGCATAAGCAAATACATTGTCAGCTGCTATGCCACTTGACGAAGAAGATTGACAGTAGCTCACCTTTGACTGGCTTTGCAGAGTACTTTTCAGTGCAGCATGGGCGACCTCCACGACTGCCTCTGACCGAGAGTAGAGACTCTTGAAGTACACTGAGATGATCTTCATGCGCATCTGAGCCTGCTTTGTGGTCAAAAAGTCATTGCAGGCGAGAGCGGAGGACAATAGTCGTATCGATGCGACCCGTAAATTGGTGACGGCCAGCATGTTCTTGTACTGGCTCGTGCGCCCGATAAGGGCCGCGTCCTCCGCATCTGCAAGTGCCAGCGCCTCGGTCAAGACACGGTAGAGCTCCTCATTGAACTCTGGCAACGGCGGATCAAGTTGTAGGCAGAACGTAATCGCATCAATGTGGCCGATTTGCATCCCGAATGGGAGAGCACGAAGTGGCTTGGAGAAGATTGGACCCAAAAGACGGTCTCTGACAGGCGCCAGGATGTCCGTTGCACTGCATCCTCTGACTTTGGCGAGTAGTCGGAAGGCGCGTTGTGTGACCGTCCGCACCAGCTCATTAGCCGAAGAGAGCTCTTGCACGAGGATACCAACGAGGAAAGAGAATTGGCGCTCGACCAGAATTTTCTCTTGCTCTTCAGCCGTCAGCGGCCTCTTCGCTAGTGGTACTTGAGGAGTCGATGCGGGCGCGCTTGTCTGGCTCGCAGATGCATTGCCTATGCTTGCACTTCCATCTTTTTCCTTTTTCATGCCATCAGCCATTTCGATGTTGCCATCTTTCAACGGCTCGCCTTTTCGCTGTGCCACATGCTCTTTTCCTTTCTTTGTGTCTTCGTCTTCTTTGTCGTTGTCAGGCTGCGATGCATCGTCTTTCTTCCCGTCCTCCGGCTTCTTATCAGCTTTCGAAACTGGGCCAGATTCTGAGTTGGCACTCTTCCCATCGGTCTTCGCCACCTCTGCAGGTGGTATATCCGCCGTTCCAGTGCTCGCTTCCACCTCCATCGCATCTGCATCTGCGCTCACCTCCGTGTCTTCGAGCGATTTTTGGCGCGCATTTGCAATCTCAAGGACGTGGACCAGGGTGTCTCCTACATCGTCACTGTTGCCAGGCGGATCACCTGGCATATCCTTGAGCATGAACAGCAAGGCCCTGATGATCTCCAACTGGTGTTCCCGCACCCAGATGCTGCCCAAATTCGCCTTGCGCACGAGCATGTCAATGCCAACCCAACCCCCCGTCTTGCGCGACCACAGTTGGTTGTAACACTGGGTGCAGTAGCGACTGGCGAGCGCATGCATCATGATTGCCCACAGGTCTCCTCGGGGAGAGTTTGGCTTCTGGTGCTTCTCAATTGTTTCCTTGGCCGCGAAGATAATTTTGAGCTGAAGTTCAGCGTAATGCGTAAGTTCAGAAGGATCGGCATGTGCTAGAGCTATTACGAGCCCTTCAAGCAGAGATGCCACCAGCGGAATCAGCTGCCTCGGCGACGGCAGCAACGTCGATGGGAAGGGTCGTTCTGCCTCGAGAACGAAAATGTGACGACACAGGCTGAAAATGAATTCCTCAGCTTCCACTCTGACATCCTCCAAAAGCGTAGCCTGGAACAGGCCCTTCACGACGCGCTCCAAAGTTTCTTCGCGGTCACGTTCGGTCGTCGGCTGGATCAAGTAAGCTTAAAGTCAGCACAGTGAAAAGACGGTCCATTCGGTAACACCCACATCATCTACGATGGCAGCAGCAGCGCACTTGAGCGCTTCAAACGCATGCTTCTTGTGATATGCATCGCCTGTGCGAATATTTTCCAGTGCAAGGTCGAGTATTGGCGCCCACGGCACCTTTTGGGCGCTGCCATCAAAGTGGATGGTGAGCGTGCGCATCTTGCTGGGATTGCTATGGTATTGCAACTTTGGCGCTGCCTGTAGCATCTTGCGATTTCGGCCGCCCATCTTGCCCAGTATTCGCATGGTAGTGTGCGAGTGCTGATGATTGTGCGGAAGAGGTTGAAGGTGTTTCCACAGCGCGTTCATGAGATCATGGGCGTGCGGTGCCATGATAGGGTCCAGGAATTCAGGTGTGAGATTGTCTATGCAAAGCTCGAGCGTGCGCAGACCTTGTGAGACAAGCTCCGTCGACGACAGCAGCGCCAGAACCAGAGGACGCATGAGGTACCCCAGATATGGCAGCAGCACAGACAAGCGCACGGGCACCGTGAGGCACAGGTCGACGAAGATCTCGCGCTTCGATGGCTCAGCAGCCTGCAAGAGATTGTTGAGGCTTTCGAGGAGAACTGGCAAAAGCGGCAGTACATCTTTGTAGAGCAGTTCGAAGCGACCGCCACCTATCGACCGGAAGAGGGCGCGAAGCAGAAGGAAGTAATTGGTCGGCTCAGGGGCACGACTCGCAAGCTTCATGGAGGTCATGATCAGATGGCTGAGATGCGGTTGTAGCATCACCTCATTCTCCTCGGGGAAGATGGTCACAGCCATGAACGCCATCTTGAAGAGGCGTAGGCTGACGCTTGCGTACTTTTTATCCGTCGTGCCGACTTGATCCAGACGGTCGATCACAAAGCGAAGGAGGACCGAAACAAAGCGCTTGGAAGTCAGCTCGTTGCTGAGCAAGCTCTGGGGGATGCCGAGCAGCGAAGGCGTGATGAGGATCTGATCGAAAAGGAAGCCAAGATGTGTCGAAAAGACTTCGTGGAACACTTGCGGCTCAAGCTCGATGAAGATGCTCGTGAAGACCTCCATCAGTTCCCTCTCTTCTTTTCCGTCCCTTCCATCATGTAGCGACCAGCACCGAACGCCATCGACAAAGAGGCGGCTGATAAGCTCGCCATTGAGCTCGACACGTGCGCGGTGCTTGAGCACGGGAATGAGTGTCTTGACCCCGATCATGACGTTGCGGAACAGGAAGCGGGCGTCTTTGAGAGGATCGGAGAGCAGATCGATCATCATCGCCGCTGCTTGAATTGGCTTGGCGCGTTCAAACGCGATAGCGTTGAGCGGATTCTTGCTTGTTGGTTCCACAGCCTTGCTTGCACCCGTCAATTCCTCTCCTGTCTTTTCTGCATTCTTCCGCTCTTTCTCCTTTCCCTTTCCTTCGGGTTGCGCGCCTTGCCTTTGCATCGCTGCCGTTTTATCTTGTTCGTCCTTGTGCTGTTGTTGTTGCAGAGCCTGCTCTTTGCGCATCGCTCTCGATAGATCCAGATCCTCCCTTAATCTCGATAGACCTGCGAGTTTCTCAACAAACGTTTCAAGGATAGCGTGCAACAATCTTGGTGCGTCGCCCGTCTCCGTAGTCTTGTTGACGATCGTCTCGACTAGGTTGAGTAGCAGCTTGACGCACATCGTCTGTATACTGGGTGCGAGACTGGGGTCGTGTAGGACTGTGGCGTGGGCTTCGATGACACGCACGAGCTGCGCAGGCTTGAGCTCGGCACGTACATGGTGCACTAGATCGGCAAGCATGGAAATGGCAAGCGGCCGCTGAGTCTCGTAGGAAGAGATACCAGTGCCGAGGAGAACGCGCTCGTCGAGCAATGTGTCGATCTGGTGGATAAAGTACTGCCTGTAGTCGGTGGACAAGACATGGCGCGTGGCTACAAGCAGCTCCTTCCGGGTGCTCGCCGCTTCCGGTGGGCAATCCTTCAGTAATCGGACGCTTATATCGGGCAGAGTCTGCGCGTACGGCTTGACGACCGGCATTGTCCCTCTGAGGACATAGGCGATGAAGCTCATCGCTTTGACTTGCGCCACGATCATGTCCGAGTACAGTGCACGCTTCTTGATGCTAGGCGCGACACCGACAAATATTTCTCCTTTGGCAGCTGCAGCTGCGTGTGCATCCGCTTGGGGTTTGGCTTGGTGATGGAGGCAGTGCTCAACAACGAGCGGAACAAATATTCCGATTGCCTGGGCGACAACTTGTCGGTAAGATTGGAAGATGAGAACAATGGCTATGGGGCATTCTGTCAACACTTTGAAGGACGAAGTCGACTTGAGCAGCGTTTTCGGGCCGGGCGGGCCGCCCAGTGCTGCATCATTTGCGGGACCGGGTGTTGAGCCGCTGGCACTGGCTGCATCGGACGATGGCCCTGGCGCCTGCATGTTGGCGTCCTCCCCCACTTCATCTCCAAAGCTTTCTTGCACTGTCTTTCCCATCCCCTTATAGAATGTTTGCACCAGATCCAGGAAAGGCTGGACGTGCTCCCCTAGCACCTGCTTGTAGCTGCGATGCAAGTCTATGATGATCTTGAGTGCGGTCACGGCATTGTCCTCATTGTCGTTTTGAAGTGTGACCATCATGCACTTCATGACCTGCTCTGCATATTCCTTGACGAGCTCGTGCTGGGGTAGCCGCTGGATCGTCTCGAGCACGGTATGTCGCAGTCGCTGTAACGAGTGAAATCATAATTCAGTCAGGTCTCGCATAACACTCGTAGAGTGGGGAATCTCTCACCTGCTCGGTTGCATCTGTGCTAAATGCACATGGTACATTCTCTAACAATTTTGTATATGCAGGAATAAAACTCTTGAGGAACCTGCCATAGTCGACGGAATGGAACATTTCCAGCATTTCTTTGACTTCGACGACGACCTGCAACTTTGTTCGGACATCGACTTTGTCGTCCATCAGTCGCTCTGACAGAACTTCTGGGTCCGGACCTGGCGCTGTGGTTGCGGATCCTGTAGCAGAGCCCCCTACTCCTAATGCTCCTCCGGCGCCGCTACCGCTGCCACTACCTGCAGCGCCGCGGTTAGGGCTCTCGCTAACGGACATTTGCCCGTCAGGTGTCTGCACCATTTTGTTGTAAGGACCCTCCACTTTGCCTGCCAAGTACACGGGAAATCAGCTGCGGTGGATGGACACGAGTCCCGGGTTCCAATCCGTCACGTCGCGATCCTCGTTGTCCCCTGCTTCGCGTGACGGTGAAAGTGGATAGCGGCCTTTCGCAGAGGTGTTTATTCCTCACGGCGAACTTGGATCTGAATGTTGAACCGCTCGGAGCATGATGTCTTGGCAGATACCTTCTCCTGCGTGCAGTTTCTTAAGGCCGTGCTCACGCCACTGTGCAGCTGATGGTTGAGGACATCTTCGTGCATCTTATGGAGTGGATGTGGTCCTGGGGAGAGATGGAATTGTCTCTGAGTGGATGTCTCTCTCGTCTCGCCTACCAGACTTCGAATGTGGTCACGTGACATTTTGGTCGCTGGCCCTCCTCCCGCCTGAACCATCCCGTCCAACGACAATCGCGAGTCAAGTCTCCGGCTTGGGCAGCTTTTACAACCTCGCGCCATGAACAAGTCCAACGCTTGGGGCTTTGCCGCCTAGATTTGGACTGACCTAACTTGCACATTACTGCAAGGCAATGGGGCTTTCAGTCAAGCGGCCCTCAGCTCAGCGCGCTTGAGAACGTCTGCTCGACAGCTGAGACTTTCCGGGTTCATGCATCGCCATCGCGGTGCTCGCCTCTGCGACCGGTGACGGCGCTGGTTACCCCATCGGAGTGACCATTGGGCGACCTCCTCGTAAGGCGGTCCTGAAGGGGCAACCCTTGGCAACCATGGCCGAGCTCCTGCTGCGTCTCTTTCACTCGGACTACTTTTCACCTCATCTTGCGCTTTCTTAGTGGGTGTTCATACTTCTTACGCACCGGGCAATTTGCTTACAGCTAATCGGACGCATCTTTTCAATTTCGATAGCCTCAAAAACTACTCGGAGAACATAGGCATCACGTATTACTTGGTGGAACAGCTACAGGCAACATTTAAAGCCGAAGATGTCGAGTTCTACTGGCCACAGCTATGGTGAGGACTTTGGGTGAAGGGTGTCATTGTAATGCATGCGCTCACGATTTGAATCTTCTATACTCTGTCAGTCACCTGCTCATCACCAAGCCGTCCGATTCACTGGCATTGGAGAACTTCATCCTGCAACGGTGTACAGAGAGTGTACACATTGCGCTCGTGACACTCTGGCACTTTCAAGCCGCACGCTTTGACCTTTCTGCCGACCCTAAAACGCCCAGCTTCCAAATATGCAAGCGAGTCATCAATCGTTGCCAGAGCATCTTGTTCGATGATACATGGGAGCAACAGCAACAGGTCCTGCAAAGCACCTCTGGAAACCAGTCTGCGGAGGCAAGTGTGAGCCTTTCAATCACTACCAAAGTGACTTCGGGCAATCTGCTTGGGAGGATATATAATAGCATTAGCGGCAGAGAAGAAAAGATTCACCCAGCCAATGCACTTACCACCATTATTGGCGTGGGAGCCTCCATCGGCTCCGTTGGCATGCCGCGCCTAGCGAGTATTGGCGGACCGGTCGCAATATCGCAAGGCCGCAAGCCTCCGGAGGACATATTCCGAAGGATACTCAAGCGCATTGAAGACGACGGCGACGAAGGAGCAGGCTACGAAGAGGATGATGAGCAGAACGAGTTGGATGAAGAGGAAGAGGAGAAAGATCATGCGGTCGATGGAGATGGCGCGGAGTTGAATAGACATGTTTGCATTCGGTCGCCGGAAGAAGATGCGGATCATGCATCGAAGCACGAGCGGAAAGAGAGCGCCGCTTCGGCCAGCAGCCAAGTGCCAGAGCTTCTGAGCAGTGAACTTCTGACAGGACCCTCTTTGGATGGATCTGCTGATCAAAGTCAGCCCGATCAAGGGAAGTTCCGAATGGCAGCAGTTGCTGAAACTCCTTCCGAAAAGACTCTCCCAGCACGACCTGCATGTGCAGCAGACGAAATCAATGCAGGGGAGGCATCAAGTGTCTTGCAATCCCACCCGCCCGCCTCCCAGATGCATCCGCAGCCGCAGCGTTCCCCAAATCCGTTCGCCACCTTTGCCTCCACGCTGAATGACTTCAAGGATCGTGCAGCTGCAGCAGTTGGAGATGCGATTGGGCAGCACTTCCAGATCGTCGCGCCGCCTGCACCAAAGCAGACACGAATGAGCTTTGGGTCGGAGAGCAGAGCGACTGTCGCAGCTCTCAAGGCGCCCAGAAACAAGGGGAGCATGGGTAGCAGTAGCAGCACTAGCGTCAAGTCGGACGCGATACGACGCGCGGCAGCTAACTCGCAATCAACACCCAATCTCCCTCGTGGACCGCATAGTGCGCCAGGTGGTCAATCCAGGTTTGTATCTACCGCGGCCTTCATACAGTACGGTGCATCTAACTCGCAGTCAACATCTTCGGTCACATCGCTCGTTTCGAACTACTCTCCTCAGACGCGCTCTCGACTGTTGCGCGTACACTACAGCCGAACACAGACGGACTTCCTTGCCATGCTGCAGAACATTTCTGGCCGATTGCTCCTGCTGCCAAAGCCCGCGCGTCTGAGTGCACTACGAGCCGAACTGACGGATCTTAACCACAGCTTACCGAAAGAGGTTTGCTTTCCGCTGTGGTGTCAGTGCAATAAGGATGTCTACCGTGGACGACGCCAATCGAAGGAGCAGACAGCGCAATCTGCCAAAGCGCCACAATCAAGGCTGCGGCACCATCGCGTCGTGCGCATCAATCCAAGCGAGGCGGTCGTGCTCAACTCAGCAGATCGGGTGCCTTATTTGTTGCACGTCGAAGTGCTCAACAACGATCTCGATTTCGACCCCGATCGACGCTCGAATAGAGATGCGGTCAAGAAACTCATAGCAAAAGAGGAAGATCACAGACGAAGGTTGTGGCGCCGGGACATGGCTGATGACCAAATTCGCACCAGGTCGCTCGAGGGTTCAGAGCCTTCGAGCCTAAGAGGGCATCCTGCCACCGTGATGCACAGCGAAGATGCCACGCCGGTAATGGAGAATATGCCGCTCGAAGCCCCCCACGCAGCACCTTCAGCTGGTTCACGCGATCGATCTCGACACTCGTCGAGCTCAGGCGCGACTCCAACATCTGGCACTGGCCATTCATCGTTTTTGGAGGCGGAGCGCTCGACAGAGAACGAAGCATCGTTAGGGGACATCTCTCTGTCCACCTCGGTCATTACCGCCGCCAACGAGAGCGCAATCCCGGAGGATGGAGAAGGAATTGACTTGACGGAGCAAATGTATGGCGCGGACCTTGCCAAGTTCGGCGGTGAGCGCGGCGATGATGATGACAGTGACGAAGACGACCTCACGGTCATGAACAGGCACCACGACAGCGCAGCATGGACCGCCTTCCGCTCTCGTGAAGGCAACATGCAGAAGAGCGGTAATGGACACGCTCAGCTTCCGGAGTCACCCACAGCGGGCCGAAAGAATTTTTCGCTGGACGATTACTCCGAACGGATGCGCACTGCGGCCATCATGCTGGCGCAGCTTAATCAGTCGACTAACGCAGGTGCACAACCGATCGTCACGCACAATCCACACGTCACTGCGACCGCGCAAGGCGGGTGGAGCAGCTGGATCATCGGCACCAGCTGGGCTAGCTCGGCTGGCGCGCCGTCCAAATCTGAGCCGGGCCAGGCAGGCGCCAGTATCACAGCTCACAACACTGGCATCACGCCGACTACTCCAATGACGCCCAAATCGGCCGTGTCGACGGCAGCTTCAACGGCTCCGCCCATCACTCCACGCACACCTTCCATGCAAGTTGGCTGCGGCGCAGGCAACGTGCGGCTATTGCATGCAGATGCGGAAGGCATCCGGAAGCGCATCATGCAAGAAATGATGGCCTTGGAAGAGGAGCGCATGAGTCGCACAAAGGTCAGCGCGCGCACAGCCGTTGGATCGGGCATTGAAGACGAAGCGACGGTCATGCGTGCAGTGAACAAGGATGATCCATCCGCTGCCATCTTCCGCGAATCATGGGCAGCAAAGAAGGCGCGTATCCGCGCATCATCGCCGTATGGTCACCTTCCAAATTGGGATATCTTCTCCGTCATCGTCAAGACGGGTGCTGATCTACGCCAAGAGCAACTCGCCGTGCAGCTCGTCAATGAGTTTGGCAGAATTTTTGAGGAGACGAGCAGTCGATGCTGGGTCCGATACTTCCGCATCCTCGTCACCAGCGAGAATTCCGGCTTAATGGAAACGATCACAGACGCTATTTCCATTCATTCGATCAAAAAGGAAGCGTACTCACAGCAAGTTGGCGGCGAAAGTATCACCACCTATAGCTTGTATGACCATTTTGTCGTGGTGAGCATTCGCTGGATGTTGCCTTCGCAGAATGTCACTCTGACGGCCATCTACCCTCCCAGACATACGGACACCCGAATTCAATCAAGTTCAAACGCGCCCAAGACAGCTTTATGCAGTCCCTCGCGGGCTACTCTATCATTTCATACCTTTTGCAGATCAAAGATCGCCACAATGGTAACATTCTCGTCGACGACGAGGGGCACTTGATCCGTGAGTGCAAGCACAATTAAGGCGCAGCCTTTTCAGCGACTCACAAAAGCTTTTATGGCTACAGATATCGACTTTGGCTTCATGCTCGGCATCTCCCCCGGTGGCGTCGGCTTTGAGGCGGCACCATTCAAGATGCCGCAGGAGTACATCGACATCCTCGGCGGCATGGACAGCACCAAGTTCCAAGAGTTCCACGAGCTGATGCGTCAGGGCTTCAAGGATGTGCGCAAGCATGCGGAGCGGATCATCATGATTGTTGAACTTATGCAGAAAGGTGCGCTGTTTCCAAGGGCCTCAGAAAAGCTCTACAGGCATGTTGACGAGGCTTCCCCGAATGTGCAGATTCCAAGCTGCCTTGCTTTGCACTAGCCGAAGAAACCGCCTCAAATTTGCGTAACCGCTTCCAGCTCGCACTCAGTGCCTCGCAGTGTGATGACTTTGTCGACAAGCTCATCCTCAACTCGGCAGGCAGCGCCTTCACCCGACTCTACGACCAATTCCAGTAGTGAGTGATCGACTGTGCAGCCTTCCGCTGTGGTGCCTCCGTGCATGTCTTCTGATCGTCACTTTGACTTTTCCTCCCCGACGCACCTGCTAGCTATTCGCAAGGGATTCTTTGATGTGTCGCTATTGTAGCATATGCGTAGATACCAGCAACGCCCATAAAAGTCAGGGAAAGCTGAGGCCAACGGATGATAAGCTTACAATTACGTATGTCACAACACGGGGACTCCCCCTACCAGCCGATGCTATACAAAAATCAGAATCCAGTCGTTGGCCGGATCTCTCGGCGAAGCGGTGCGTTCAATATGAAGTTGCATTTAAACAAACTCTCGAGTCGCAACTTGTACGCTCGAGGGAATAGATGCCCGATCCTGTTGTGCACACAAAGTCGAAACCGGTGTGAGAGGAGGCTGTAAGTGGCAGTCTGCGGCTCGGTGCGTCACAGCCTAGTCGGGATTTCGTGTAGCAGACGGAAACCGAGATCCGTCGGCGGACGCGGTCACATGGCTGGTTTGGACGTCGCGGAGACACAATACAATAAAGACTTTGGTTGGCACCACCGTCGGTTTGCGCTTTCGAAACCATGCGGTCTCACTACGAAATTGCAGAAAGTGCACTGAGACCGTCGGAACATCTGAAGCTCGCCATCTCAGTTGATGAAGTCAACCCCCCGGCACCCGCCCCACCATCCGAGTCCGGCGCCAGCGCCAGCGGGCCAACAGCGGAGGCCGCGCTGTCAGCGAGCCCTGCAGCTGGATCCCAAGAGACAGCATCGCGCAGGGTCTTGGCCATCATTTTGAATGTAGACGCAGGCTACGAGCTAGGCGCGCTCCTCGTTTTAAGACAGCGGGCTTCGGACGGGTATAAGACTGCGAGCATAGCACAATGTTTCCCTCTTGTAAGTCGTGCTATCCCCTCCAGATTGGCATCGTGCTTTCTCAGGGTTGCCAATATTCACTCCCTCCTTTTGTTTAGGTACAAGGACTCGCGTGCAGAAAATTTGAACGAGGGCCAGAAGGTGTTGACGTCTCGCAACAGACTATTAACGCCACGGCCGAGATCACAGGTTCAACAGCTCAGTCGTCTGCTGAGGCAGATGCGGTCATGGTTAAAACCAATGCTGAGGCTTCTGAGGTCAAACAACAGCAAAAAGTGGAAGCCATGACTAGCAAGCTTGAAGGCACCACAGGCGTCAACCCGACTAATGCGTCTGCTGTAGACTTCAGCATCACCCTCGGCCGAATCTCCTTCAACGGCACGACACGCGACGCGACTGGGCTGCAAGATCTGTTCGCAGTCATAGAAGCTCAGGTTTCCGTCGCAATGGAGCATGCTAGCCACAGCAGCGGCAAGGGAAATGATGAATACACTTGGATTGCAGCCTATACGGACCACATGCCGGCTGCGCTTGTCGCGCCGATTTTTTCAAGATGTGAGCAGGCTTGTGCCTTAGACTGGACCTGCTCGTGAGCTCGTGACACCTGAGATTTTTTGCTGATCCTCTGTAAATTTTTGAGGGTCAGTCACCTCGTCAGCATTCGTCCCTGTGCAAGCGCCTGGATCGAGTGCTGCCAGCGCTGCAGCTGACAGCGAGCCACTTTCCACACGGACTGCCTCGCCCTCTCTCTCTTCCTCTGGAACGGTATCTGCAATGCCTACAATACAACACGCCACCGCATCAGAGCTCAAAATCAGCATCGCTACCTGGAATGTAAACGGACAACTTCCGCCTGTGTCATCCGCGTGTGAGCCTGCGTCATCTGCAATCGCCGCGTCACGGCCAAACGGTGCTCCTCCACCCGAAACAGACACACAGGGCATAGCGCGCTGGCTGCGCGCGCATGAAGAAAGCGACATCATCGTTGTAGGATTCCAAGAGTTCGATCTCGGGTCCACGGCTTATCTTTATTATACGCCGCAACGAGAGGACGCGTGGACTGCTGCTGTCTTCTGCGCCCTGGGCCGGAGGGCTGGAGAGTATACAAAGGCGAGATCATTGCTTTCTATATGGATGAAATCAAAGCACACAGAATGGCGCTGACTGGATGCATCCACGCTATCTATGTGCAGCTTGCATCACGGCAGCTCGTCGGCCTGTTCAGCATGGTCTTGGTTCGCACGTCTCTGGCTGACTGCATTCAAGATGTTGACACGTGCGCCGTAGGCGTCGGCCTCGGCGGGTTCGTAGCGAACAAAGGCGCAGTCGGCATTCGCTTCCGTTTCCGCGAACGTGACGCCCCACCATTTGATACGGGGCGAACATTCTGCTTTGTGAATGCACATCTGAGCGCATTTGAAGGCGTCGATGCGCTGGAGCGCCGCAGATGGGACTGGAATGAGATCATGAAGCGCCTAAATTTCGAATTGGACATCAGCAGACAGCAAGGTCGGCTCGAAGGAGAGCAAGGGATCGGGAAACTCGTCATGGCGAGCGACAAGAGTGTCGAGATCGCACCACCGCCGCCGACACACCTCGCTGCTGTCGCGCAGATGAAGGCAACCCCAACAGAGATGGGCGCTTGCACGCGGGACGTGCCAAAGACGGAGAGGGACAAGCACCGCCGTTGGAGACGCAGATGGGCCAAGGAGCGGAAGGAGTGGCTTGACGAACGCAGAGAGTGGCTGGATGGGAAGACGAAACAGGCCAGGGAATTGATGAAAGGAGCTGATTGGGCCGGACAGGATGGGTTAGTGTCCGCTTTGGAAACGGAAGCGCCAGATGCTCTGCGCATACAGCTTGGTGTGCTAGACCATGAGTGAGTTCAGCCTGGATGCTGCGTTTAACAAAAAGGGGCTGATATCGCACGTTCCACAGCATCATCTTCTTCTCTGGAGATCTCAATTACCGTCTCAATATACACATCAATGAAGCGAAAAAGATGATAAAAAAACGTCAGTACGCTACTTTGCTCAAATTTGATCAACTGAATGCCGAGCGATCCATCGGCGCGGTTTTCCGTCAAGGCTGGCACGAGGGTCTAATAGCGTTCAGCCCGACTTACAAGTTCGACCTAGGCACGAACGTATACGACACGAGCGAGAAGCAGCGCACACCTGCCTGGTGCGACCGAGTGCTCTGGCATACGCCTATGCGCATCTCAAAAGATGTGGAAAAGCTGGCCGAGAAGGCAGAGGATGACGACACGGACGAGGAAGAGGATAGGATACTGTCGTCAGTCGGTGAGGAAGAGCTCGTCAGGCAGTGCGTTTATACATCCGAAATGGGAGTTGGGATCAGCGATCATAAACCTGTAGTCGCTGTTTTCATTTGTAATCGCAAGTGAAATTTTCTCGGAATGATCACCTATGTATGCATGAATGTCCCTTCGAAAACCTCTAGAGCAAGACAAGGAAGTTGATGTGACGAGCTCGTCAGATGACTCTAGCCTGCCTGAGCCCCTCCTGCTCAGCCTCTGAAAGTCCCAGCATGCCGCCCAGAATCTCCACATTGTGCTGTCCTAAGTCTGGACCTGCCCACTGTTCACCACGTTTAGACTCCAACACTGGGCTTGAGCCCGGTACTTTCAAGTCCCAACTCTTCCCAACCTTGCGGGAGGTTACTTTGATGGTCTCGATCATGCCCCTTGCTTGAACTTGTGGCTCGTTCATAACTGAAATGAGGAAGTGAAGATGCAGACAATGGACTGACTCGCTCTCGAGTACCATCTGGTCTAAGCGTGCGACTCACGGTCTTCGACGCTGTTGATCCGGCCGCTCGGCACTTCAGCTTCCGCTGTGAAAAGAATACGTTGTCAGCATTTGGCCTAACGATGCCTTTATTCTTACTGAGCTTACCAAGAGCTTGCAAGGCGTCGTCTGCAGATATCTGACTAGTCCAAGCGGTGATAGCATTCTCAATTGTTTCTTGATTTCGGACTCTGTCGTCGTTATTTCTGAACTCGTCCCCGATAAGGTCTTGCCTGCCGATCTTCGTCATCAGTCGATTATATATACTGTCACCATTGGCGCCGATGATGATGTATGTCGAGGGATCTTTTGTGACGTATACATTTGTGGGAACGATGCCTGTCACAGAGCTGCCAGAAGGCCCTCTGACGACACCGAATCGGTCGTATGCGGGGATGATCCCTTCGAGCATGGCCATGACACTCTCGTAAATCGCGACATCGACCGTCTGCCCTGTCTTGCTCCCAGGCGCTGCTTTTCCCCGCGCAAGTAGCGCCATGACGGTTCCAAAAGCGGCATGCAAGCCAGCGAGCGAGTCGCCGAGTGAGATGTTAGGTCTCACGGGTGCGCCCGCTGGCCGACCATGCTCGTCTGGAAACCCATTGATGAACCGAAAACCTGAGAAAGCTTCGCAGACGGATGCATAACCGCCGACAGAACGCATGGGACCTGTTTGACCGTACCCGGAGACGCGGGTGTAGATGAGCCCTGGGTTCTGTGGATGGAGATCAGATGGCCCAAGGCCCCAGCGCTCGATTCTTCCCGGCTTGAAATTTTCCAGTAGGACATCGGACTGTAGTGCGAGCTGACGGACCAGTCTATCATGACAAAACAAGCGCCGTGAACAGCCAAGCAGAGTCAGTTTCTACGGTCAAACGTTGCTCGAGTGCCTTGAACGCACTCTCTCCCTTTCTCCTGACGCAAATCAATAGTCACGCTCTTTTTGTTGCGAGCCAGGGATCGAAACCACGGTGAAACACCGTCCACATCTAGCTCTCTCCACACTCGCAATGGGTCGCCTTTGCCCGGCGCCTCGACCTTGATGACATCTGCACCGTAGTACGCGAGCAGAAACCCGCAAAACGGAGCTGCGATGAGGTGGCCCAACTCCAGGACCTTGATTCCGGCTAAAGGTCCGCCATTCGGTGACTGTGAAGACGTTGAATTGGCACAAGCTCTGGCTACTAACGTGAAACGCTGCACCAGCGTCGAAGCTGAGGTCAACTTGCGGTGCAAGCGCCGTGTAGCAACGGCGCTTTGGAGGAAGGTCATGCTTGGCATTTGCGAGATATCCTGCGCCTCAAAAGGAATTAGCTGTGCACCTCACGCCATACGGCCGTACTTTACCGTGCTTCCTGAAGCTTCATATTCTCTCAAAGGCATCTTAACTCCACAGGTATAGCCACGTAGGATATATACGCGCAACTTCGGACCTCAAGCCCTCGACGTCCTCGAGATCTCGATATCGTGACTGGCCTACACGCAGCGCGCACTGGCGCTGACAATGGGGATCAGCAGGTGACGAAGTTCCGCTTCGCTCTACGCAGATCCCGTGCGGAGCGCTCGTAGAAGCAGACTCAACAAGCAACAACCCTATCTTGTTGGGACATTGACCGAGGGATCTGAACACTCGCACCCACCCAAGGTTGATCCATTGGGTTCCGAGTTCCGCATGAATCCCTGTATCGTCCCCCAAAGCTCCAGGACTGCTGCATTGTGTATTTTCACTGCGGGTGTGGTGTTCTGCCTTGAGTGCACAGCGAGCTACAGCGCCTGGGTTGCAAATCCTACAGGCCGTACAACCATAGCTCTCTCACATCTCACAACCACAACTCACAGATGAACTGGATACAAATCGTGTCCGTCGCTCGTTGCCGCTTTGACCATGATGGAGGAGAGCCAGGTCTCATGAGAGAGGAGTGGGCACCTAGTGCACCATCTTGCATTCTTTCTGGAGTGCGCGCTAGTGGCATCGAGCGCGTCGTAATCCAAAGCGTTGCGGGAAAACGGCGGCACTGATTATCAGAGTGCGCATCTTTGGAAAGGCGTCGCTACTCGCTTCCCGGAGAAGAGTATCAAGACTATCCGCATATTCACACAGCCTTTAAGTGGCCCCTTCTCTAATAAGGTGAGCACTTTCAGCTGCCGTCTTGCCAGTGCTGAGCCTTCTCAAAATCAAGGCCAAGAGATAGCTAACGCGGCCGTTTCGTCTGTGCGCCGGCAGCTGGTTTCGCGTCGCAGGATTGTTCCCCTCACCCGACCATGTCCGCTGACAACGGTCGAGGCAAGCGCTTGCGCCGTTCTTCTGCGGAAGGATCTGATGAAGAGCAAGCGGCAAAGAAGCCGTTGCTGAGCCAGGGATCCCCGCCTGAAGCAGCTGCTACAGAGTCTGGAGATGTTTCGCAAGTCTTGGATGACGATGCACCGCCGTTCTTTCCTTTGCCTCCTGCTCCAGCTGGAGCCACATCTAAAGAGGGCGCGTTCGATGTCGTGATTTTTCCGCACGCCGCAGACCCGTCACCCGTTGCACCTGACCCAGTTCGACATGAAGATCAAGGGCAGCAGCAGCAGGAGTCGCTTTCCAAAGCAAAGGCCATAATTCCGGATGAATCGGCTCCGAATGACTTGCACAACGCGTCTCTTCCCTTGGACTCTGAAGACGAAGAGCTTCAAGTGAACGCCGTAACTGCGACAGATGCGCAGCATCTTCAATCAATGGAATCTCCTGCAGCTGATGACGCTCTACAAACAGATGCTGTGAACAGAGTTGCAGTAGAGTCAAGTCCGCAGGCTTCCCATGACGATCAAAGTGGCGCTTTCGACGGTGAGGCAGCAGAAGCATTGGAAAGCGTCGCTCAATGTCCTTTGGCTGAGAGTGGAGACTCTAAAGACGCTCCTGCTGCACATCCCCTTGACGTCACGCATGGCGGGGCCATGGAAGAGCCTTCGCAGCTTGCAGATGAAACTGCGCCACAACCCTCTTTCGAAGTTCAATCCCCTGGAACCCCTCTTGTCTCCGCAGACACTTCTGTTCGTACCACCACAGAAAGCCGGGAAACTCTGTCATATATTTTGATGTCTGCAACAACCGAAGTGCAAGCTCAACATCCTTCCCAGCAGGCGCAACCCCAGTCAGAAGCAAAAGCGAACTTAGCTGCTATCAGCGATGAGGAACGGAAAGCGAAGTTAGAAGAGCTTCGAAAAAAATTCTCACAGCCTCCTCCAAACCCCCCAGCGCGTAAAGGACCGCTTCCTCCCTCATCCCCTCTCTCGGGCTCGCGAAACGTAGGGCGATCACTGACTTCGTCGAGCGTCAGCAAACAAGTCTTGCCTTTGCGACCCATTTCGTCCCATGCTCCGCAGAGGTCTGTGTCGGCTTCGTTCTCCTGGTCCGTACAGCCTTCTGACCAATTGAGAGGCTCAGCAAATGTTAATCCGCGCGACACCTGGGCATCTACGTCCAACTCAGCTTGGCGGCCTACGCCGCCGCCGCCCCCATTATCAGCATCAGAACTGCGTACATCCTATGCATCTGGACCTCCACGCTCTGCACCAGATTACCAGCCACGACCACTGCCACCACTTCATGGAGCTTCCCACGCTCTTCCTGCCTACAGCCAAGGCGAGCCTCCGCTTCCGCCGCTGCAACATCCTAGCGTACCGCCGGCTTTGAGCTACCATGCGCACCCTACGCCGCCACCACCACTAGCAGCAGCAGCGCGAGTTGGAAGCAGCAGTCATCACCGAGCCGAATTATCAGACGCATACGATCCTCGTCGTTCCAGCGCCGCAGCGAGGTCCATTGCCGGAACACCATCTTATACGCATGCGCCTGTCCCTGCGTCGCCGCCAACCACCTCAATACGCCCATCGTATCCACCGCAGCTGGCACCGCAGCAGCAGCAGAGAAATGCGTATGAATACGGGACCGGGGGCTCGCCGCACCCCACGCCAGGCTGTGCCCCGCCGCCGCATCTGCACGCGCAGAATATGGATCTGTATGCATCCGCGCGCCAGCAGTCACAGCAGCTTCCCCCTCCGCCGTCGCCACAAGCCGTGCTGTCAGCCGCATCCTACGAAGCTCATCCGCCTTATCATCACCCGACAGCGCCCGCTGTTGCATATGGCTCGCCTGCTCAACCCCTTCCGGCAGGGCATCAACAGCATCACATTCCTTCGTCGCGTCCTTTCGCTACTGCTCACGCAGCGTATCCACCGGCGCACGCTTCACCACTGCCTTCGTACAGTACAAGAGGGGCGAGTCACGCACCTCCAGGGTACGATTACGGCGCGCCACCGCAACAGCAGCACCACTGGCAATCTGCTCCTGCTCCAGCATCTGTATCGCCTCCTTCGCATTACTACACGGCTCCGGACTACGGCCAAGGGTACGGCAGAGCACAGGCGCCACCACCGCCTCCGCCCTCGTCGGCACGCTACCCCACGACAAGTCAGCACCAGCAGCACCAGCACCAGCAGCACCAGCAGCACCAGCAGCACCAGCACCAGCATCAGCCACAGCCGGCACCCGCGCCGTTGCACGGCGGATACGGCCGACCGCCTCCATTGCCCGTAGCAGCAACCGGCTGGCAGCCTGATCCGTATGCGCCAAGAGCGCCCCCGACGCCATGTGTGCCGCCTCCTTCAGTTCCTTCAGGGACTGCTGCGTATCCACCACAGGGCTACTATTCGCATCCACCTTCGTATCCGCCTCCACGCTCGCATTCGTAGTTGCACCAGCTGAGCACGGCGCACTACCGCCATCGCTGTCGCCGCCTGTCCCTGCATCTGCATTTGTCTAGCAGCCGTAATACTCGCACACCCTGCTTTCAGCCGCAGCGGTGGTAGCTGGGTACAAGCAACGGTAACTGCGAGCATGATTTCATGCGGCCGGAGCATACAACTCACCGGCGTGCGTATAGGTGATCGGCTGATGGCATCTGCAATCGTTGTAGCTTATCATACTTTGCCTTGCTCCCGCACATCATTTTACGTAGCTGTTGCCAGCCGTCCCCACTGCGATGTGATCTCCTGATCCTGGATGCACTTCTTTTGCATTGCTTGCATTTCTCACATACTCTTGGTCTGCCACCGGCGCGGCTGACGTTCGTTCAGCAGCTTAAGCGTCCAGGGCAGACGGCTCTGGACACGCTGAGAGCTTCTCGGGCGCTTACAAAGATGCAATCAATCGAAGCAGGCAAGGCGTTGTAGACCGCCTCGAGTCACACAGGCAAGAGGCGGCAACGAAACACCACGTGGAGTGGTACCGCGTGACAGCAAAGTTGCAACAGTCTGTAGTCGTCGATCACTCGTTTCAAGTTGGACAGGCGGTCCTGTGCAAGGATCCACACCACGAGGCAAGAAGAAGCCCGATGCTCGGCACGACAGGTAGTACATCGTCCACGGTGTATTCCCCCGCAGGTTGCTATGAATTATTAAAGCTCTTGAATAGGGACAGTGAGGATTGGGACAGTTCAAGGAATTTAACCCAGCAAGCGGAACTGAGCTACGAGCGAACCAGCACTCCACTGCAGTCAGCACAGTACACCCATCAGCATACGACGACTCGCTGCTCGCGGTCCAAGCCAACCGAAAAGCTTGGTTATGTGATTCAACAAGTCCGCGTGCACCATGTAAAAAGTAGGGTTGCTGCTTTATCTATTGACGGAATGCCGAACATTTTGGACTTTCACTCTTGAAATGTGGCACACTGCGTGTCTCGTGTGTGTAACAAGGCCATGCATTGTTTCTTTTTTGTGCCTTGTCCCAATTGGCTTCGCCCTGGGGCACAGTGACAGCCACAAGTGAAGGGGATGCTGCCTTTCTTTCTTTTTCTTGGCTTTTATTCCAGAGTTGTGTCATCTAACACTTCTATCCTCGGTAATGGCCATCCATGGGGCAGATTGATGGGATGGGCCATGAGGACTCGGTTCGTGGTATAGACATAAACATATCGTCAGCGCCATCGGTGGGGGGTCAGCAAAAAGACAGCATCTCAACGTTCATCTCCCGCTGTTGACTCGTGGCGCAGTGCTGGTGGTGCCGCGTGCCGCACACTTTCCTCTGGTCCTCGTCCTCCTCTCCTCAGGCTCGGTCGTGCGTCGGTCTCCATCTCTCCCATATATCGATTTGCTTGCGAAGCCTATCGCACTTCCCTTCTTTTCATTGTCCACCACAGTCGGGCCGCAAGCCGAGCCGATCAGACTCAAACTGTCGCTCATCCTCCTTCCCTACAAGTGAGAGCGTCGCTCGGTGAAACGCCAGGCACACTACTCTCTCCTTCCTTTCGCTTAAGGGCGTCATCAAGTACCCGCCAATCAACAGCCAGCATGATGCTCGCTTCTTTCTCATATCCAGCTGGCGGTCTGTACACTGTGACTATCGCGGCGTGCACGCTCCTGTCGCTCACGTCAGCCTCCTCCGCAGCTGGCGTCGGTAGGGCAAACCCTGCATCACCGGCTGCAGCGGGGGCAGCAGTACTCCTCTCGCCGCCATCATCAGCAGCACCGCTACGGAATCATGCAGCGGCAGAGTGGACTGCGCGAGATACTGCTATTTCTGCTGCCACTACTTCATCCTCTGCGCCATTGAGCCTTCCGCTGCAGCGGCGGCACGTCCCTAACTCACACGAGTACGTGCAGCTCACCACAGCGGAGTGGGCGGGTCGACAAGTGCAGGCGCTACGCCAAAAATACAGTGTCACTCCTCGCAACCCTCTCGAACAGGATGCGATTGCGCCATCATCAATACAGAAGCGAGACGCACTAGCAGCCAGTATACCAATGTACAACGTTGCTGCCGACACGTCCTTCTACACGACTGTCAGCATCGGTACGCCCGGACAGGACTTCAAGGTCGTCCTGGACACCGGCTCGTCGGACACATGGGTCAGCAGCGCCTACTTCTCACCCTCGCAGTCGTCAACGTTCAACTCATCCAGCCCGCCAACACCGTTCAGCATCCAGTACGGCGGGGGTCAGGTGCAGGGCATACTCGGGACGGACCAGATGCTGCTCGCCAACCATATCGTCACGGGCCAGACGTTCGCCGTCGCCAACACCATCTCAGGCGGGCTACTCAATGGACAGGTACAGGGCGTCATGGGCATGGCGTTCGCGACGCTCAGTACCAGCGGACAAAACCCGCTGTGGTACGGCGCTGCACTGAGCGATCAGACATTTGCATGTGAGTGTAGCCAGAAGGGCCGCGCATGCGCCGCGTCACAAATGCGCTCTGTTTTGACATTCGTACGCCTCACAGACTACTTCGGGCGCAACTCGGGCCCATCTGCCTCCCCTACTGCGGGGGGCATTTTCACATTAGGCGGGACGAACACCACGCTCTACCAGGGTGACATTAAATGTGAGTGAAAGCCTGACAACTCCCACATACCGCACGTGCACAATTCTCACCCCACCCCCCTCTCTTTCCCATCATGGATTGTCGCCACAGGGGTCAATGTCATCCACCCGAAATATTGGCTCGTCACGCTCGGCGGTGTCTCCGTGCTCGGCAAGCCCGTCTCGCTTGGGTCGACGGTGAAAGCGGCGATCGACACTGGCACGACGCTGATCGGAGGCCCAGACGACGTCATCGAAGCGCTGTACAAGTCCATCCCGGGCTCAGTGCCCCTACGCGTGCAAAAGGGATTCTACACGTACCCGTGCTCGTCAACGATCAACGCGACGATGACGTTCGGTGACCAGCAGTACTCGATCCCGGACGCGTCGTTCGCCGCGCAGACGCTCGGCGGCGGAATGTGTATGGGCGCTTTCTTCGGCCTCGGCGCGAGCGGCGGCGATGACGCGCAGTGGATCGTCGGCACCAACTTCCTCAGCAGCCTCTACACCATCTTCACAATCAATGACAACAAGCCGCGCGTCGGCTTTGCCAGCCTGGCTGCCAACACGACCAATGACCAGACCGTCTCGACAACCGTCCAGGCTGCTCCAGACGCCAATGCCGCCGTCGGCTTGCTGCGGGCAGCGCCTGCCGCCGCGCTGCTCTCTTTCGCATTTGTTGGTATTGCTGCATCACATGTTTTCTGAAAGGCGGCACTCTCTTTCCATCTCTCGTCCCTTTCGCTCCATTATCCATACCAGTCATTAATCACACAGAGATAATTTAGATGCTACTGTTGCTTGGGATATCTGCAATGAACTTCATCTCATTTGGAGACCTTTTGTCCTTCTGGGCTGTCGTTCTTTGAAGAACAAATACAATTTTGATCTACTCCGTGTTGTAGAAAGCATAAGAAGGCACGCCCGGCTCGGCAGCTGTGAGAGTTTTGAGCTCGAAGCCCTTCTTGCCTTCCAGCTCGTCCGCCTTGGCAAGCGCATCTTCTGCCGACTCGATATGCAGGTCTTGGAACTTCATCGTTCGGCAAAGGTACGCCTTGATTCCCTGCACGGTCTCTACCTCGTCGAATGGAAGCAGGCGGTTGAAAGCGGCGTCGGGCCCGAATTCTTCCATGCGACGCTATTGCGGTAGAAGAACATGAGAAAAGAGATAGGGACGTCAATATACCCAAGCCCTGATTGCTGAAGCAATCACCACAACGCACCTTGAAAGCCATGACAAAAGGCATGGTGTGCTTGGCCTTGAGAAGACCAGCGGTACCGAGCGCTTCGCGGACCTTAACGTCATCTATTGCGCCGGTACTCGGGTCATAATTCACTTTGATGGCATCCACACAGGTAGTCTGCCATTCCGGGTAGTTCTTTGCGATGAAGATGCGCAGCTCCTTCGGTTTCCGATCATCGTACGGCACCGTCGGCGCATCCGACCCGGCCTTCTTGCTCGAAACAGGCTTACCCGCCTTCTTCTTGCTCGCGAGGATCTCGGCGTCGCGGATGCGCTTGGTCAGGTTACGCGCGTACGTCGTCGCGGCCGTGACAGACGGGTTGACGGGCTTGGAGATCTTGGGCCATTTCTGCACCTGGATCGACTCCTTCTCGCCGAGGATGCTCATCCAAAAGTGCTCGGCCATGTGCGGCGCGATGGGCGCGATGGCGAGCGTGAGCATGCGCAGCCAGTACTCGACGAGATCGGCGTGCATCTTGATGTCGTACGTCGCGTCCCGGTATAGGTCTCGCGCAGTGATCATTTCGTAGAACCCGTCCTTCACCGCGTCTTTGTACAGGGCCTGCTTGTAGTGCCCGTATGTCAGACTGATGAGGTTGTTGATCTCGTTCTCAAATGCCACGTCCCAGAAGCTGTCCTTGGGACCCGTCCGCAGCGAGCTCTTGTCCTTGAAAATTTCCTGGCACCACTCGATGAGCGTGTGCAGCCGGAGGATATTCGCATTCGCCGACTTTTCCTCAAAGTTGGCATCCTCAATGCCATCACCCGCATCCGCAAGACTAATGCGCGTCGCGTCGGCTCCGAATTTCTCGACGCCATCACGCAGCGTCATGCTATTGCCTGTTGACTTTGACATCTTCTTGCCGTTGAGCATCAGATGCCCGTTCGCACGCATTGCCAGCGGCCAGCGCTCCTTCGGGAAGAGCGCGGCGTGGTTGTAGACACAGAATGTGAGGTGGTTGGGGATGAGGTCCTTGCCGGACGAGCGAAGGTCCATCGGGTAAAAGTACCGAAACTCTCTTCGCAACGTCTCGAGCTTCTCGTGCGGAATGTCCGTCGACTTGAGTGTCGCAAGGTCCGAATCACCAAAGATGTACTCCCACACTTCGTCGGTGAGCTGCTCGACCTTGATGCCGATGGGCCCGACTTTGCTGCCGTCGATCACACCGGCCTGCAGTAGGTGCGCGACAGAGTAGTATGCCATGTAGATCGTCGAGTCGGACAGGGACTCAACGAGGAACTGGTGGTCCCATGGCAACTTGGTTCCGAGGCCGTAGCTCCTAGCACAAGCCCATTGATGCAACCATCCAAGGACACCCTCAAAGCCATTCCTGGTCTCTGACGTGAAGAGATTCAAGTTCTTGACCAGCTCAAGCGCCTGCTTCTTCCAGCCCTCCTCGCCGTAGTCCAAGTACCATTGGTCGCACAGCGCAACGACGCACTCGTCCGCTGAGCGACTGATAATGCGGCCTTCTGGTTCAGCGTAAGCGAATGCAAGACCCGCCTTGATCATCTCCTCGCGGACTTTCGGCTTGGCATCCTGTACACTCTCGCCCTTGAAGCTGCCAACGAGCATGGTGCCGTTGTAGAAGCCTTCCTTGTACGCAAGCTCCTTGGCCTCGGCGAGCAGCTTCACATCCTTGGGTGATTGGATCTTGAGCTGCTTGATGAGCGCCTCAGCGGTCAGGTTTCCATATGCTGGCGTACTGAGAACTGGGAAGGGGTCTAGCGACACCCACTGCGGGTCAATATTGTAGTACTCTGCCTTTTTGCGAAGATCCATCATCGTCGCGTAGTCGTCTGGTGAATCAGAAGGAACGGAGGTAACGACGCCCGTGCCCTTGGTCGCGAGAACGGTCTCCATAGGCAGAACGTAAACATGCCCATAGTGCGCAAAGGGGGCATTGATCTTGGTCCCTACCAGGTCGCTTCCCTTGATGCTGTCGATCTTCTCCACAGTGCCCCGCTCCTTAGTAATACCCTGGAATGCCATGTTGCGCGCAGCGCGGTCCGTGCAGAGGTAAATGTCCGTGTCGTTGATGGCGAAGAGGCCGTAGCTAAGATTTGGCCCGACGTAGCAATTTGTCTGGCCGTACATAGTCTCTGGCCTGAGGGTAGCAGCGACCATGTATACCTTTTTGCCCTTCGCGGTGGTGATAGCATCGACGATGGGAGCAGCAGCCGCACCCCACTGGATGACTTCCATCTTGAGAGCAGTGTACTCTTGCGGGCCGAGAGACTCTCCCTCGCTTCGGTCATGGTCCATGCATGGCTGCCCATCTTTAGGAGAGTAGATCGTGTATCGCTCTCCGAACTTGATTTTGTCCAGAGCACGCAACTTGTTGATCTGCCAACGCACGAAAGAGTCGTAGTAAGGATTGTAATCAGTTGTCGTGAATGCCCGGCGCCAGTCGATGCGAGCACCGATAGCATTCAGGTCGGCCACAGCGATCGGCGGGAAGTACTTCAGCCAATAGGTGGTGTCTGCGAACTTGTGGATCTCTTCTCGCGGCACTCCGATGCTTTCGAGGATTTGGAACTGGTACTGCAGACCGGTCGACTTGGCAGCCAGCTTTCCCTTGGTTGCTTTGGCCACATTGCCGGAGGGTGCACTCGAAGTCGCTGTCGCAATTGTGAGGTCTGGCGCCTCTTCTTCAACAGCTGGCTTGAAGCCCGAAAAGTCCTTGCCGAACATTTCGATTTCGCGAATCAGCTTGTCAGCAGCCGCCTGCAGGAGGAAAAGCATGAGCATTTTCAGTCGCGTACCAAAATGACCGAAAGGGACGTGCAGGGCATCACTCACTCGAATGGGCATACCTGTTGCATGGAAGGCGAATGGGAAGAGAGCCCGCTTCCCCTCCATCCTCTCAAAACCAGCGGTAAACTCGATCTTGCTGATGGTGAAAGCGTGGCCCAGATGCAGACTTCCGTTCATGTAAGGGTACGGAATGGTGCCCATCCATTTCGGGTAGTGCTCTCGAATCTGTTCTGGTGTCATCTTGGCCATCTCCTCCGCTGTCAGAGCTGGCTTGCCGGTTGGTGAAGGAGTCGAGGTAGAGGGCGGCTCCTGCATGGGCGAGTTAATCTCAAACAGCTTGGCATCCGCCCATTGCTTTTGGTACTTCTTCTCGAGACCGATGAGAAAGTCGCGCTTCGAGGTATTTTCGAGCTGAATCGGCCCAGCGGCTGCAGCTCCATTGGGTGGTGCTGAGACGGCGCCTCCGCCAGCTGCTGACGCTGCTTTTGGCGGCATATCGAAGAAGTCCTGAGTATCTTGTGGAGAGAAGGAATGGAAAGCTCGTGAGAGAGCCTGTGTTTTGATTGCTACTGGAACTTGAAGAGCAGGCGCAAAACGGTTGAAGGATGCCGCTACTGCCCTTCTGGCAAATGGTGAGGCCCTGAGGCTGAACGTCTTGAACAGGGTACCCGGAGGTATTGTTGCGATTATTTCCGCTTGCTGTGCTCTGAGAGTATGCAAAGGAGCCGAGGTTGTGCTCAACGGTATCTCGATGACGGCATCACCTGTCTATCCTTGTACAGGGTGGTTGAATAGTTTAACTTTCAATTGGCGTTGCATATGTCAACATCTTAGTCTTCCCAAAAAGACGGCCATCGTGATTCATGCGGTAGAAAAGAAGAGAAGGCAGGGCCATAGACGGAACGGTAGAGGAGCAGTATGATTGGATTTACAAGACAAGGAGTTCGCTAAAGTCCAAATACCATAGCCTCAATCGGTGCAACTCCCTTCCGTCTGGGAGCAGGAAAGGAGAGACATTCGTTTAGGCCCGCAATTCTTTTCGGCTAACAAGGAAACACGTATAATGAGCTGGGACATCGCACACGTGGAGAAGATCCTCATCATCGCCGCACCGGTGCCTAGGCTTTAAATGCAATCGTTGTGTCCTGAGCTGATCTGGAGCACTCCTGGAGCGGACCAGCAGACTTATAGCTTGGAGCTTGCAGGCTGGAATCCTCACCAAGCTGGCTGCTGATGCGCTGACGATGACCGTTTACTAACCACCGGAACGGATGAAGGCAGGTGAGAGACCGCAGGCGGTGGGTATGTACCCTCGCTCCACGAGGTGAATCAATCTGAATATGTAAATGTAACATGCGCCATGTGTGCCCAAGGCAGCCCCCATGCCATGTGGCCCGCGTGGAACCGGGTTGTTATCGTTGGACTCAAGTAGCCATATGAACTGTGATGGCTTCGTGTGGGCTTCTCATCGAACCAGTTGATGGCATGTCCATTGCGAATTTGCGGTGGATGGGTTCAGGGTGGTGGGGGATTGGTGATGAGGTAAGGCATTGAGAGCCTGGTAATATATAAAATGAGGAAGAGGGACATGTTTACTATATACATATATGTCCGACTCTACGGTGCATGCATTTCTTTGAAAGGTGCTCCTGCCGAGTTGCAACCTCACTTGCACGATTGAATGCCGTCGCATCTCGATTCTGCCTCCACGCTTCGCTTTTGCTGGAGCCATGTACCTCCCACTCATCATTGCGGGGCTCGCTTTTACGCTTCTCCCACACTTCCTGCTGACCCTAACCCAGCGAGCCCCTCGCTGGCCAACCTTACGGGGTCAAAAGGCGGCTTGAAGGTGGAGCTGAAGGCACCGTCCCTTCGCACCCGCGGTCCGAGGACTTTGTCTCTCTTTCGATTAAGCCAGCTTTTTAGACTCAATTATGTGAATACTAGCGAGGGTGCGAGCCTGAAAGGAACAAGTCAACGATCGAACTCAACGTTAGACAACGCCACCCATTTCTGCACGCCTTTCAGTCGGCATGTTCAGGCTACTACAAGTCGTGATCCGACCTTCCCCTGCCGATGGGTACCACGGTCGTCTCAACACTCAACTTTGGAAATCAGTCTTACGATATTGCGCACAACCTCGGGCTCGCTACCTTTGAGTATACGTGTCCAACCGTTTGCTCCCGCTGGATCGAGGCACTGAGGCAAACTATCACAGGAATACAAGTTGTGCGAATGCAGGTACGGCCGCATGCATCCAGGAGTGGAAGCGTTGGGCGTCTGAAATTGACATTGGGCTCAATAAGTACTTTGCAAAAATTGAGAAACTCGTTTTCGCCAAGCGTCGCTCGTGGGCAAGCAGCAGCTTGACGGACGATTCGCCCGTCACGCTGACACCGGCCGCGTCATCCCGGCCGGGGTCGACTCAGATGAGCACATTGTCAAAAACTTCATGCACAACAGGGGTCTACGTGCGGCCCTGCGCAGACAACGCTTAGCACGATTCCAAACATCCTCAACATCATCGTCTTTCACGAATACCCCGACACGGACATCCTACTTAGCGGTCAAGCTGCGATGAACGCAGGACAAAATGGGTCATTGGAGATGTAAACTTGCTATCACACTTCCCGTGCTCGAAGAGATACTGATCCCCTCCCACTACAGTGCAATATAACTCCGTATCACACGCTAGCTGTGTAAACGTGACTGACACATTCCCCCAGCCACTGTGGCAGCTCATCACGGTGCTCGGCTAAGCCTCTCGCAACGCAACAGGCGCTTACCTGTACCAAGGCGGCACGTTCGCCCTGTAGTCGGGACAGCAGGAGCACAATGCGAGCACATCGGATAGCAGGCTCAGTTTCAGCGCTTGCGATATTGTCTATCCCCTTGATTCCTTCACGCACAGTGAGGCGAGGGCCAACCCCGGCTTCTTGAGCCAGCTCGGTTTTGTCGAGGCGTTCGTACAAGGCAAGGGAGCGAAGAGCAGCACGCTGGATGTACCTGAGGACCTGGACGTCGATTTCTTTGCAGCTTTTGTGATGTGGCAAGGTAAGGTTGCGATGTATAGCTCAGGCAAAGATAGCGAAAAGCAAGCTGCCACGATGTCCTCTTGCATTTTGCAATTAGACACGCAGCCATTCTATTCCAACTCGGCATCCGAAGGCACCGTTATCCTAAACCTTTCATCTCTGATCGCGCTGTCGCGCGGCCAGCCGCGACCCTCCAAAGTGTACGCCAACTGCCTGATGGCCCCTTCTTTCCACGTGACCGACCCGAGAAACGCACATAGGCGGGTCAGGGCTTGAAGACCGGCAAGCCCACCGGCTGCCTCGAGGTATAGCGTGTACCGTACGACGCGAAGCCCAACGTGAAGGGGGCGAAGCGCTGTTGGCCTGGCTGGAAGGAAAGTCTTTCGATGCTTCGTTGTATTTGAGCTCGGGTCGTATATGAGCTTGGAATGTATATTCGGCCGCATGTCACGATCGATACATTTTACATGCACTTCTTTGCCAATCGCATCACTGTGCGTCGGGGGACTCCTGCTTCTTCTGTCGTGGATATATTCAGATGAATCAGACTTGTACGATGAGAGCATTGCTCATGTTAATGGCTACATATGGACTCGCGTAAATCGTAGATGTAGAGCACGGACCCTGGAGTAAGCACCAATTCGGGATGTAGGGGTTTTACCACATGTATCCACGGAGACCGGATGTGTTCGAGATGCTCGACGCATTTGCACCAAATTAGACAGGCCATAAGATGGCGGAGGTGAGTCAGGGGTCTCAATGTGAGCCGATAATCGATAACTGATGGCCGTTGCCGAAAAGGATCGGATGAATGAAGCAAGTTGTGGCTGGAACAGGTCTCCCTAACTGCGTGCAATTGCCAATTTATAACCTATTGACAGGCTCTGCTGACACTGGGCTTAGCAACGAAAGAACCTATGCTGCAAACTGAAATCTGGGACATCGTACTTATTCCCTCCAATTGCTTGTCTGGATGCCAGCGACATTCCACAAGGCCTACTCACTGTGGCCAGACAAATGATGCCCCGAAGTATCTCGCGGCTTGCAGAGCTCAGTTGCTCGCCCTGCATCATTGCCTGGTAAGGCTTTCTCGGGATTCGCGATAGGAAAGGCTCTGTCGATCTGTCTAGAGGTCTCAGCCTGTCCGAGCCGCCAAGTGTGAGCACCATTCATGATGCCGTTATACACTACGTAGTGCTCCGTCAGCCAGCCCGGGAGAATGCCAAGCAAAAGCATGGCTTTGACATTTCCCTTTAACTCGTCAGTGCAGGCCGGTAACGGGTGAACGGTGCAATATGGTCGCCAGTCTGCCCCGGGAGGCCACGCTGGGTCACGACGACAACTACTGCAGCGCTCACCACTCGAATGCAAATCAAAATGGGTTTGTGGGTTTGTGAGGGTTTCCCGAAGTCCGCGAGTTCCGGGCATAGATTCCGGGCTTGGGCGTTGGCCCGTGTCCGGGTTGTCCGGGTTGGAATCTAACTGGGTTCGAGTCAATATGGCCTATAAAGCACTAGACCACTTCCCCAGAGTGCGGTGGAGCCAGGTGAGGGTGAGAGTTCAAGAGTTAAGGTGGGTGAGTCTCCGCCCGGCACTGCAGCACTCTTTCCAGCTCGCTGCACACACCTCGTCAAAGGGTCACAAGCCCCCGAGTAGGTTTTATCTAGTATACATGCAAGGTTCGGGCATGTGGCCAAATCTTTCCGGATGGAAGTATGCTTCACAAGAAACCAGCGGGTCAGCCGTGGAACTCGCACAACCGGAACTTGGTCAATCCATGCACGTCCGGGTTTGACATCTGTAGTCTGTAGAGGGTAGGCTTGCCGCGCTCGCCGCTCACTCAACAATGACTGATGCATGATAATGAACGACGGCCAATCATTGGAGTCATGTTCAGGATCGCGCGCCGAGTCGTGCAAAGGCGCGGGCGCGCTGCAGTCGGAATGATGCAGTGTTGCAGACTGCAGAGAATACTGACTTGGGCTAGGCAACGTTCGAGTGCCGATATACCGCATGACCGAGGACGAGCGGCGGAACGAGGGCGTTGTCGGGTTAGCAAGCAGCGCGAAATGTTCAGGCTTATATGCCGTACACTTGAGCATAGGAAGGATGGACGGTCGTGACGAACAAGCAATTTGTGCAAAGTTGATGCTTCATACTTGAAAACGTGGAGCGGAACAGGCTCGAAACCTTGTAAATGTATGGGGGCACGAAAATCAACAAATACCTGCCGCTGGATGCACTGACACGTCCCCAACCTAGCTCAATCTGCCGGGGCGACGGTCGCCATCCAGGGGCGATACATAACCATCTCCTCAAGTGGTTGACCGAGTACAGGGACATGATTGCGGGTCTCTGGATAGCGGTACGAACATGTGGGGTGTAGGGTGTATGTATGCAAGGGAGACCTGAGTCACGTTTGGGGGTTATGGAGGTGTCAATGCATATGAGTCGATGTTTGATTGTGCCCCCATGGGGCTGGCTCTTGTATTTGTGCTTTGATGAACGCACGCTACGGCACCCACGAGACACCGGACAGTTGTATATTAGGGTTGTGAGCAAAACTGAGGTGATCAGCGCGCGCCGCTGTCTCTGTCCTGCTTTACTCGCCGATACATGCTAATGCGTGCATCCGTCTGAGTGCATCTTCAGCATGCTACTGGCTACGAGACCCGCAACCGCTCGTGGACTAGCCGGCAAGCGCCAGATTCGAAGGCACGCCCAAGTGAGTATCGGTGCATACAGACATGATGGAAGCCCAACTACAGGCCCTCAAGGTCGCCGACCTGAAGAGCCTGCTGCAGGCGTCCAGCCTGCCCGTTTCAGGCAACAAGCCAGATCTGGTCAAGCGTCTGCTCGAGAACCCGCAGGCGACGGCCAGTCTGAATAGTACTGCGCAAAACAGCGGTGCGAACGGCAGCAAAGCGGATGAAGAGGACTTGCTTGCTTTCGATGGAGATGCATCCAAGCCGGACGCAGATGCTGCTGCTCCAGCCCCCGCAGCAGGTCTTCCAGCGAATGCTTCAGCTTCCGTGAAGGCAGAGTCTGCACCTACACCAAACGCAGAAGCAGCGGATATACCCAAAGCATCTACAACTGCAACTGCTGCGGCGTGTGTCGCTCCCGCTCCCACCGAAGCAGAGCTGAAAGCGGCGCAGATAGTCGAGCTCCAAAAGCGCCTGAAGCGTCTGCAGAAGTTCGGCGGCTCGACAGCAGAGGCCGAAGAGATGCAGCGACAGATCGAGCGGACGGAAAAGTACGGCGTCTCGCTCGACGCACACAAGGCGATGGGCATTGCACAGCTGAACTCCGAGTTGGGTGAGGGTAGAGGTCCGAGAGAGGGCCGCAAGAAGGAAGGGGTTGACAATCAAGCGAGCGCCAAGCCTGATCCGCCAAAGCCTGAGATGGTAAGTCTGCTCCCTCAGCATTGTATGTGAGCCCCCGCACTCCGATGTGACGCTGAAGGAAGAAATTTCTCTTCCCTTCGCTCTTGTGTTTGTCCCACTACTACAGGAGGAATCCAAGGCAGCACGCATCGCACGTGAGCAAGCGGATGCAGCAGCCAAGCAGCGGCGCCTTGAGCGATTCGGGCCCGTTATTGGCGGCAACGATACTGCCGCAAGCGGCGAGAAACGCAACTTGACCGACTCTGGCCCGGAAAGGGCCGACTCCAAGAAGGCAAAAAGGGTGTAATTTGCTTTCCAGCCGCATACTTGAACGGTCGCCCCCAAAGGAAAAGTCAAGCACTGGGAGTGTATTATACAAAGGAGGCCGATGAAAGCCAGTATCAGGTGCTGCGTGGTTAACCGAGGAGCGACTGCCAATAGATGCTGCAGACCGGCTCCTCTGCCACCCACGCTCTCATGCGTTTCGTGCAATGCAGAATGCATGAAAGATAAAAGGGACCAAAGTTGACTGTGGCATTGCTTGACGATCTACGCCTGTTACAGCACACCTCGCGATGTTTGATAAAATGTAGGAAGAGATATACTGGGGCAATAGCAGATGCGAATGTACACGCATAAACCAGTGGACGTGCGACGACATGTGGCGGGAGCAGGGGGGAAGAAGGTAAATGATAAAGCGCCATCATGGAATGCGCTCCAATGTGGCTTTCACCTCTTTCGCCGAAGGTCGCAGTCTGGGATCGGTCTGCAGCATCCTCGCGAGCAAGTCTCGCGCTGCGCCCGGCAGTCTCCCGCCACCAGGCAAAATCATCGCCGGTGCACCGTCAGTGTAATGCCTATTGAGATCCGCTTGCTCTGCTTTCGTCAGCTCGGTCGTCTCTCCAAATAGTCCGTGCCCTGGGCTGTGTGCCTCGTCGTGGTGGCTGCTTTTGCGCTTTGCTGCGCGTTCAAGCGCGGCAGCGACCGAGACATACAGCTGTGAGGCCGCTGCAGAGTTGGCGGAAGAGACAGAACCGGATGAGCGCTCTCGGCCTGCAATCTTGTTGTACGGGCGTGACGGCGGACCGGCGGCCGCCGTACTGGAATTAGAGTTGACCTCTTCTGCAGACATCCGCGCAGGTGGCGAAGACGCGAGCGCCTGCTCCTGGGAAGCCTGGAAAGACGCTGTTCGACGCAGCGATTTTGAGAACGGAAGCGGTAGATGAGACGTGCTAGATGCGCCACGCGCAGAGACCGAAGCCGAAGGATGGGCAGTTAGGGTAGTATGAATAGACGCAGCGCGTGCGAGCGGGCTGTGGGGGTCTGACCCGAGCGGGTCGCTCTTCATGTGATGATCAGTTTTGATGAAGCCTTCATCATCGCCGAGTAGACTGGCAATGGCCAGTGCCGATGGCGCGCGCGTACTCATGTTCGTGAGGTTGGAGGCGACGCTGTCAATGCTATCCATGCTGCCATCGCGGCGATGGTAGCTGCTGCCGTGCGTGCCACTTCTTCGCTCGCGAAGGCTGCTCTTGCGAGAGGCACAAGCACTGCCTGCGCCACTGTTGTAGCCTTCGGCTACATTCATGCGACGCACGCGTTCGGCCTCCTCGCTTTCAAAGAAGATGCGCTTGCGATGAAGAATGTCGACCATACTGTTTGCACGCGCGAATGGCTCGACGCCGGAGGCGAGCGAGTACAGCACAGCACCCATGCTCCAGACATCCACCTCATAGCCAAAGGGCATGCCACCGCTGATAGCCCGCGTCAACTCTGGCGCCCCATAAGCTGGCGTGCCAAGGCCCGCACCATCAGTCGGAGGCGCATTAGGGTCGATCCAGAGGGTAGAGTTAAAATCACAGAGCTTCAATGTGAGGTCCTCGGTGAGCTGAATGTGTGACAAAAGCGCAAGGTTAGCACTCTCACAAAGTCCCACCATGTTGATTGCCCAACGTAAAAACGCACCAAGATGTTCTCCTTCTTCACATCGGCATGCACTGCGCCCTTTTCGTGCATCCAAGTTAGCACGTCGGCCAGCTGGCGCGCCCACTGCAGCCACTGCTCAACGTCAATGTACTCTGGGTGTTTACGCGCAAATGAGTAGAGTGAATGCGGCATCAACTCGAGCAAAATGAGCAATCGTGGCGTATCGTGTGTCGTCGGCCTTGCCGCTCCCCCTCCCGCTGCCCTGCTTGCTACTGATGATTCTGCTGCGAATGCTGCTGATGCTGGTGATGGTCCGCCTCCAGCTTCAGCTTGGGCTCCAGCTGTGGCTCCTTCTGCGACTGTACTGCTGGTCTCTGCGACGCCAGTGAGCGCGGGCGATGCCGCAGCCAAGTCTGCGAGCGCATTGGGCTGGCTGGACCAGCTGGGCATTTCGCTTGCGCTCCTCACATTGTCGTGGCTGACCGTCTCGCCCTTGATCTCGAACGGCTGCGACGCAAGACGTCGATGCGACAGCGACGACTCTTTAGTGTGAGGAGGTGGAGAGGGGGACTTGCACGCCTTTCCCACCAGTGCAGGATCGCTTGCAAGCTGAGAGGGAATGGACACGTCGCTGGATGCTTGGCCATGGACCATAGGGGCCACAAGACCGGCGCTGCTGCTGCTTCCGCCTCCGCCCTTTGTCGGCGTTGCGAACGTAGAGGGGACGCCGACACCGAGGAGACCCATAGATGCCTTCTTTCGCATGGCAGGTGTGTCGGAAGGAGTGGGGTCTGCAGGACGATCCGGCTTTTCACAACCGGTGTTGCTCCGCTGCGGTGTGCCAGACGCGGACGTATCGGTCGACATGGCCCCCGACGCGCGTTCCGCCCCGGCTCTCGTAGCGACAGGAGCAGCTGCAGCTCCTGCGGAAGCAATGGGGGCGCTGGCCGTCTCGACCTCGTCTTTAATGTCGATCAGCCTGACGATGCCAGGATGGCTTCCAAGTCTGCGCAACGCGAACGCCTCATCGAGCCCGACAAGCTGCGCGGTCTTGTCCGCGTGCAGACGCTTGATCGCACAGAGCTTCCAGCCCGACTCGGACGTCAAGTGGGACAGCGCCAAGCTCTCGTTTGAGATGGGCGACGAGGGCGATTCGACGCCGCCGCCTGCTCCTTCCCTTCCGCCTGCTCCCCCTTGAGCTGCTGCTGCGCTCCTGTCCACCTCCAAGCTAAAGCTCCTGGACGGACCGGCGCGCGCACTGCCATTGCCCATACTCATACCCATACCACTACTGCTGCCGTCGCCCATACCACTACTGCTGCCGTCGCCCATACCACTACTGCTGCCGTCGCCAGTGGCAGCATCGGCGGTGCGCCGCCTGCGGTAGGCGCCGAGGTAGACGGTGCAGTGCCTGCCTTCGCCGAGGAAGTACTCCTTGGTGGGGCGCAAGCGGAACTCGACGCTCTCGTTGTTACGCTTGCGGATGCGCGCGCGCTCCTGCGCGCGCTGCTCGTTCGTCCGGCGGCCTGTGGACGGCTTGCGCGCGTGCCCCAGCATCGCCGGCGCACCGCCTCCGCTGTCACCACCACTATCGCCCGCGAAGCCAGGGGAAGGTGGAACCGCGCCGCGGCGCGGGGGCGGCGCGACAGCAGCGGAAGCGTCGTAGAAGGACGAGTTGCTGCGCTTGGACCGCATCGCTGGTGCCTCATCCGTAGCGGCGAAGGGCGATGGGGAGTGCAGAGGTGGCAGCGTTTCTGCAGCGCCGTTGCCGTTGTCCGTGCCCGTGTAGCAGTACAAGGAGGAGGAGGAGGAGGACGGCACGAGCGATGAGTGCGAGGGCGCACCGGCACGCAGATCGCTGCCGCCGCTGCTGCTGCTGCGCGCATGCGTTCCATTCAGGAAGCCATTAGTGCTCGTGCTGCTGCTCGAGCGCAGCCGTTGCTGGTGGTGCTCGCGGTGGTGCTCCGCAGACGCAGACGCTGAAGTTGATGATGCCGACGCCGCCCACGGGAGCTGCGGCAGTTGCGGGGGGACGGGGCTGGCAGCAGCAGCTGCCGCACCGGCAGACGCGGCGCGAGGCGAGAAGAGCGGGCCCATGCGCGGCGCGGGGAGTACGACGGGAGACGGCGCGCTAAAGATGTCGTTGCGGCTGCCGCTTCCGCTGGACGTGACGCGCGCGTTGGCGGTGGACGCGAACACGGACAGGGCCGCGTCCGTCTCGCCCGGCGTAGTGCTCGACGCCGGCGCCGAAGTGCCCGGCAATTGCGCCCCCGCTCCGGCGCAGGCGCCACGCGGAGGAGGCGCAAATGTGAGGAGCGACAGGCTCGGCCGGTTGGCGGACATGCTGGACCCTGTACCCGTAGCCGTTACCGTTTGAGATGCAGATGCAAATTCCGAGCCAAGCTTGCTCCCACCAGCACCAGGACCAGGACCTGCTGCTACAACATCTGAATGTGCGCACTGCGCATCGCTCTGCAGAGGCCACACAGACGCTGGCGGCGCGGTGACGTCGAGGAGGCCGGCGCGAAAGAGGGAGGGAGCTGTGCCACTGAGCAGCGGCAGACCGTCGATGTCGTCGCGTCGTGATGGACGCCCAAAGCCGCTTCCAGGCGTGAAGATGTCGTCGGCGACGGCGCGGGGCGGGAGTGGCGCTGCGGGCGCTGGAGTTGGTGCTGGCGAGGGCGACGCTTCACTTGTGCTCGATGGATCAGGTGAGAAGAGACGGCGTGTAAAGCGGTTGCCGGTGCTGCTGTGCGGCTGCTGGCTGGTTGGCACTGGTGCGGATGCAGTGGATGAGATGCTGGTGGTCGCGTCGTCGCGCTGCGCCTCGAGCTCGGGCGAGTGGGGAACGACGGAGAGCTTGCGCGGGGCCCAGCGGTCGAGGGGCGAGGAGGAGCCCGCTGGCTTGGCTGCGTGGCGCCCTGCTGCTGTGTCTGCCACCATGCTTTCCGCCCTGTCTACTGTGAATGCTGCATCCGACCGAAGCGGCGGTGCCTTGGATATGGGCGCGGGCGATGGTTTGTATTCTGCAGGGGAGGGGTGGGAGGAGCGTGATGGCTTGCTCCTTGCTCGCTCGCTGCTGGTACTTTCGCTCTGCACACACCAGCTCCCACCAGCTCGCGAGCGCGGGGCAGCTGCGTTCTGCGAGCGTGTGTGCCGCCGTGGCTGGCTGCTAACAAGTAATGGGTATGCTCGCCCCCTACACGGGACACAGCGCCGAGCCTGTACGAGGAGAGATGCATGCGACCCAGGCTGGCTGATTTTGTATAGCATTGTAATGGTCTGGCCTGGATAGATTGCTCTCGTTTCGTTCTCAGCCACTCACAATCCACCCGCCACCCAGCGGGCAGAGGGCGGCCGCTACTGCGCTGCAGTGCCGTCCACTGGCGCACCAAGTCAGCAACGGCCAGTCAGCAGTCAAGGGCACGTGCGCTCTCTGTAGACAGTGTCCCTTACATACATACTCGATGCCCTCTGCAGGTGAACGGCGGCTAGCCGGTCCCCCGCAGCACACTGCACACCAACGTCACGTGACCCTCTCTTTCCACGCGAGCCCCGGCAGATAGCATGCAGGATAGCTTTGGCATTCGAGACCGCCTCTCCCCCTCCTCTTCCATCACCTACCCACCTATCTCTTTCCCAACAGCCGCACCAGCACCGAGAACGCTCAGCAACAATGGCGTCTACCGAGACAGAAGCAGCGTCTCCACCAGCCTCGGTGCTGTTCAAGAAAAAGAAGCGCAGCGCCGCCGCCGCAACAGCAGCAGCAGGCGCAGCCCCCACTGCTCCGCCACCACCCACGTCAGCCGCAGCTCGACACGGCGACGGCGACGACGACCAGAAAGAGGAGGAGAAGGGGCAGCCCCGCTCCTCGCCTGTGGTTCGGCTGCGCAAAGGCGGGCCGTCGCGCTCCGCTCGTTCGGGACCGCTCTCCGCATCCACCGGCCTTGCGCGCCGGCTTCGCGACCAACAGGATGACGATGAGGAAGGGGGGGAGGGCGGCGGCGAGTGGGTCGACCGCTTTGGCGAGACAATTCATGAAACAGGCACGGCGGGCAGCGCCGGCGCCAAGCGCAAGCGCGGCGTCGATGGCCTGCTCGAAGGTCTCGATGAGGATGCGCAGCGCACCGATGCTGCAGTGCCCGTGTCCTCCTCAGCAGCAGCGAAAGCGACAGACAGCGCTGCCGCCGACAAGTCGTACCGCGGCTCGGCGGCGTACGCGTCGTACCTACCAGTGCGCGACGCGGGGCAGTCGTCCAAGCTGACCGCGGCGGCGGCCAAAGGTCCGATCCAGGCGAGCAAGCACATCCGCACCGTTACCACCGTCGACTACCAGCCAGACATCTGCAAGGACTACAAGGAGACCGGCTACTGCGGTTTTGGAGACACATGCAAGTTCCTGCACGACCGCTCCGACTACCTCGCAGGCTGGCAGCTCGATGCACTCGTCAATTCCCACGCGCGGCGCGGTGACGACGACGACAATGTCGACGACAAGGACGGCGAGGAGGACGAGGAGGAAATCCCGTTCGCGTGCCTCATCTGCCGCAAGCCATTCACGGACCCGGTCGTGACGCGGTGCGGGCACTACTTCTGCAGCGCATGTGCGGTCCGGCGCTTCCGTGAGCGGACCAGCAAGTGTTTCGCCTGCGGCGCACAGACCGGCGGCCTCTTCAATAGCGCTGCCAACGTCCTGCGCAGGATGCACGCGCTCAAGCGCCGCCGCGAAGACGACAGGCTGCGCAAGCGCACCCGCTGGCTGCCCGCTGGCGAGCTGACCCAGGACCACGACGGAAGCGGCGACAGCGACAGCGGCGCAGAGAACGACCTCGGCATCCAAGGCGTCACCGTTATCACCGGAGACGGCCAGGACGCGAGATGACGGAAGCCACTACTCCTGCTGCACAGTTGTCTGATGCAGAAGCACCCCAACACCGCCACCTGTAGCACATCTGCACACACATATGCATATGCATACATTCGACCCGAAAAGCAGTGGTCTAGCCCTTGCGCCATACTACTGCTACATCAACCTTGCACGCCGCCGAACGCACGAACGTGTAGGATGGGATCTCCTGATTTGCCCAGGGTTCCCCCGCGGTGGGTGGCGGCGCGTCCTGCCTGCCCGCTGTCTGGCCACAGTCGATTTGTTGGCAGATTCCGAGAGCAGATGGATAGCCTTGTTGTGGTCCGTCCTGTCATTCTCTTTCACCAGTCCTTCCTTTAGCTTTCCCGCTGTGCGGATTGACAAAGACAACTGAGCACTGACGGACGACCACCGTGTCCAACGGCTGAAATTCCACGTCGCAAACACCAAGCGTGGCCTGCTCTGCACAGTCATTCCATCAGCCGCAAACGACGTCAACTTGTCGTTTACCCAGCTCGACACCATGTCCGTTCCAGCGGCGCTCGCGCGCTCGACCTGCTGCTGGCGCACACCTGCATCGACATGGATGGCCCTGATGCTGTCATCGCCGAGCACTACATGCTACCCTCGGCTCGGGCCAGTGGGACTTCCGGGACATGACGGGCAACCATTTCATCAATCTCGCCGTCGTCCAAGCGATGCTCATTGAGCCTTGCAGCCAGCTTCTTGCCGGCAGCTTCGAGCTCCACCGATGGTTCCTCTCTGGGGCACAAGAGGAGAACAACATAATTTTCAATGTGGAACGCAACGCGGAAGAGCGCCTGATCGGCGCTGCTCCTGACAATGCCTTGGGTGCCTTACCGTGGCAGTGAATGGTTGCATGCAGTGTTCGTGTTGATTCTTCGCATGATTTGCGAGCACAATGACATATTCAGTTTGGCCATCGGCATCAGCTCGGCCCGTTCACCGTTCAGCTTGCTACATGTGCAAACAGCACCGTCGCTCATCGGCTCGGGGCCACAGACAGCTGCGCACGCGCGGCGCCTCGTCTACCTCTTCTCTCTGCTTTCGGACAGCGTCATGACCAAGCAGATTATCTGCATCAAGGCCCTCGCAGCCATCGCCGGCCCGCAAGCGGGTAAGCTGCTGAAAGAGCGAGACAGGATCCAGACGCTCGCGATAACGACTTTCAGCATCGAACAATTCCGCGCCGCGGGCAAGAGTGCAGGCTGCAAGATCGTCTAATCGTACATCAACCCGCTCGAGGCGCACTTCTACGACGTTGAGCGGACGCCCGTCGTAGCGCGCACACTTCCGTGCTCGCTGGAGAGCAGGGCGGTACGCTGCTTGCAGATGCACTGTTGCGCCTCGACAAAGCAGAGCAGGACTTGAAGAAGGGTCTGAGGCGCAACATGCCTAGCCTCAACTAGCGGTTAAATGTGCGGTAGGAGGCATCTAGAATACAAAAGCACAGAGGACGCAATAGTTGCAAAGAAAGTATGACACAGATGATGCCTCCGCATGGAAGGATTTGCGATAAAAACAATAATAACAACCACGAAGCGCTGCATTTTGTGCCGCTGAAACATCAGTCATCCGCGGGCTCGACAACTCTCGGCTTAATCTGATGCGCCTGGACATCCTCCGGATACATCTCCATCATCCTGTTATGTATCGCGATGATCATTGGCGCCTTCTTCATGACGCAGGCGACTCCCATGCGCTTGCACAGCTCCTTGAGATCCTTTGCGAGGAGCGTGTGTAGTTCGTCATTGATCCACAGCGACTTGGTGTGCTGCTCATCGATCTCGTCCGGCACGGCGCTGCCTTTCCCGCTGCAAAATACGCGATGCGAGCGCGGGTCATCTTCGATGCACTCATTCAGTTGCGCGATGGCCGGGCCTGCCAGTTGGCGCTGCCGATCGTGCTTGGGCAGCGTCGCGTCGTGCGGATCGGGAATCTCCTCCGCAGTCTCGGCGTATGCGACGCGCTGCAGAGCCGCATAGTGCATCGCAAGCGTCGGATTCGGGTAGTCCTTGGGATCGTAGGGCCACTTTTTCGTCAGCTTGCGGATCAACTCTTTGGCCGCATCCACCGAAGCGTGGTTGGCTGAAAGCTGCTCGCCGACGGGTACGTTGCGGATGTCATCGGCGAACGGAAGCCGGATGCAGTGCATTCCTGGTGCAACGAGCTGCATCCCGCCCTCATCGACCTCTTCCTTTTGCGGCAGCAGCGCGACAAAATACGGCGAGGTGTCCTTGCGCGGGCACAGCAAGCCCAGCGCGATCTTGTCCTTCTTCAGCAGCGAAGCGTGAAAAGCAGCAAAGGTGCAGCGGCTCCCCGTATAGTTCTGTTCCGCAGGGTAAATGAACGAAGCGTGCGAGATGTTGTGCCACACCTTCAGCCGGTTCTGGGGCAACGTGCCAATCAGCCGCAAGCTAGGCGACATGCCTAACGTTTTCGCCTCGTTCATCTCTTCCGGTGTAAATTCTATCTTGCGAGACGTCTCCATCGTCTCGCCAAATGAAAAGGCTTTGTAGCGATCGCTTTCACTTAAGCGCTTGCCAGTGCTCGCGTCTTCATACGTTGATTTTGAGTAGGCTTCCTGCGCGACGCCATCGTCGTCCTCATAGAACCAGACAGCGTCGCTGTTTCTCGCCGGCATGATGGTAGAGTAACTGTAAGGATTGGCCATTCTGGTTCAAACGGCACATCTTCTCGTTCGGCTTATCAAAGATGGATTCTCACCCTTTGATCCCGATGCACCAATTTGGAGCAAGCTCAAAGTCGATGCAGAATGTCGTGCGCTTGGGTGTCTCCCTGCCTGTGATCTCACTTTCCAGGTCCGCCTCGTGAACAGCCCAATCCCACGGTTTGCGTTGTCGCTGCAGGCGTTCATCTCTTGTGTCGCGATTGATGTCAGGAACTTCGTCGTCGTACTGATCAAACAACTCCTGCAGGACAGCCAGCACCGCCGAGGTGGTATAAATGTCAGCGCATGGCAGATGCAGAGGGGGGCCGTTGCACGCTTTACGCACCGCATAGAAGCTATTGATATCAAATCGTTGATCGTCCTTGCCCATTAAGTATGGTTCAAACTCGATGCCAATCCTTTTTGCGGTCTGCACAGAGCGAAGTGCGGAAGATTGAGCGTCATTCCAATCGTCGTGTTAACCACCGTCTCCATTCGAGTCCGTTCACCCACCTTGATCGCTTCTACTGCTCGTTGGTGCTGTAGGCGAAGATCCCGCTTGTGCGGACGGTCCTCATTTGTGATCCAAAAAACCCGTTTAGTGCCAGCTTTGCCGGATTGCGCGAATAGATTTCGGAGGTTGCTGATGGCGGAGCTGGTTGTAAAGCCTTCTTTGCGCTTGCCAAAGGTCTTTCGAAAGAACTGCGGGTCCTCTTTTGATCCTATATTGCAGCACGTGAGGATGCCGAGAATGATGTGTCAGCTCTGTAGTACTCTTTCCTTGCTCCTTAAGGATTGCAAAGTGTTTGCTCACTAGCGAGGTCGAACTTGAGCTGCTGACGACCTTCAACGCTGACTTGGTCGATTGGCAAGTAGAGGAAGTGTTGTTGTGAGAACCGCATCGTCTTTTGAGTATTCATTTCGGGCGTCTGCGTCGCACCCTGCAAGCCGAACATACTTAGGTTGAGTTGGTTCATCCTTCTGTTGAAAGCCAAAACGTCCTAATGTTGGGAGCTTACCGTGCCGTACACCATGACGCCAACTTTATCGCTGGGCGAAGAGATGATCTTTTTGTTCATGACCTTAAATGCGGCTTCGAAGGCTTGGTGGATGTATGGCATTTTCGTCCGCGGATTGAGCTCGTACATCGAATCGTGGCCGTCAATGACGAACAAGATCTGATCCTTATAAGACTGCTCCTGCAGGTCCCGTGGGAGAAAACAGACTCTTTTTCAGCTCTTGATGGACTCTATCCCTTCAAATATATTGAACGAGCAAGGCCCACAGTAAACGCACCTCCCATTCGGCGAGCTGCCGATCCGATGGATCATCTGCGAAACCATCTGCTTCGGCCTCACCCGCCACATTCCAACGGGCACTGTGTTCAGCTGGCATGTCGCTTTGCCTGTTCCCCGTGCTCATCCTTCCCTTCTGCTCTGGGTACTTATGCAGCATTGGCCGACTATGGACACTGCGGATATAGACACCAAGGAATCGAACATATCTATCTATCTTCAGGCTGAAAAGCTGAGCCCACTCTCCATTACAGAAGTGTGCGTTGGTGGGGGGAGCACGCGTGACGCGACGCGCTCATCCGCTCTTCTCAGCTTGTCAGATTTCAGAATCTCTATTACGCGTTGACGTCAGGCTGCTTGGGCTTCGCTGCCGACAGCTCATCGACTCGCGGTATAGATCAGGGCCGATTTGGTATCCTTTGATCCTGCTTTTTGCTTATACCTTGTGCGTAGCTCTGATGTATGCCGCGCCGCGAGCAAGCAACAGCAACAGCCGCAACATCGCGTCGGGGCCGCCATTCTCTCTCACTAGCCCCATCATTTCCTCCCAGCTACAAGAGAACCGCCGTACGGTGGCTGAATAAACACCATGGAGCCGCCCTTTTCGCCCTCGCCCATCCCTTCTCCAGGCGCTGCTTCGCAGCTCCCTCGGGGAGCCCCGTCGAACAGTCCGCTTGGGGCGCCTCTGAACGCGACCGGCGCTTCATACCTACCGCCGCAGAATCACCCACATTCACCATCTGGCCTCGGGCTAGGAAGCTCAATGCTACCTTCGTTGCATCAGGGTCGCAGCTATGACCTTCCGCACTCATATACAACAGATGCAGAGGCAGAAGTAGGCTCAGAGGCGCCGGCCACGGAATCAAGTGCTGCCCCCAAGAAGCCTGCAGCGCAAAAGCCAAGCGCATCGACAGATGCAACGGGAAAGGCAAAAGAAGGAAAAGCCCCTGCTTCTAGCAAACAATCAGGCAGCGCAAATTCTGTTCTATCTTCAGCCTTCGAAGTGGATCGATCCACAGCTGGAACGACGGCCTTGCCAATAGCGCGCGTCGCACGAATCATCAAAGCAGACCAAGAGATCGATACAACGTCCAAAGAGTCCGTCTTCCTCATCGCAGCCGCGACGGAGATCTTCATCAAGCACCTCTCCGACCAGGCATATGCTAACGCACGACTCGAGAAGCGAAAAGTTGTCCATTACAAAGACCTGCAACGCGCTATCCAACGCGACTGGACACTTGATTTTCTTAAAGAGATAGTGCCCATGTCGATGCCGCTTAGCGCAGCGCTCGCAAAGCGGCAGTTCAAGTTGGAGGACAATCTCAAGAATGATGCAGGTGTCATGGATAGCGGCTCAGACGAAGGCCAAGAGGATGGTAAAGACGATGCAGCATCCGAGTAGGAGGAAGATGGAGAAGAGGATGAGCAGGAAGAGGGTAGTGATGTGGAAATGGAAGGAGCGACGAAGGCTTTACGCAAAGCTCGTGTGGTAACTGACAGGCCGTTAAAGAAGACAAAAGCTGCTCGAAGAGGGAGAGGCTAAGAAGATGATGAGGGCGAACGGCACTCTGCGGCTCCAAAAAGCGTACATCAGAATCCGGCGGCGCCGACGAGGACGATTCCGACGAAGAGCCGCCGGAAGTCGGTGGGCTGGTCCAACAGGCTCTGCAATATGGGATTCTCACAGTGCAGGTATCAACATCAGCTAATGGTAGCGCGCTCAAAGGCAAGGTCAAACCCAACGGACAAGCCAAGAGGAAGCAGGGAATCGAAGGCGCTCGCGGTGCCAAGGATAACTCAGAGTATTTTGACGCAACATTCCTCGATTGTCAAGGCATCTGACGAACGGAAAAAGTATTGTTCGCACCTCATGACCGACTCAATGCATAGAATATTCAATTTCCCAATGTACAACAAAGAATGAATTCCATGACATGCTGCAGGAAATAAATAGCAAGAAACTGCCGAGCGGAAACTATCGTACCTCACCAAGCCCATAACTCGAAGCAAATCCCCCACTCCCTTCCATTACCAAATCGGGTCCCCCATTTCGTCTCTCAAACCCCACCTTTGAATGCCTGCAGCTGTGCTCGCAACGACGCCATGTCCAAGCCGAGATCTGCCATAGCCGACAGCTGATCGAGCTGCAATTTGGCGACAGCATTGGAGATACGGACGATGAGCTGCTCCAGGATGCCAGCGAGCTCCTCATCTGGCGCATCATCACGGATGGCGTAAATGAGCAGCTCGGGATGAACAGCTAACGTAGCCTCCACAGCTTTTCTGCGGGCGATGGCATTGGGTATGCCTGGGGTGCTTGACGATGTTGCATTTGTGCAAGTCGTGTTTCGCTCCATCGTGACGATGGCATCAGACTCTTCTGCAGTTGGCGCCGGCTGCGAGCTTGAGTCCAAATACAGGCCGGGGAAGACGTGACCAGCTGACAGCGCTTCCAAGCGCAGGCACAGCATGCCCACCTGCTTGACCTCGTCAATGTCGAGCAGTTGCACGGTCGGCTCGAAGACTTGAGCGGCTGGCGCAATCGTTCGTCCGTCGGCCTCGAGGCGCCCAGCGAGCTGTTTCGGGTATACCAAGAACAGCGACTCGGGTGTCTCCAAGCCTTTTAGACGACGCTCGCCCATATCAGAAATGCCGAAGCCCATGCGTCGCAGGAGCACTACATCGCGACTGACGTTCGGATTGAGCAATCGGAATTCGTCGTCATCGACGTCACCTGTGATCTCTTCCGTCTCACCAAAAGTCCCAAGAAGTGTGGTAAGTTCATTAACGACGTCTTTGCTGACCAGGATTTGCCCGCCGTCCGCAGCGCCGCTGATTCGTGAGGCGCGGTTGACCATAGGACCAAAGTAATCCATACGGCGCGTGACCGGATCGGGCTCACACACAGGGAATCCCCAATGCAGGCCCATTCGGACCCAGAGTCCGCGGTATACGATTTCTCCGTTCGAGTCCCGCACCTCTTTCCCATCTTCCGATTCCAGGATCTCCTGTGGCCAGTCTTCGCGAAGGAGCTGCATCTGCACATTGAAACACCAGAGCAAAGCTGCGCTGACCGAAGGGAACGACACCATGAATGCGTCACCTTCTGTCTTGACCTCGTAGCCGCCGACAGTGCGCAATTGGCGTCGCAGAAGCGTGTTGTGCAGCCTCATGGCGGATTGCATGCCGCCATTGTTCTCCCATAGGGAGGTCGAGTTCTTGATATCCGTAAAGACGAGAGCAACCTGACCAATAGGAGGCGCGACCTCGCGTTCAAGCCTGGCCAACGTTCGATCGGCTGGTAGATCGCGAGGTTCACGAGTGCGCCTTTGTGTTCTCTTGAAGATTTCAGAAGAAGGATCCAGCAATGCACCTCCAGAACGCTGCTGACGCGCGAAGAAAAGGTCGCTGACAGATATGATCATCACCATGATGCTGTCTTCAGCACCAGAACTGATCGCAAGATCTCGGAGCCTCTGTGCGGCGATCATCGGGTCGTCCCGCTCCATCCTTGCAATATCGACAGCAGTCTGGTACGACAAAAAGTCCCAGAGCACCTTGTTTGCAATGATGATGAACTCGTCCGAGTCTGAAAGAGTGATCGAGGTCACGGCTGGTGCAGCATTGACGACGGGAAAGAGATGGTAGTATCCGAAGCCTCGTGAAACGTCAAGCATGTCGTTCACAAAGCCACGCAGGGATACCCAGCCTTCAGCCGAACGAATCCTCTCGGTCTCCGCTCTGTCGAAAGGCTCGTGCTTGGTGCTAATCAGCTCGGCCTGTCCACCATTGCGAGACATGACAGCCAGCGCGTCTCCGGCGTTGGCAATGTGGAGTGTGCGATCAGCAATGTAGGCGATGACGGCCGAAGCGCCAGATTTCCATTGCGAACGAGGGCCGAATGATGTGCGATGCAGCGACAGAGGTTGTTTCTCTTCCAGAGTCTGCGTCTCGGACGTTCGTCGCTGCCCCTCAATGATGAGCGCGTCGGCATACTCCTTGTTCATGCGCAAGAATGCCCTGCGCAAGGTATCCGCCACAGAGCCCGCATCTGGCCCAGTCCGCTCGACCTCTTGCAGTTCACGCGCGATGCGGAAACTGACCCATTCAGCAAGATGCCTGGCAATCCGGCTACCAGCTGAAGGATCATGACCACGGCCGTCGAAGAGCCCGAGGAGACATTCGGAATCATCTTTCCGGAAGTTGGGCACGACGACATCGACGATGCTAAGATTGTCATGCTTGCCGAGTGTGTCTGCAATACCGTAGGCCATGTTGTTCACTTGCGACAACGACGTCCGCACGCGGCGATTCTCGGATTCATCGGGCGTGGACTGGAGCGTCATCGTGACGTCCATGAGCCCAAGAACGCGTAGGCTGAGCAGACGGCTGAAGTCGGACATGTTCTTCCGACGTCCATTGACTTCTACAATTTTTGACTTGATCTCCAGGCGCTTGTTACCACTCAAGTTCAGGTAACGAAGCTCTGGATTTGAGTTCCAATTCCAGTCGTACGTCCAGTTGGCAATGTTGTACTTCAAATTGTTGTTGCCGACATCCAAGCTGGCGAGCTTGCGCATACGTCCAAGCTCGGCTGGCAGTGTCTGCAACTTGTTGCCGTTGAGGTGCAGAATGCGAAGCTCTTGCATGTGAACAAGATCATCAGCGGGTACGCTGCTCAGACTGTTGCCGCTGAGATAGAGCTCTCGCAAGCGCTTGTAGCATGCCAAGCTCGTGCTAGGCACTTCGTAGATCTCGTTAAAGCTCAGATTGAGCACCTCCAGCTCCAAAAAGACGGTCAATACGCTAAAGACGTCATCTCCCAGGCGATTGTCGCCGAGACGCAATTTGCGAAGACTCCGCACCAGGGGTGGCAGCTGCCTCGCAACTGGAGTTGGGGGCATCTGGGTATGGGAACCAGTGGAGCCTTTTCGACCCATCTCGACATCCGTGCCTAGAAGAGGTGGGGACGGAAATGTTTCCAGAAGATTGGACGTGACATTGAGCCTCTGCAGAGAGCTGCAGTTCCAAATGCTGTTGGGTAACACCTTAAGGTTGTTGTTCTGGATGTTGGCTCTAGTGAGCTTTTTGAGAGAGCCGATGGAGTCCGGTAATGTCGCGAGGTTGTTGTTGGTGCAAGAGAACGACACCAAGCCGACGAGCTCCCCAATGGTATCTGGCAGCGTAACGAATTGGTTGCGGTCCAAGACGAGCTCCGTTAAGGAAGGAAGCAGCTTGAACAGATCCTCCTCCAGCTTGGCCATATTCGCAGACGACAGATTCAACGACGTGAGTTCGCTAGCCGAGTAGGCGCCCAAAGAAACTTTCGTGAGCGGGTTCTGGCCGACCTCAAGGCTGCGCATTTTGGTGCCGAGCGTCGCTTCGAAGTGCCGAATTGAGTTGTGCTCGCATTGGACCACATTGACTTGAGGCATAGTGAACAGTACTGAGACGTCTTGAACAAGATTTCGCCGCAGATCGACTGTCTGCAGCTTCACAAGTGCCGACATAGACTCGGGCAGCTCCTCCACAGAATTACCGACGAAGATGAACCTCTGCAGATTCGTGAGCTTCGATATGCTGGCTGGTAACGAGGGAATCGAGTTGAAAGAAATGTCAAGGTCCATCAGGCCAGAAGCTTCGCAGAGGATAGGAGGGAAGACGTCGAAGCGGTTGTTCGAGAGGTTGAGATACCGCAAAGTCTCCACTCTTGTGAACCATGGCGGGAGATCGAACAAGCGGTTGTTTTGCGCCTTGACAGAGATGAGCTCTTGGCAAGATTCGAGCGAAATATGCGCAAGCTCCGGAATACGGTTATTCGACACGTCGAGATGCGTCAACGTCTGTGACTGGCGGATGCCTTGTGGCAAGCGCTTAAGCGCCAAGTTCGACAACCTGAGCGAGCGCAAGCTGGAACACATTTGCATAAAGTCCGATGGCACATCCGACATAGGATTGCCGGACAGGTCCAGACTGACGATCCAATCGGCGTGCTTGTAGAGGAAAATGGGGACCATCTCGAGATTGCGCCCTTGCAGGTCCAGATGCTGGAACATGTGCTCCTCGTTACCAAACGACTCCGAGTCAAAGGTGGGCACGATGTCGGGGCGATAGACAAATCGAAGCAGGTACGACAAGTCCTCTCTGCCCATGTCTTCTAGCCCATCAGCATCGGTGTAGCCTGCTTGCTCGAGACGTCGCCTCTGGATCAATGCTGGCTTCTCGGCAGGGCCGAGTGGACGTTCTAATAGAGAAAAAAGCACGGGTGTCAGCCGTTTAGCTGCCAAGAACAAACCTGACCACCAATCAACACACCATTGCCTTTGTCGCGCACGAATAAACGGTATGCAGCATTGTCCGTCGATAGACTCTTGCGTGTCAACAAGGCCTTGATATCGTTTGTCGTCGAGACTAGTGCACACGACAGCGTCACGAATGACCCTTCTTTGCGCCAGATGCGGAGTAGGTGCTGATGGAAAAGAAAACAGAGAGCCCACAGTTCAAGTTAGCATTTGCAATACTTGACAGTCGCCTCCATAACTGGGGCACTCACTGGCTTCGATGCTGCCGAGGTGCCAGTGGCAGTTCCAGGTCTTCGCGTGGTGCGCGCCGAGTCCTTGGACGTAGCAGGCGTCATCGATGCGCTAGGCGAGATCTGCTCGTCGTCCACCGAGCTGGTACCTAACGATCCGCCAGACGGTCGCGAGCCATCAGTGAGAGGGACCCCCTGCACGGACCCGGCTGTGCCCGGTCGTCCTTGCGCTTTTGCCGAGCGCCCACCGGATCCTCTGAGACCCAGCTTGCTCGCAGCCGTCACAGCCGCTCCGCTTGCCGCTGCGAGGGCGCTGCCTCCACCGCGGCTGGAGGCAGGTCGAATGTGCGGAGTAGGCGACGGAATGGGGTCTGCACCTGAATAGACGCCGCCATTGCCGCTTTGCACGCCCCAAGTGGACGCGGCGTTGGGCGCGTGCCACGTGGGCCCATGCACGATCTCAATATCGGAAGGCCTGCGTGCCATTGGGGGCAGCGTCCCCACCGAGCCGGACATCGGGCGGAACTGGCTGGCTGCAACCGGCTCGTCACCGGCGCTGTGCAGGCTTACTGAGTCCTGCGTCGGCCTGCGCTGTGCATCGAGATGCAGCCTGGAAATAGACGAGACCGTACCGGCATCTCCACTCGACCACGTCCGGCCTGTGCGGTCGTTCGCCACGGCGGAGCTGACGCCGGAGCTCGAGTCGCGGCGCATGGTGGGGTCGCTGGCGGTTTCAACGACCCCGTCGTCGTCAGAATCCTGCTCCTCCTCCATGGAGAATGCGCGCGACTTGTCCGGCTGCACCGCCCAACTATCCGGCGCCATCCAGTTGGACGCTTTGAGCTGCAGGCGCTCGGAGGCGCTTGCCTTCGCGTTATTTGGCGCGGTCCCCTTGACAATTCCGAGCCCGCTGGCGGAAGCCGAGGCCGAGCCAGAACTCGATCCTTGCCCTTGGGCCTGCCCCTGCGGCAGCCCGCCGGGAGGAAAACTGAAGGCGGGCGCATCGCCCGCGGTCCACTGGCCCGCCCGCACGAGCGACGGAAACAGTTGCGGCAGCTGAACGTACGGCGACTTGGGCGAAACGCCGCTGTGATCGGAGCGCCCGGAAGCAGCGCTGTCCTTGCGCGGTGAGAGGTGCGCATCGTGGAAGCTCTCCCTGCACGCATCGGGCGTCAGCGCCAGTTCGATGGGTTCATCTACCTCGTCGCCGTCGACGAGAGAACCCTTGCTCCAGTCGTCGCTGCCGTTCTTGATGAGCGCACGATACTGGCTCTTGGTCATCTTGCGCAGTCCAGGTCGCGAGACGTCGATTGCCTGCTCGGGCAGCGGCTGGGCAGATACAGGGGCAGAGCCGGAGCCGGAGCCAAACCCCGATCCAGAGCTCGCGTCCGCCTGTTTGGCTTCGCCGACCGCTTTCGGCATGCTGCCGGAGAGGGTGCGCACGGTCGAACGCAGCGTTGGCAGCTGGTCCGCCGAACCCTGGTGTAGGACACGCCCCAAGGGCGCGGCGTTCAGCGCGGTGCCTGAGCTGGAGCGCGCGCGCCGCAAAGAGCCGCTGGAGATGGCTTTGGATCTTTGCAGTGGCGCGGAGGGGCTGGACACTGTGCATACATCGTCCCGCGTCTCGTTACTCGGACCGACGAGGCCATCGGCGTTGGGGTCCCGCTGGCGCACGGAGATGTCGACAAAGTCATCGATGCGGTCAAAGTTCGTGTCGAGGGAGAAGCCGGCGATCTCCTGCGAGGGGGTGATGATAGTGCTCCCTTTCTGCCCGCCGTCAGATCCTTCCCAAGCGTTCAGGCGCGAGGCGAGCATCATGTTGGGTGTCAGGGAACCAGGGCTCTCATGAGACTCGCTGCGCTCCTTCTCCTTCTCTGCCGTTCTTGGCCTGCGCAGCTTGACCAACTTCTTTTCCTTTACCGACGCAGCAGTCGGCGAAAATCCGAATGCAGGCCCAAGGCCGTGTGCACCGCTCCCGCTCATCCCTGGTGGCCTAAGCACCTCTTCATCCAGCCCGATCGCCGTGTGGATGCTGTCGAGCTTGCCGCGCAGTTTTCCGCCACCACCACCGCCACCGGTCCCTGTGATGCTTGCTTTAGAGGAGTGCAACGAGTGGTTGGAGCCCATGTGGTGCAGCGAATGCGAGGTGCCTGGCGTGCCTGGCGACGGCTGTTTGTCCGATGTCGCTCGGATCGAAGCGATCGATGAAGCGCCTCCTTGGCTCCCTAGAAAGTTGCAGAAAAGGGAAGAGGGGAGTAGAAGCGGGTCAGATCCAGCACAGATCGATGACAGGTAAAAAAGACTGCGCACCATCGTTTCCGGCATCTTTGATGTCCTTCGTGCTCTTCTTCTTAAAGAAACCAAATCCCATCTTGTGCTTCTTGAGCGACGAGTTGGGGGTCGGCGGCTGGGGAGGCAAGCTGGCCATCGACGCGTTTGCCCCTGCACTCAAACTAGACAATTGGTGCGAGCCATCTAGTGCAGGAGACGACTGCGGGTTGCACGGTGTGAATGCATACTGGCTCTGGCTCTGGCTGCCGCTCCGGCTGCGGCTATTCCCTCCATTCGGTGTACCTGGCCCAGCGTGCGCGGCCGCACCGGCCCCTTGGAACTGGGAATGCAACGAAGCCGAAGATGGAGGGGTACGAGGTCGCACTTGGACCGAGTAGTCCAAGGAGGGAGAGGTGGTAGACCGGCTGTGCGATGGCGTATCGGCGGCATACATCTTTGCGCCGAGTAGATCACCGCTACTGCCGTGCCGCTTTGGATAAGCAGATTTCGGATGACTGTGTGCCGAAGGGGAGTGCATTGACCTGCTGTCGAAGCCGTGCTGAATCCCAGCGACGGAGGAGGCAGGCAGCGCATCGTCAAACGGTGCTATAATGCTTGCATCACTGCCTCTACTGAGGCTGGCGTCTATGCCTGGCACTGAACCCGTAGATAGTCCGCCACTTGCGCCGGATGGCGGCCACTGTTGCTGATGCTGATATGGGTGCTGCTGATACTTGGCGGCCCCTCCGATGCTATTGATCATCTCGGGGCTTGTCGACGTTTCGACACCCCCGTCAAAAGGGCCATATGCCAATGGTCCGTGCGGGTCTCCCATACCCACTCCGCCCAAACCAAGTCCGCTCGCTGCCAGGGGTGCGCCATGTGTGATGTCCGACACATCGATCTGCGATGGTGAGATAAGCGCGGGTAGGAAAGATTCGGGAGAAGTAGCATCGCCGGGGTAGCTGTTGTGATGCGCACTGGTGCCATTGCCATTCAGCGACAAGGCGGGCAGATGCCGCGCATTTAGTCGCTTTGACGACACGATGGAGGGCATGGTGGATGAAGTACGACTCTGTGGTTTTGAGCTGGCGGCTGGTTGTGAGGTGGGTGTTGCGTTGGACCTTTCGTCAGCGCTCATCTCCTCCGCAGTAGGTGTCCGCCACCAGGACCTGCTGCCTGCGTTTCAACGTGCACTTTTGGAAGGTACGATGAGCCGAGCGGCCAAAAACAGTGCCCGGCGAGCGACGATGAAGCCGCAAGGTGGCCACTTTTGAATGTCGAAGACGCCCTCCTGCGGTACGGCGACCTGAAAGCGCGCCGACATCCAACAACAAGCTGTATTTTCTCACTCGACACTCGGTCATGCGGCCACGACCAGGGGTGGCCGAGCTCGATGAGTGCAGCAGCAAAATGCGGGCTGCGCTGCAGGATGATGCCCTTTCAGCAGACACATCAGCATCAGCAGCAGCAGCAGCAGCAGCGATCGCAGCTGATCTTTCCATCTACTTGTCATCCACAGCACGGCGTACAGCGTAGACCATCGCCCAATTGTATCCATCTACTGGGCGGTTGGGGCTGATTGAGGTGCGCGCTGCGCCTGGGAGTATCCATCCATCGGGGGTTGAACTGCTCTCATGCCCCCTAGCAACTTCTCTATCTTGCCGCGCGCACGGCACTTGTCAAGGTGATTGCGGCGTAACGGCCGAGATACAACCCTACACCTTGAACAACTAGTCTTCCAAGTACTTCGGAGATTGGAGATTGTCAATCCTTCCGTGTCTCCGATGAATTGTCCTCAACGATCACCATTTCTCCGCCAGTCAAAGGAGTAGATACACAATCTCAGAGGCTGATGCGCTGATGAGTGATGAGATGAAACAGCTTGCGAGCTGCAGTGGCGTGCAGGAGAGTAAAGAAGGAAAGAAGCATCGCTACGTATGTATCCGCCGTGCGCAAAGAAAACCCTGCTTTCCGACATCAATGCTTTGCCACTCCGCACAGTGGACCGCCGCACCGGGAAGAGCCCCTCTGTAATACCACGAATGACCGCTCTCGTGTTGTTGTTTTTTAAAGGGTACTGCACTGGATGGCCAAAACCCACTCTCTCGCTCGCCAATGCTCACTGGGTGATCTTTCTCCTCGACCTTCCTGTATACCCGGAGCTGCCCTTTGCATTTGGCATTGTAGTTTGCCCCTTCCCTGTGCGGTGAGAGTGGCAAAGCACAGTATTGGAAGGCAACAGGGCTGGCGCACAGGTTGTTACAAAAATGATTAACCGTATGCAACCATCTCCTAGGTTAGGTTCTTGCATAGTCTTCCCAAAACACATTCCTCATCATCCACCCGTCGTTCTTTCGTACCTTTGCTCGTCTCTGCGTGGTTGCAGGCTCGTCCTAGTTCGGCATGATCAGGTCTGAACAATGCAAGGCAACTCGGCAACAGCGCGCCTCACGCCATGGATGGCGTGGATGCTTTCCCAGCGAGCTCTTTAGCCTGCCTGGTATACATAGCGCCAGAATTTAAGATGCCTTTCATCGACGACACTGCCGTCTTCGTTCCTTCTCGTTCGCCATTGGCAAATGTCCGGAAGAATGTTAGAACTCGATGCCTGACTAGTATGAGAAAGTGATACGAGTATGCCATGTGACTGGGCGCCTGATAACGGCTGTCAAGAAATGTAAAGCTTTCTTGTCGAGCCAAACGGGAACGTTGAGCCCGTAGCAGGGCAAGTGATAGTTTCGTCGCCGCTCTTGATGGCGAGGTGCGTGAGGGCCTGGAAGTGTACATAGCGTCCGTTCGCGCGTCAGCAATCGTATCTCCCCTTACTGTCGTGTTCGGACCGAGCCCGCCAGCCGGTTGAACCCACACTAGTAGAATAGACACGCCCGTTCGGCAGGACAAGCGGCGGGTCGTCCTCGTTCATCACCGTGCCCTGTATGCGGCAGATGAGTGTCGAATTCGCATGGTGGCTCCACGGCACTTCCTTCGCGAGCAGGCCCAGGCCGTTTGTGTCGCACACAGGGCAATTAACGTTTCGCCCGTCGTTGAGCTGGCTGCTACATGTGTGCATGTGCGCATGCGAGACAGACGCAGTCGCAGTCGAGGCCGCCGCAAGCGGTCGATTACTTGACGCGTTCGTGGCAGCTGTGACACCCAAAGCGGATACGCCTGAGGTGCCTGGTGGAAAGTGCGCGCTGGCGGTGCCTACATCAGCCTCAGCACCGGTGGCGGCAGCAGAGCGCTGCGAATCTTCGACTTCATCGACAATGACGCCAGCCGCTGGTGGGAACGTGGGAACGAACACCTCCGTTTCGCGAGAGACTGATTCGGCCGCTGCGGTACTCCCATTGGAGTCGCCCTTTCCCTTGCCACCGTTCTCGGCTGCTTGGGGCTTGGTATGGCTGTAGCAAGCGGGCACCTTGAGGGTACTCAAACCTGCGGACAGCGCAATGTGGATCGTCGGCATAGGTGGTAGACTGTGGATCTCCAGCGCGCACGCTCGGAAAGTCTCGCGCAGCGTCAGCCATCTCCCTTCGTGGTACAGGTCCTCATACGTCCATCCACCCGCTCGGCAGGCCAGCAGGCCCATGGCGCGGAAGACAGCAGACTGCAGGCTCAGCGCCAGCTCGTAATCTTCGCGCGCGTCTGCGATCGCTGCCGCTGTCATGCTTGCATCCGTGCCAGACGTCGGTGACGCAGGAGGAACTGGCTGCACGCAGAATGGAATGAGGTGGCGGCGAGCATAAAGGATCGCTTCCTGAAGCGACTCGGGGGTGCTGAGCCGAGCGAGCTCGATGAATTCCTGAAGACGAAGCTCAAACTCCAGGGTGGACTGTAAGCCGACCAGCGCATCGCAAGCAAGGTAGTCAGTGCTCAAATTTCTATCCGGATCTATTTTTGGATCAACGAACCTTGATCTTCTTCAATGCAGCCTTGTTCTCTGCACACCAAGCCAGTGCCGCCGCACAGGTCGATTTGTTCACCTCCCCAGGCACGACCGTTTTGGACGGTGACACAAGCGTCCTCTCGATCCGCTCAATCTCTTGAAAAATGTCGTTGTCGACTAACATGGAGAAATCGACGCCATCATCTATTTTGCTCGTCGAAGAGCGCTTCTGGCTAAGCGCCTTGGATGTCTGCGCATAGCCTTTGCGGAGCATAAAGTCGGAGAGCACTCTGTCGAGCCTTTTCCGAGCAAAATTTTCGTAGGCGGGTGATGAAGTGGACGGGATAGAATGCAGTGACTGAAGATGCGTGATTCGCGCCTGGGCTTGCTTTGTGGTGCTGCTCATCTGGGTGGATAGGGGTGAGAGCTGAATGGAGGAGAACAAATCAGCTACGCCGGGGTAGTCAGGCAAAGAGGCTTTGAGGGCAGTCTCACTTTTCGTTTTAAGCCCCTCAACCGCGTCAACATCGTGTCAATTCCTTGCACAGCGGATTCAGCATCGGCTTTTACCTGCGCTGGGTCGCTCAGCAGTGCTCTGTGTGCCGCGAGTCCACGATCTTGCGGTCTGAGTTCGCGGTCCCGTTCAGCAGCAGGAGTGCTCCCACCAAACGAAGACGATGGGCCGCTTGATCCAGCGGCGGATGCTCGTGACAGAGAGGGAGGTGGCTCGAGCATGGAGACGTCTGCTGAAGCAATATAGACAGACATGGAGACGTCTTCGTCCATGGACACGTCTGCTGTCACCGCCGCGTTCTCCAGCTTCTCGCTCGCTGCACTGACCACGTCCTTCGCTGCCAAGCTTGAGGCTGCAATGAGACGCTTGCGTGTCCCGTTGGCGCTGATCGTGACATTTGGGCTGGCAGACCCTCCCTCCTTGACTTTCTTTTTTGGACTCTTAGACGACTCAATAGCTTCCATAGATTCACTTTCAGCATGTGCCGCCGCTTCCTTAGCAGTGGAAATGTCCACAAAAAGTCCGTCTGCATCGCCGGTGGAAGCGACACCGCCGGCCGCTCCGTCTCTCTCGTTGGCATTGTCCTTATCATTGGATCGCTTGATGACCGCGGAAGGCTGCGCGCCCGACGCCGAGAGCGTCGAGTGGCAGAAATGGAACTCGCGCTCAAACAAGCGCTGCTGAGATCTGAGCTGTCGTCGCAGCTCATCGTAGGGGGAACGCGCGAAAGGCTGCTCGAGAAGGAGGATGCCGTCGAGCGCCAGGGGTTGGCCGCTGGGCGGCACGGTCGCAGTTGCAGCCGCGATGGAGGAGGTCGGCGCTGTTTCCATGCTCATTTTGCGTCGCGGGCAAATCTGTGCGTCAATTGACTTCGAACATAGATCTATGCAGGCTCCTCGATGTGCTCTTCACTTGCAGCCCATGCTCTTCAGTGTTGGCAGCCAGTGCCAACGTGGAGACAAGTGTACCTGCTCTGCTGTTTATGTGGCGCCAAGCCCTTGCTTTCCATCATTTGAATGATTAAACGAGATAGCTGCATGGGCCGACGACGGGTGTCAACGCCGGTTTGAAGTAGGGTTTGCATCGCTCACCTGTGCGGCTAATACGGCAATGGGGTTCCCCAAAAAGTCCCAAGGTTGCGGGTGCTACTGCTACCATCTCATGGTTCCTTCAACGCTCCCATTGATACAGGTTCCGAACAAGTGCGTCCGATCATCGTAGCAACGCATGGTCGTTTCTGTTGGAATCGAACATTCTTTCCGTGATGTTCCAAGTTCACGGCCTGGTCATAGCAGCAGCACTGGCGCTCGTCCGCTTCGACACCAGTGTCAGGGCTCGCCCACAAGCTGCTCACGACGCCCAAGGAACGCAGTAAGAACTCTACAACCTATGTGCCGAAAAGCTCGAGCTTCCGATCGAGGTGTACACCAATGTGCAATGTCTATGCAAGTAATTGGATGGACGAACGACTTCCCGGATGGATACGTCCGCTGATGCCCCCTTGGTCGCTGCAACATCTCGCTGTGCGTCACCATGCTGTCCAACTCGAACAAGGAGTTTATTTTGGGGCACGCAGCTCGACAGCTTTCTCACGTCCTCGGACTTCTACATGCAAACCGGGTTCATGATGATGTCCAAGATGTGTATTGTACTGTACATTCTCAACGCTCGCCTCCCAGCCACCGACTACCAGGTGCTAGCAGATGTCTACGGCCGAAGAGACACGACGTCGTCCAAGGAGAACGAGACGCCCGCAAAGAAGTCATACTAAACTAAATTCGGAACCTGCCTTGATACCTTTGATTGGAAGCTCAAGAAAATGGCAGAGGAGCTGCAGTTGCTAAATTTCGACTAGCTCACCAAGGGTAAAGTCGGCGCTACATGGTGCACCTTGGACATTTCTCGCTTCCTCGTGACCTTCATCTTTAATCTGATCCTTGCACTGCTTGCATCACAGGAACTGCCACTGTTTAGTCTCATATGCCGAGACTAAGGACACATGCACTCCGTCTGCAGGAAAGGGTTACAGGCCAACGTTGCAGTCCTAGCTGATCCACCCATTCCACATCGATTTCCACGCGAATAGGCAGCACCTCGCTTCGTGGACGTACCTGGCGCGTGTAGCCACGCCATTCGGTCTCTTCGGCTCGGAAAACGAGGCGACTGGATGGCTTGAAGCGACGAGCAGGTATGCAAGCTCAACTCGAAATGGCAAATCGAAAACATCAATAGCGTACAGAGCATGCCTTTCATCCTCCTCCCGGCACGTTCTTTACAGGTTTCATGCCTCAGTCAAGCCATTTTTCTCTACGTAATTGGTGCAGCAATACACACATTTGCATCGTAAGTTCAGGACGGAGCGGATCAGATGAGCCAAGTCGGTGACCCTACATGAAAATCTTCCAAATGGTAGCACTGCCTTATCTCTGAGCGCAATAGTTCTTGACATTGCTACAATCGGATTTGCACCCTTGCGCTGTTCTATAGCCTGACCTGATACTACCAAGAAAAAATTGTTTTTAATTATCGACGATATGAAAAGTATGTGGTGATGGGCAGCATCCATATCGCCCAGCTCTGGCAGTTATTGCTCTCGTCAATCGGTGCACTACCCTGGGTAGCCCATTACTTTCCGCGCACCGCCAAGGCCTGCTTGACACGTTCGCACAGTTCTGCAAAGGTAGTTTCCTCTGTGATTGACTTCTCACAGACATCTTGAGTCGCAAGGCAGAGCAGGGCAGCGGAGAGCGCTGCAGAGAAAAGGTGACTCTCGGCTCCCGTCACCGCTCCATCCCGCCATGAGACAGTGAGGCCGATCTTCGTTGTGGTGTGTCCTGTCGCCTTCGCCGTCACATGCGTCATTTCGCCCGTCTTAGTCATGACAGAGTCCTCATCCGCTGCGCAAGAGCCTCTTACGGCAGTGCTTTTCGTCCCTGCCAGCGCTGGGTCTTCGTGCGTCACTTTGAGCCCGACGACGCTGACCATCATACCGGCGCTCCAGCCTGCTGCAACAGCCGACTGCGCGAACCAGACCTGCCGCAGGACGTCTGTCTGCGCGGGCAGCAGGCCGAGATTGCTGAGACATAGGCTATCGAGGTAAGGACTGTTCGAGCGTGCCTTGTCGCGCACAAAGTCCTCCCACCCCGTCGGACTAGGTTTGACCAGTCCATTTGCTGCATTGCGTGTGAAGATGCGGTCATGGAACCTGCGCTTCTTGATGTTCCTCTTCGAATCGGGGATGAACGCAAGCAAACCCATGTAACCTGCTGCACCGCGCCGATCCGCGGGATTCACCAGGTGGTGGTACTTGCGAGTCAGGTAGTACACCTTTGTCGAGCAGATCGAGCGACTGGACTTGTGCCAATTGGCGCTGGCGACGTAGTTGCCTGTCATGATTGGATGTCCAAGTGCAGGGTCGCGAAGAGACATGGGCGTCCCTGTCAGGATCTCTGGTCCCCTGTCGTTCTGCTTTCCATTCGCACTCCCATCTTCGTCGGCCTCGATGACGATCAGAAGCGCCGCAACACAGGCAGTATGCAGCGGGGCATGGATGGTTCGGGTGCCGACCTTCGCTGCGAGCGCTTTCAAACCGTCGACAGTACCTTCGTCGCATTCGATGACGATGACGTCTTCAGGGCAGTCGATTGGCTGCTTTGCGAGGGGCCTGTGGGCAGGCCAGGCTGGCCGTTTGGTGAGGATGCGACCCAGAGCGCGCGGCAGCTTTGGAATCAACAACTCATCGATTAGGGTGCGCATCAGAAGCGGCAGGCGGGGCCTGTGAGAGATTGTGTCCTCGCAACGCGGAGGGAGCCGATCGCTGTTGTCCACGCTCATCTTTCCGGGAAGATCTGTGAAGAGGGAAGCAAAGAGCTGTAGGGTGCTACGGCCATCGCTGATGATGTGATTGATTGCTAAAGCGACGAAACAGTCATCCTTCGATGTGGAAGAAGGTAGAATTCCGACGCTCCAGAGTGGAGCAACGGTGACATTGAACGTCTTGCCCATCGCAAGTGCCCATTTCGTAGCGTCCGTGGCATTATGAGCTGGCTCGCTGATGATTTTGAAAATGTCGATGGGTGATATGACCTGCGCACTTTTCTTGAACTCAGGTTTCCGTGTCAGAATCGCATTGGCCGCACAGCTGAGGAGGGGAAATCGCTGCAACATGTCTCCCACTCGCGGCTGAATGAATGCAAGCGCTGCTGAGGGCGAGCAGGAAAGATAACCCGTCATGACCACGGTGGACGGCTCGCCGCTTTGCGCGATAGAGAGGCCGAGGCGCTCGTGCAAGCCTGCAAGTCAAGACAAAGATGGAATTGGGTAAGTTGTTCAGAACAATTTACGGGCGATCAGCCAGGTGAGCAAGCGAAACCCCACTGAGAGACCTTTGTGTCATATTGCGTCGCTCCTGTTTGAGTTTCTTCGCTGATAATTACCGCTGTCCATCTATGCTGACCACAGAGAGACTGAAGCAAGTGAGTAACGGAAAGCGCTCATGGCGTCTCTATTTATAACCCATCGGCAAGACGTTCATTAGTCACCCGGCCCAAATGAGGAGTTGCATTTACTAGCGACACTAATGCGCGTCAGGTGTCCACACCAAGACAGTGATGCCCTGAGCTATGCTGGATGTCGACTTTGAGTGGATGGAGAATCACAAGATGACAGCCATGAAAGATCAGGCAGGTGCGCACCTCGGTCGCTGCGACTGTGAACAATTTGCCGAAGCCCGAGGCTGCAAAGATAGATTGATTCGTGGCTCTGACAGTTCACAGGGGTCCACGTCCGCCGGCACGCCAGTGTTAGATCTATATATGCGCAATGTGGCGCAGCTCGGCGTTCGGTGATCGGCTCCAACAAAGTCTGGGGTAAAGCAACAAGAGGTCCATGTACGTGGATTTACTCCATGGTGAAAGGAGTTGATCGATTGTCGACAACAGCCAAGAAAATGTGCAGCTTTCGGGCGACCAAATGCAACGAGCCACTTCTGCTCGGACCGCTGGATGGAGTGAGCCTTCCGACCAATATTCAAGCATTACCTGGAAAGACGGGCATCTGCTCTTTGAACGTAGCGACGCTATCTGCCACCCGTATCAAATGGCCTACGGCAATTAGATGGAGCCTGGAAGGAGCCTCTAAACTCCAAAAGAATGAGCGAATAGTGATCTATGTGTGGCACTATAGGAACGAGACACAGAGATCGGGTTTTACAATTATGGTGGCAGGTCATGGTCTGGTAGATTGGAGATCGACATCGAAGCCCAAGTCCTACATCATTCTTCACCCCCCCCCCCTTTCCAACTCCCGCACGGCAAGCCTGATCACCGTCTCTCGCGCTCGGCCTGCCTGCAGTTCCCATTCTGTACAGTCACGGACTTAATTCCATTCCAGCGGTGGGGTGTCTTCACAAAATCGCGTATACCCATTTTTCTTCGGTGGCTTCCAAGTAGCTGATACCTGCACATTTGAAACATTGCGGATCTGCGAATCACAATGGATGTAAGCCCTTTGAAGTAGCCCAGCCGCGCGAAGTTCGACTTTGGTCGCTGCACTTTGACGAAACTTATGCGAATGCACAAAAATATACAAGCTGGCTGCGCATTTCCCTCATTTGGGTCTGCCTTTCGTGCGTTGAACGTGCAGGTCACGGGCTCACAAAGGCAGAACGAGAATTTTGAGGGTATCGCACCTGTCGTGATCGCCCTGCCCAACTTAAGCCCGACAAAAAGCTCGCACTCACAATGGGGAGACTTATTTCTCTCCAGCGTAAAAAGAATGGACGTACAGCATGTAATTGCAAAGCAGGTAGTTAATTACTCAAGGAGACATCTCATTAGTGATCAATGCGTCCTTCTTGTTGAGTTCCACGGTATACCAACTGGAGCTCTATCCCTCCTCGAACCCGCTCTTTCCTTGTTCGACAAGTCAGCCTGACAATATGACAAAAGGCCGTCATTTTCTCCTGTGCTATCTCAATGTCCAGAACGGGATCACCCTGCTCATCAACAGAAGCAAGCAAGCGCAAAGCCACAAACAAGGCGGCAATGAACAGAGGGGCCTGCTTGTCCTTCACCGAGCCCTCGCGCCACGAAACGACGATGCTGATTTTGGTGGTCGCATCTACTTGGTTAGCCACGACATCGACAACGAGCGCATCGCCTACAGGCGACACGTCTTTTGCGAATCGGATGCGTTGCAGCTTGCCGTCTAGCCCTGCTTCCGCATGCGACAGCGACGGCTGGGAGACGGGTAGCAAGCCGAGGTTGCTAATGCCAAAGGATCTGCGGTACGGCTTAGTTGAAAGCGCTTTCGTGTCGCAAAAATCTTCCCAGCCCGTCGAAATTAGTTCCATGCGTCCGTATTCAGCGTTCGTTGTGTATTTCTGCTAAAAATTGGCTTGCTTGGGTGGATCAGGAATATAACCCAGCATCCCCATGCTGCCTGCTGCGAGGCCGCGCTCGGGGGACTTGTGACCTGATTGTGATCCTGTCGCTTCAGATCCCCCACTGCAATAGAACGAATGGATGAGGTCGTCCGTCACCACAGCGTGTTCCCGACATCGTTGCCAGCGATAGGAGGGCGATCTTGGAAAGCCCGCACAGAGAGATGGGAGTGCATGTTACCATGTCAAAGGTCTTGCCATCTGGGCATGACAGCTCCGACGCCTCGTATTTCTCGGTCACGATCAGGAGCGCGGTGACGCAGGCAGTGTGTACGAGCGAATGGATTGTGCGTGTTCCTACGGTCGGAGCGAGCCTCTTCAGTCCTCCCACAATGTCACCGTCGTACGGGACATCGATCAGGATTAAGGGAAAGTGCATTACTTCTGCATGTTGCGACCGATGAGCAAGCCACGCTGCGCGCTTGGTAAACATTTGGTGCAGGAAAGCGGGTAGTTTTGGGACGACGAGTTCCTAGAAGACGGCGTGGATCAGGCGCGACATTGTCGGTGTGTATGGCAACGTCCCCTCGCACCGGGGTGGCATCATAGGCGAGCCATCTTCGCCAGAATCCTCGAAGAGAAGCGAATGAAAGCAGTGCAAAGCGCATCGACTGTAGTTGCCGATTTGATTGACGATCAAAGCGACGAAGCAGCTAATAGGAGAGGAAACAGACGAGTGCATATCCACACGCAATAGAGGGGCTATAGTCAGTCGAAGGGCTTACCCTTCGCTAAAGCCCACTGCAACACTTGCTTGGCCCCCTCAGTCTGTATCTCCACAGTTTCAACCACTTCAACAGGCGACAATTCTCGAAAGCTGTGCTTTAACCCAGGAGACCGAGTGAGATTGTCACCCACGGAACAAGTCAGCAAAGCATACTGTCGGATCAACTTTTTGATCAGTGTAGAGACGACTTTCGCGCTTCTAGAGTAGAACCCGCGAAAAAGTCGACTATTGTGAGGACGGCGGAGGCGCCGCGCTGAGCACACGAGGGTAAATAGCGCTCATACAATCCTGAAATGAGTCACGTCGATCGCAATAGTAAGCTCATTGACCCTTGAGGGGAGAACTCGCTGTTGCTGAGCTCCAGCCGTGTCCTTTCCATGTTGGCGCGGAACTTTGGTGACCGCAACCGCTAAATGAATTCGAGCGCACAAATGAATCCTCTTGCCCAAGAGACTCGCCTTACAAAGTCAGGATAAGTATCCCACTCGACGGCGCTTCAGAGGAAGTTGGATGATTGATGTTTTCAAGGATAGACATCTACGTGCCTGTTCCGAGAGCTATCTGGTCGTTAAGCTCATCACGTGCCAATTACTGCCACCCGCTCTGTGTTCGGCTCATATTCACAGTCGGCTGTCTTATCAACAGATATTCACGTATTCGACCCATTTTACGGCATTTCATGGCATCAAACGCTTCGAGACTTTGAAGTTGAATGTTCATGTATCAGAGCTGCGACTTGCCAACATAGGCAAGTCTGGGAAACAAAGTCTAGTCTTGGCAATTGGCACTCGGCACGCAACCGTGTGTCAGCTCGCTCGTCCATGACTGATATTCGTTATTCATCACGGATCGCCAAAGCGCAGGCGTCAGCAGTGACTTCCAGGTCTAAGGCCGGAACGCACCGCCCATAGACCTTGCCTATAACAGCAACGAGATGGGGTGGGGCAGTCTTTAAGTATGGTACGTGTGCATAGCACGTTTGATTTGCCGCAACTTTGCCCCTATGGAGGCCTTTGGCGAGATAATCGAATGAAAGGCCTTTAAACCCCTGAAATATTATCGCTACTGCAAGAGCAAGTTTCAGCAGGTCCCACCATGACAGGCCTCCACATCGGCGGCAGCATCTTGCCAGCCGGCATCGACATCGACATCACATCAACAGTCAATGATATCCTTCTCCACAGCAGTCGACCTCCGCACGGTGCGGAAAAGTCTCCGAGCGTCTTCGCGCAATATCTGTCACAGCGGGCGGAGTTGGCGCGGGAAGCGGTACCTACGCTGCTCAACCGCTCACGCCAGGCGCAAGTGGATCAAGCAAGCATATCCAGTGCTCTCAAGGTACCGGAAGTTTTCGACGAGAGGGCTCGGCTGTACATCAAAGTGGACTGTCGCCGAGCGTACTTCCCTGGACAGACGGTAGAGGCAATTCTTGCGGTCGATCAGGAATGGCTGGAAGCTGGACCGCCAGCCCTCGATGGCTTCTCTGAGGTCACGGTCACTTTCGAAGGTGAGGCCTTCAACCTTTTCGGTCTTAGCTATGGGAGTTCACGGATACTTGTGGTTCGGTGACAGGCAGGGTATCGTCGTATGGAGTCGAGAACGTTACCACAAATACTGTCAAGCACGAGGATAATCCACTCTTTGAAGAGTCGTATTCCCTCAAACCCTACGTCGGATCATCTTCTTTAATCCGGACCTCGACTGTCAACGGTGAAAGCATCACAGGCCTCTCTCTCACACCAGTCGAAAATGTCGATGCTTTCCATCCAAGTAGGTCGTCTCGACTCAAAGCCTGGCATCTACGGGCTGTTTTCCCAGAAGCAGTGCACGCTTCTCGCATGGTCGGCAACAAGAACTTATTCACAAAGCGCAAGGAAACCCGCGCCATACTTCTTCCTCCGTCATTTCGTGATGATTGCATAGGCGGCTCCAGTAGTCGCAATGGTCAAAATTCGGTGGTATACCGCATATCTCTCAAAGGGAAACGAATCAAGAAGGGGAAGGCACCCAGCTTTCTCGCCGTGCCTCTTCTATTCCTACCGTTAGCAATTGCGCCACCGCCAGCGTTGACGCTGGTCGACCTGCCAGCATACTCGTACGATGCCAGGTCTGAAGCAGAGAACGAAAAACGATTTGTGACGTTGACATGTCGTGAAAAGATTCGAAAAGGCATTGTCTTGGACAAAGCGATCGTCACAGCCAAGGTGAGCTTTCTTTCCCAAGGCTTGGGGTCTCAAATCTCGACATTCTCCTTACATTCCTTTCTTATCGGAAGGTGATCATGCCCCGACCTGTGCATGTTCCTTCAGCTTGGGCTTTTCCTTTCAGCATATTATGCAGCATCTCCTCCAAAGACCCGAAAGATTTAGACGATGGCGGATCGATATCTCTCCCAACACTCCCACTATCGGGGGCACGTGACAGCTTTCCAGCGCTCAGCTTCAAGCGCGTGGAGACATCCAAGGCTGACTGGGCGGAGGAAATCGCCACGACGGTGTACGATTGCGACACCAAGTGGGACGACGGCCATCTGCGGGATCGAGTGACGGAACAGGTACAAGACATTGAGGCGCATGGCTGGTCCAAGCCTGGTATGGACCAGGACACCGGGAGATGGACACGTCGTGCGCGGCTCGTTGGCACCGTGAAGAACAGCATGCCTCCGCCGGTACATACATCTTCCCTCATCGTTGAGTACCAACTCCACTTCTCCTGGAAGCTCAGTTCAGCCGTCAAAATGAATGGCTTCGTGACGAATTGGCTGTCAAGCTCAGGTATTGGCCCCGAAACCTTGCATGCAAGCGAAGGGGCAACTCGAATTGCTCTCGGTAGTGATTATGCGTCGCTCCGAGCTGTCGCAGACCCTATTTTGGGACCGCCAGCGCAGCCCACTGCACATCTGGCGGATGACCTGCCAGCGTACGACTTTGGCTCGCAGCCAAATACCAGCGCTCGGCCCTTCCCTAATGATCCCAAGCCCTCCTCGTGTTGCTGAATTCCCTGGTCTAACTCCAAGCTGGATTGCTTAATCTACAAAATTTGTGGAATGTTGTATGTACTATCATGCTGGTAACAACGCTCTTTAGCATCTCTCGAAGACGCGATCTGGAAACAGGTATGATCGCAGTTGGTCAGTTTGACTGAAGGCTTCGCAGGCGCGGACAATAATTCTTGACTCACACAAGTCGGACATTGCAGCTACTTGGAAAACTGCCCTACGTTGCACCGACGTAGAAGGTTTGTACGAGCCCCGCTTGCTGTTCATGTTTGCAAACCATGCGTGCTCGATGTTCCATTTCTGCGACTCTTCCTCTGCAGCATTTGCGTCGGTGAGAGGTGCAGGCACGCAGGCAAAAGCAAGCTCACGAGCGATGCCCCCCAGACAGCGCTTCTCTTCCTGCCAATCAACTTGTGGACCGAGGCGCATGAATAAGCGGGGCAAGTTTTCGAGGGGAAAAGCGAAGTGTTTTGGTAGCAGAGAAGGCATGGCCATGAGCTCTCCAGTCTCCTCGTCAATTTTGATTCCATAGTACTCTTGCAGCATCTCTGACTTGGCAGTCACGAGCGCATATATCTTCTGCCGGACCAAACGAGAAAGAGACCACGTCAGCATCTCCTTCCTTAATCTTGCTACAGTCGTAGAGACACTGACATTCGCAGTCGAGTCGCGTTCTAAGCCGCTGCGTCCAAAGTCTTCGTCGTTGTCCAAGCCTGTCGCGATCAGCTCCTCCAGACTGATCCGTGGTTCGAGCGCAATGCTTTCCAAGTTACCGAACTGGCGGATGATCAGCTGATAAGCAAAGTCTTCGCTGCCAAAGTGAGACACGAATCAGCAATGTAGATACGTTTGTAGGGGATATCAGCTTCACTCTCACATGATCAATGCATGGTTGATCAAGTACAGCTTCGTCAAATGTTGGACGAGAGACAGCCCACGACTCAGATCGACAGAGCCGACATAGGTGTGATTCTGAATAATTTCAGTGAATTCTGAAGCCGACGTGTCTTTCAGTAAATGCTCACCAAGTCACCGCCATGATGGAGCACCTACCAGCATGCTTTTCGGTGAGGATTTCGGACCTGAGCTCGGCAATAGATTTCAGAGAACACTCGCTCTGCTGAACTTTGCCCGAGCGTGATGAGCCTTGCACCAGTGCTGGGCGCTGTGCAAAACTTGGCACAGAATGTGGTAGAGTCTCCTCCGAGTTGGACACTTCGCCCGGCTCCTGAACTTCTTCGTGATCATCTTCGAATCGACTCTTTGCGCCTGCTTGCAGAGTAGTTACCTGCTCGACCAAATGTGAGTCGAGCGTTTGAGTGTTCGAGTCTGTCCGAACCGAATGTCGAGGATACCCTTTCTGTGTTGACAGATTGCCGTTGGACCTCGATCGGACTTGTGGGCGGCTCAGGTATGGTTGCTCTGCGCCAGGAAGTAGTATCTGAGAGAATTGGAATGTTCTGCTTTGGTTTGCGCCGACCAAGCAACTCTGCAAGTGACTGCAGATAGCATCAACGATATCATCTTCATCGAGGAAATGCACTTCCCGCTTCGTGGGATGAACGTTGACGTCAACCCTCTCCGGTGCGATTTCGAGGCTGATATAGAGCCAAGGATGCCCGCCTTTCGGAAGCAATGTAGAGTAGAGCGCCTCGGTTGCTTTGCGTAAGCTTGGGCAGTCCACCAAACGATCTAGATTCAAGCATCGAGTGTTTTCAAAGACCGTCGTCCTGGAAAGCTTGCGCAAGATACTCACGGTTAATGAAGCACAGCATTGTGAGCTTCTTGGCCGACCAGTTCGCACCGCTGACCCAGCCTTCCACAGAAAAGCCCAGCGCATCGTTCCGGTGCGGCTTGAGGCGTACCAACTCGCGGGCGATGCCTTGACCATGGAGCAGCTTGATTGTATCAAAGGTCGTATTGTCGGGGCTAGCAGAAGTGCTGAGGTCGGTCATGTTATTGCTTGCCTGGATACACAGCCTCCGGGTCAACACGTTGCGAAAAACTTGGCCCGCCTTAAAGCCCCTAACTTCGCTCACCCGCTTGCACATGAAGCCAACCCCACGGCCTCCGAAATGCACTGCGTACCGCCCGATAACATCCAAACATCGATTATACTCTTCTGATGAGCTGCCCAGTGCTCGACACCGCTGAGGTGAATTGTAAAACAAATCCTCAGCGGTGATGGTTGTACCGTCAGTAGCTGCGCAGACTTTGGGGGCTGCGGACTGCCCTGGCTTGGCAGGCACCATGGCGCCTTCAGAATAGTATGCCCTGCGGACGTGAGACATCAGCTGAGATTTTCACAGTAAATCTTTGCTAGTGGTACACCTCACTTGTAGCCTACGTTCGAGTCTTTCGTTTTGGTCACGACATTCATACTCGCCGTGATGTAGCTGACACTCGCGAGGGCTTCACCCCGGAACCCAAATGTCGTCATCTTCGATAGGTCAGAGAAGTCTCGCAGCTTTGACGTGGTGAATCGTTCGCACAAAAGTGGGAGGTCTTCGCTCTGCAGGATTGACGCAAAGAGAAGTTTAACCATTAGATGAACAGGATATCGAAACGAGGCAAAGACCCACACGAATACCGTGCCCATTGTCTTGTATCTGCAGCATTTTGATACCGCCATCTTTAAGCACCACCCTGATGACCGTGGCACCAGCATCCAAGCTGTTCTCAACGAGCTCTTTGAGTGCATTTGAGGGTCTTTGAATGATCTGTAAAAGGCACGGCTTCAGCGTAAGGCCAGTTTATACTCTCGAATGCATCACCTACTTCTCCAGCTGCAATCTTGTTCACTACGGACTCGTCTAGGCGCTATTGAGATTCTGGAGTCAGCTTCAAAAGACATCGGATCTCTCAGAATGCGAACGACCCACTAGAATAGCCTTAGGCACTAGTGAGGCAATTTCCCGCTCATGGCGGTCAACATCTTCCAGCTCGTCTTGCGGTTGATCTTGATCCGTGTCTGACGGCGGGCCGTCTCCTTCATCGTCGTCTGGGGTCATTTCAGGCCAAGCCAACAGTGATCAAATTTCCGGAGCAACTCAACGGTGATTGTTGCACATTGTAAGTTTGACCTCAACGCTGCCCAAATGTCATTGTCACATGCTTCATCCTGAACGGGTTTTCAACTTCAACCCCGTCACATCACGATGGCGTCCATGTGCATGTCCTATTTGGTGGAAAGAGCTTGAATCGCGTCACGTGCAACGTGAGTGCGCGCATGGGATAAGTCTAGGATGAGTCGACTACTAAAGTATATATTCACCCTACAAGGCCAGAAGGCCCCCGATATTCCAAAATGCATGAAAGGAAAAGGGACCGAAAATGGTGGATTTTTCCCACATTTTAGTAACTTTACCCCCGACTGCTCGAATGGGTAAAGACTCTTTTGGCTGGAGGATGGATTAATCTGATATCCTTCACAGCCCAATTGATGTCACACCGCCCACGAACTATGAAATCGTCCCAAGTGGAGACATCTTTGTCTCATCTTCATTCCTTCTTTCTGACGGGTCACGCATTTGGGATCTTTCCCTCCCTCTGACCATGTCTCTGATGAGGTGTCGTTTTGTTAAGTCGCAACCTTTGACGAGTCATTACATGGTCGCAGTCTCGCCCCTCTCCACTATGGAACTCAGTCTCTACACTCGCTGACTCGCTTTTCAAGGCCCCGGCGACGGGATGGCGCTAGAGTGGGGTGTCGCCGATGGACATTGAAGCGTGTATTGAGGGTGACTCCTGGAGAGGCCGCCTCCGCTCATGCCTGGGGCCTGCGTGATGCGACGTGGGCCGACAGAAGCAGACGCGGTGGCGGTGGCAGCGCCCAAGGCCTGGGCGCAGGAGAACGAGATCGGGTAACAACGAGCGTTGAAGGAGGCTAGGTCCCGGTGCCGACGCGAGGGCGACATGAGTGGCCATGCGGGGATGCCCGTCTCATCGTATGAAAATATCTGTGATATGACAAGCTGCACAATTCAAACGAGACGCTGCTTGACCCAGCAATTTGTGGAAGGAAGTGAAGAATAGACGTAGGGGTATGGTTGCTCCCACAGGGCACAGGTGCGAGTATCAAGGGCTGGGGCTTGCATGTTGTGAATCGGCGAGGCACGCTCTTGGGGAGCTTGAGTTTAAGGAGAGCGCAGATTTGGCAGGGTCTTTTCGTTGAACCTATGGCCAGTCATCACCTGTGCACTAGCAACTACTTTAGTGTAGACCAGCGTGTTCTGGCCACCGAGAAGGAATTGAAAGCCTTGTGGTTCTTGTGGATGGAGAACTTTCGTGGAAGAGGATTCCCTCAAGGAGGGGCAGTAGTACTCCCTCGGCAAATCGGCCAGTGTTGCCCATCGACGACTTTCACAGTTCACTGCACGGCTTCTGTTTACCAGCTCGAGTTCATCAGCCACAGCTCCGCAGTTCTCGCGTGCTGACTCGAACAAGTGGCGAGTGGGAACCATGTGGATCTGTGATGCGCCTCTAGAGTCTAGTGACGCTGCGCAAGTGTGCGGCAGCGGCGCAACTCACAAGGCCTCCGAACTGACTGCACGGCTAAAGGGAGGAATCTGTCTGCGCTATGCGCATGGCTCTCAGGACAGTCTAAACATGACCGCCCAGAGAGGCTAGTATGATAGAATTCTTCGAAAGTTTACAACGCATTTTCCTGTATTCATGCGCTCTCGCCATTCTCCAACTTCTGTTTCTTGGCAATGGCATTCCCAAAAAGGCCGCCACCGCGGTTGGGCGCGTTGGTATCGCCTTTGAAATCGTCCGCGAAGGGGTCTGCCAACGAACATGTCCCTGCTTTAGACCCATGCGGTCCTGCAGCACCAGCAGAGTTAGAGATGCTTGCGCTCGCGCTGTCATGCGCCTTCCTCTTTCGCCGTTGAGTAGCAGCGGCTTCGCGGTAGGCTTCTGCCTTAATGTTTCTGGCGGGGACAATCGTAACAGGGTTCGGATTCGTTTACGATCAAATCAGGCCATAATTCTAATTTGCACTCACAATTTAGTGCCAGGGATGTTGACCGGATCTTGACACAATTTCAACCTTCTGTCAATGTCCTTGACCGTGTCCGCTTTGATATCCGCTTTGTTCTGCTCCATCTTGGTAATCATGCCATCCACTCGAGTTGCAATGGCTTCAAGTTCCTCAAAGCTGACTCTCAGGGGCACATCTTCTACGTCGTCGCCCAGCTGTTTTTCCATCGGATGAGGCCCATCTCCATTGCAGTTCTTGTCGCCCGATCTCCCCTTGGCGGTAGAGTCTGAATGGCTGCGCTCGCCCACGCCGCTTCCCTTCTCTTGCCCTTCCGCAAGCACAGCATTTCCTTCCTGCCAACGCTTCCTCTCTTCCCTCTCTCGCCGTCTCATGTCTCTCGCCCTCGCCTGCAACCCGTCAAACCATTCCCTGCACGCCTGCTTGCCTTTGTCGCTCGCCACGCCCGACCTGCGCACGCATGCATATGCGATTTGCGCCGGCGCAAAGAGCAGCTCTGCATCTGTAAGGCGCGAGGTGGAAGCGTGGAGGCGTGCTTCCTTTGAGAGCACTTCGTCTACTGCTGCCGCTGTGGCAGCAGTTGCGTCGCGTTGCTGAGAGGTGTACGCTATCTCAAGGAGGAGCCCCGTTAAGGAACGGTGTACCCCGTGAACAGAGAATTCGAAGTCAAGCGCCCGAGAAATTGGGAATTCGAGATCAATGATCGCCTTACGAATTTCTTCTATCGCTGCTGGCGTTGTGTTCTTGCCAGCAATGCGCTGCGAGAATGATCCCAGCGAGATCGGGTAATTCTCCGTCTTCGTTGCGAGATAGATGCATGTGAGCCTGTATAGGAGAAAGGGATCGGTGAATGAGGCATGGAGCCGACCGTGTAGCCCGACCTCTAGGACCTCACATGATGTTCTTTGGATGATAGTCCAAGGGCGTATTGCGGAGGTAAAACCGTTTCATATATGTCGTTGCTGAAGCTTCCACCAATTCCGGAAGCTTGAAGGCACGAGTCAGACCAGGTATTTTGAGCATGTAGAATATGATGAGCGCCTGCTGCTCTTCGAGAGAAGGAAGCTCCTGCTCCACTTGAGCTGCAGAAGTCAATGCTACAGGCGGTGGCACCGTGTCTGATGGCAGAACGGCATCCTAGATGGAGGAATGTGATCAGCCGACTCCCCGTAGCAGAGCTTGCTGAAAGCTGAATTCCTCACTTCCTCGGCCTTCCAGGCCTTCAGGACTCGCAACTTGGTTGCGTCACTGCTAGCTTTGCGTAGATCGTGCAGCTGTCGAGTGGTGAAGTGCCACTTCCTAGCTTGACTGGATTGCTCGTACGCCAAGTGCGGTTGAGGCAGTGGCCCTTGAGGCACCGAAGGAATCGAAATTTGGTCTAGCATGATACCGATTCATGCGGTAGAAACACAAGACCAATGCAGGCAAGCGCCTTTTATTGTATTGAAGACGTGGGGGAGTGCAGGTATAGTCCAGATCATTTTGAGTGCTGTTTGAGATCCGATGTCAGATATAATTGAACATGCTCCACGTGTCTGAGCTGCCATTATCGAAAACAAACGGCCTGATTGCTCAGTCTCCCTCTCGCCTCGTCCTCAAATTTACAACCTTCTTCAGCATCTTGATTGCTCCAGAATCTTACAGCCGACGCTACGCTAACAACCTCATCGCTGTCCTGCGTCACCTACACCTGGTGCATTGTCTTTAGTTTACGAGAGATCGCGAAAGACGCAGCTCTGTCCCTGCGATGAACTGATCCTATCGAGCCAAGTCCACCCGACAAGTTCTACTGTGGTAGCAAGAGACCATCAAGTTCGCGGTCAACCCTCCATTGACTGCTCCTTTCTGGTCGACCCAATGACTCACTTCACACTGTCAGCATTTCGAACAGATCTGGATGCTTCCTTCCCCGTATCTGTTTCCTCCCACGATCTGAAATATGCAAAGGAGATGCATTCCGACAGCTCGTGCACATTCTGCGCCATCATAGCGCATAAACAAGCCGCTCATGTTCTGTTCGAGGACGAATACACTATGGCATTTCTTGATATCTTGCCATTAAGACGCGGTGCGTTCGTGTCTGACGGCCTACCCGCTTCGCAATGGCCACTCATTGGGCTGGACCCATCTGGACGGTACAACAGACGACTGATGCGCGATCCCGTCACTTATTTCTTCCCTTTATCTTCACTTTATTGGACGTGGTCATCCACTTCATGATAAAGGTCACACACTTGTTGTGCCAAAAGCCCACTTTGCGACCATCTCTGACCTACCGCCAATACATGCAGCTCGCTTGGCGCAAAGCGTGACACGTCTCTCGCGTGCTATTTCGAGAGGTGAGTACCTACGGATCCAAGAGCGAGACAATATGTTGTGGCTCGCAGACTGCGCTCCCGTCGAAAGGCTCGTGCGACTGCTAACCAAGGCCTTTCCGACCCTTGTCTCCGCCTTCTCATTTTCAGCATTGGAAGATCCACGCTTGCAAGTTATTACGAATCAAGTATATGCGCAAGTTGTACCGCACGTGAGTTGATTGTCACGGCAGACCCACACCTTCATCTTGGCAGTCCTTGTTCAGCTGTGAACCTCCGTTGGCATACGACAGCCTAACAAAAAACCCTCTCTTGTCGCATGGTGTTTAATCGCTTGCCAGGTCCATTACCACGTTGTCCCGGCGCCGCCACTCTCCAACTCTTTCCCTGCACAGGCCCTATCTGACTCCTCGTCATCAGCTGCGGACCACAACTGGGGCTCTCCTCCGAGAGCTGCACCGATGCGCAACCTCAATGCGCTATGGGCATCAATAGGCCATGGCCGAACAGAGTTGGATGATGATGATGCTACTGAACTTGTGCGACGAATCCGAAACGCTGTTGACACAGATAACGAATTCCAGGCTGCGACTCTCGCAGCTGAAAAGACCAAATTGTAGCCTCAGTACTCTATCGTAGTTGCTTCTCCCTGAGCCTTAAGCAGAAGTCTGGACAATGGTTGATTGAGGGGGCCATTGAGAGTCATGAATAGTCATGCAGTTTGCATCATAGCTGTCATCTGGTACACTTTTCCGAGTCCATCCATCCTCTACTACGATACCAGCACCGTTGCGTTGATGCAATACATTACGCCTTCTTGCCGTTGATTGCGAGGAGCTCAACTTCAAAGTTCAGTGTGGAGTCTATAGGTGGAGGGGGCCAATCGAATCAACTGTCAACGGTAGTCCCGAAATTTGTGAAGTTCATCACTCACTAGGCGGAATGATAGGGGGGTACCCGCCGGCACCGTAAGCGAAGTCCGGCGAGCAAATCAGGTTGGCCTTCTCGCCCAGGCTGAGCTGAGGCACACCCTCGTCCCAGCCCTTGATGACCTGGCCAACGCCGATGACCGTCTCGAACGGCCTGCCGCGGTCGCGCGAGCTGTCAAACTTGTTTCCGTTTGATAGAGTTCCGACATAGTGCATGCTAACCTTGTCGCCCTTCTTAGGGAACGAGGCGTTGTCGCCCGGGGAGATGCGCTCGATTTGGACACCCTGTTTTCCGAGAGCATGGCGCGTAGACGAGAACAGACGTGTGCATTGCAAGGATAGAGAGAGGTAACACGGAGATTTTGATGGAAATATGTGGTGGTAAGGCAGAGGTGAGGTTGGACGAGGTCGGAGAGCATGCAAAGGGCGAAGGGCGGTGAGTATTTGCGTTTGGGTACACCCCTTGCCCGCTGCGCCGGAAGCTGGGAGCTGCAGGAGACGTAGGGAGGAGAAGGGAGATGTGCTCACCATGATTGCTAAGACGTGTGGAGAGTAATGCGAAGTGTGATCACAACAATGTCAGATGATGAGTCTGCACTGAGACATAAGGATGTTCGTGAAGGCAAGGATTGTAGGAGAGGTGTGTGCAGCCCCCCGTCGTTTATAACAACAAATCTTCGTTCGGCGTTGTTGTTGCTGAAGAGAAGCACTGAAGAAACAGGCACTGCAAGGCGCAGGCAGGCGAGGTGCGACGCTCGAGCCACTCATGCGATGTTGGGACAAACGCGCACGGGCCCTCAGTTTTTTCGCGCTCGACTTCTTATTCGGTGCAATAAATATGGCGTCAGTCTGCACGTGACGGTTGTCTGCTTTGCCCTTTCGGTGCCGACCAGCCGCGTCCCAGACTCGTCTCGTCGTCCAGCATCCCGAAAATGGTGCATGTTTGTGAACACAGGAGCACGACCATGACAACCGTGGCAGGGAGCGTGACATGTGGGAGTATGTGCTCTAGGGGAAAAGAAGAATCGCACGCAAGATTTATTCAGGGGTGCGGTCTTCCGCGCAGATGCGACCGTGGCTGCTCCCCGTGTATTCAACTGGCGGCGCTTCGCCATTGGCTCCCGAACCCTTTAGCAACGGAAGATAAGCTTTTGATATCCAAGTCACCTTTTCCAGCGGGGAGGTGATTCGAACAGCCATGGCGCTCATGGGGGACCCTGTGTCAAATATACAGGATCGCAAGGACAAAGGAATCTATCCGCCTCCGTCTGCGGTGTCTCCGCGCTACTCTAGCAAAGCGTGGCCTCCAGAATACGGTAGTGATCAAGAAGACCAGGAGAAAGAAGACCTTGAAGACGAAGGGGAAGGCACATCATATTTTTCCAGCAAATGCCGTGGCGGATACACATTTGTGCCTGCTGGCGGTGAAGTAGAGGGTCCAGTTGAACGTACCGCGAGCAGAGAGAGGGAGAGCTACGATGGTGTCGGTCGAGATGACTTCCCTGTTATGGAGCGAAAAGGCTGTAGCGTGCTTGCCGACTCAAGAGAGGCATGGGTGCAGGATGTAGAACAGCTGTGTAAGTCTAGTCCAGATTAAGCATAAGTATGTGCAATGCCTGTCATGAATACCCCACGCTTGGTTTTGCACGAATATCTCATCTGGCCTTTCACATGCCCATTCTAGATTCATTCGTTCTCTCCGAGCGACCGATCCTCCCGCCCTCCATATCGCTACGTTTCACTTTCCACCGTGGTCCGCTAACGCCAGAGGACGGAGACTTAATGGAGCTTCCATTCGATCAAAAGTCAACAGAATTATTCTCCTTCACCGTTCCAGTACACTTGCCTGCTCAGAGCATCAACGTCAACACGAGAGGAGGGCAAATTCTCATTGATGTGAACGCATCTGTCTCCAATAACATGTCCAAAAGCATTATCGATACCACCAGAAGTCAAATCGTAACGGAATTTGACGCCCTACCCCCCGGCTCACAGCTACGAGCAGTGCAAGACACCGTACCTTGTTACCGCTCTGCACCCTGGCTGAAAGGTGCGCTCAAGTACAGTGGCGCGCGGCAATCGCACAATGCGCGTACCATCGAGTCGACAGATGCATCTGTGGGGATACGCGCGTTGCTGGCATCGGGCCGAGCATCTGGTGCGATGGATATCGAGACTGGTTTACCGATCGTACAACCCGCCGCACATGCAGCAGCAGCGCAGATTGAAGATGCTGCCGCCAACGGAAATGGCAGAGGGGCTGGAAGGAGGCTCGCGAACGTTAAAGCGCCAAAGAAGATCATCGAAGAATGGAATGCTACGCGTGCCAAGGGCTTACGAGAACCATGGCGCGGCCCTCCACTGCGCCCAAGTCGAGACGGTAGCTCCTGTGATGACGACGCTCACTTACCGTCCAGTACAGATGGATTTCTAGAAGATCCTCCCAAGATTCGCAGCGCACTTTATCGTTCACTCTCCGATTTCATTCGCGAGGAAGCGCACCTTGCAAGTGCCAAGATAATGCTCTTTGAGCACCTACCATACGGCTGGGATCTCGATGCGCTTTCCAAATCCGTCCAAACACTCATCAATACCGCAAATGCCCCCGGTACTGTTCCGCCGACCTCCGCCGCGCCTCTACATCCTCGCATAGCCAGAGTGCGAATCACCTACGAGCGTATTCCGCCTTGGCTGGATCTACAAGTTCGTCATACACGCGAGTGGCTGCCCTTTTGGGGAGGCGGTCTGCCGGTCAATGCAGGCGTCAGCTTAGCGGGAGCGCAAAGCTGGGTCATGGCGTGCTTCGCGGCTGCATTTGCGGGTGGGATCTTTGCGCTCGTTTCATTTGGCTCATCATCGCCATCGTGGCATGGGAACTCTCCAAGCCCAGGTGCACCATCCCAGATGGCGAGCAGTGCTGGCAACATCAATGCCACACTAGCATGGACTGCCTTACTCCTGGCGATCGTCAGCGGCGCCATCGGTGTGTACACAATGATCCAGATAGCGCACGTAAGGGCGAGCGATACGATCTTGATGGCCCATGCGCTCAAGTCCTGGCGGCATACGGGCTTACCAGCCTCATACAGTCGGAATGAGGTCGTCCGTGAGATGCAAGAGCGGCACGCAAGCGCAGTTGATGCGCGCAGCGCAGGTGACGAGCGTGGGAATATTGCCCCGCTGACCCTGGCTCGCCGTCCAGATGGGTGGTACGTCCTCGCTGCCGGGCTACGCGAAGGTGACTGGCTTGGCGCGCACAAGGATTGGCTACTTGAAGCAGTGCGTCTCAAGAAAAGTGGCGATCTCAGCGCTGATTTCCTGGAGAATAGTAGAGACGGGCCGGGTGCTTTCGAGCGGGCAGATGAGCAATTGGCGCAAATGACTGAAGTCAGGGAAGACACTTGGACTGGCTTGTGAGCCTATTGCGCTCATATAGATTATGATCTGTTGTACACGTGTGACTGAGGAGCAGGGCTGTAATATTGTCACGAGTTAATGGGCGTACTCGTGTCATTGAAAATGCTAAAGATAAGTTTCGAATGGATGCGCTCATCTCGGATGGATCGAGTATGGCCATGGCCCCAGCTCAAGCTGCAGCTGCAGCCGGACGGACAGCCGATTTTCTGCGAGTCGAACTGATGGGCTGCATGACAGCAGACGATCGTGGTCTGCCCGTGACGGCTCTGCTCGCATGTATCGCATCAGAAGGACGGCCATGGGTACCGGGTTGCTTATCATCGACCTTTTTCAGCGCATCGGCCACGCATGATCGCACCGCTCCGTGGGCTTTGACGTCCGAAACTCGTTTCGCGGAAGAAGGGCGCACGACCTTGTCAATGAAGACAGAGGGGAGCGAGTCGTCGCTGTACAGTGCAGGAGAAGCGGTTTCGCTGATTGGCGAAGTGTGGGATTGCGCTTGAACTTTTGCTCCTGGTAGACCCAGCGACCGATCTTCTCCGCTGGCACTCTTCATGGATATGTCCTGCAAAGAGATGTTGTGCACGCTGGATAGGCGTGCGACCAAAGGTGGTCGTATAATACCGGCAGCATTCATGGCGGCCAGATGTGCAAGGCTGCGGCCCGAAGCCATTGATGGGAAACTCTTCGTAGTCGGCAATATGCTAACCGAGTCTTTGTCAGCGGAGCCGCCACCACGGGAATGCTCGAAACTGTTCATCGGAATGTCCGAGTCGTCTGCTATCGTTTCTCTGAACAGCTGTTGCTTCTTCCCTCCTACCCGGAAGAGCGGACGCGTAGATGCACTCGCTCGCAAGGGCGTAGACTCGACCGGTGCGCTGTTCCCAACGGTCTGTAATTCACCGGCGTCGGAACGATCATCTTGATCCACCCAGTCTCCTTTGCTAGCGTGCTGCTCAGTGCCGTGCTTGTGCCCCAGCGCATCATCTGTCGGCGGGCTGATCTGACCAAAGCGGTTGTTCACTACACCCGCTTCGCTGCGGCCGATGGACGTGGAAGATGTACGCTGGATTGTACTTTGGACGGCAGGGGGTCTGGATCCACTATAACCAGAGGATGCTGAAGTTGACGCGTCGGTGCCAGGCGATCGCCGCCTTCTCGCAGTCATTGTTGATTGTAAGCTGTTGCTCGATCGTAGCGACACCCTCTCTTGCCCATCTTCAACCGAAGACGCTCCGACCGGGGAGCGACGGCTCAGCGTGCGTCTGATCTGCCGCTGCTCCACAAGGAGCGCTGTTCCCCTGCGCTTCTGCTCTCCTTCAGCACTTCGACGTGCTAGCTCTTGCTCCAAGTGGCTTTTCTGTTCTTCCAACTGTGCTTGCGCTACCTCTAGGTCTTTTGTACGAGCCTGCAATTCCGCTTCGTATGCCTGCACGTATGCCTCTCGCGAAGCAATGTGCGCTTCTCTCACTGCCAAAGTCGCAGCGTCGGGAGAATTCACGCTCTGAGATATAGGGCGCGTGGTTGCCAAGCTTTGCTCAAGCGCTTGCACTTTCTCCTCCCTAGCTTTGAGTTCCCCCTCCCAGGCTTCCAACCTAACTTTCTCGGCGATCACAAGGGACCTCCTGAAATGTCCAGCCAAGAAATCAGCAAGCCTGCATCGCTTATTCAATAACAGATTGTACCAGCTCACATGTCCAGCAGCTCCAATGAGCGCAACTGCACTTCGACCATGGGGTGTGCGAGCATGTCGGTCGTGGATGGCCGTCTGCGTGGCTCCAGTTGGAGCATGGAGTTGATGATATGGCCCAGGCCCTCGGAGTATGCTGTGGGCAGTCGCGGCACTTTGCCCAGTCTGATCTTGCGCGTCAGCTCTTCTTGAGTCTTTGCGTCGAAAGGTGGACTAAGTGCGCACAGCTCGTAGGCAATGCAGCCTAGAGCCCAAATATCACTCTTGGTGTCATACCTTTTGCCCTCTGATAACTCAGGCGACATATAATAAGGTGTACCAACGTACGTGGCGGTGAAATCTGTCTGCATCTCCTTTGATAGCCCAAAATCTCCGAGCTTGACGCGCTGATCCCCATCCAGGAAGACGTTCTCCGGTTTTAGATCACGATGTAGGATGACGGAGCGTTGGGCTGCGAGCGTATTGAGGCTGCTAGCCGAAGAGCCAGAAGTAATGACGTTACCCCGTCGATTGGTCACACTGACGATGTTTGAGGTTGAATGCGCGCTTGGAAGCCCAGTGCTCGGCTCCTCAGGCTGGACCATGCGATTGTGGCAGGCATGCAGGCCCGATGTCATCTGCGCTAAGTAAGACCAGACTGTCTCCTCCGGCAGCAGTGTGCTGTCAAGCGAAAAGATGCTAAGACCAGGCCGGAAGCTTCGCTTCTAGGCTGCGCCTGCACTCACTTTGTCTTGCGGCACTTTTTGATCAGGCCTCCCAAGTCGCCGCCATCGCAATATTCCATGATAATGTATAGAATCCTGAGGAGAAGCGACTTTGATCAATTAGCATTGCATTCATGGACCGACGCCGAAGACAGGTCGCCTTTGTACTGACTTGTCGTCGACGTCTACGAAGCGATCCTCGTACTTCACGATATTTGCGTGGCTCATCACTCGCAAAATGTTCACCTCTGCCACCAGCTGCTTCTTGTCCTGCTCTCCCATCTTTTCGTACTCGAGCTCTTTGCGAGCGAAGATCTTGCCATCGCTTTTTCGCCGAACCCTTCGGATTTTACCGAAGGACCCTTTGCCGATGAGGTCCAGAGGCTCGTCTGCATCATCTCCGGAATTTCAGCGAGCATTCCTGCAGCAAAAAGGCGCCATCGCAGGTACTGATACTTACACCCATCTCGGGCGTGGGTTCCACCCGACTTGCGTCCTGTGCTCGACATTGTTCTTGGCAGCTTTCACCTCTGCAATGCAAGATTCCTCTCGAACGCCTGATGAGCTTGCAATGAAGACCGTGAGGCCCACAGCGAATCATCAGCCTCTCTTATCAGTTGGGTCATTGGTGGAGGTCAATTGCGAAGCAATGTACCGTGATCAATGGTACATACCATGTCAACTGACGGTCTACGGTGCCAACAGCAATGCGATCACCCGAAGAGGCTCATTCCCAGTAAGTGTTGGACAGGCCTCCGGCGGAACGCGCGCGTGGCGCTGCATGCACGTGACGAGACAATGTATAACCTCCTGTAGAGCGACTTTACAAGAGAGGGGATGGTGAACAGACACTCGTAAATCCACTCCGTTTGCCAGTTTCCGCCCGCGCCTCGGTGCTGGCCGGGCTTGTTCTTTCTCGCTGGACGCTTGGGGCAGCAGGGAGGACGAGCGATTCTCTCCCTTGCGAAGAAGCTCATGATCATCGTCACTGACGAATGGGACTCCATGATCCTCACCTATAGATGCAAGTCATCCAACAAACAAATCAGCGGTTCGTGATCATGCTCGCCCGTGCTGCTAGGCCCGCTTTCACCGCCCTCGCCGCGGCCTCCTTGCCAGCGGTGAGGACCGCAGGCTTCCACTCCTCGGGCGCCCAGCTGGCTACCCTGAGGGAGTTGGAGCAGCGTGTCAAATCGGTCCGCAACATCGAGAAGATCACCAAGGTGAGAGAATGACTGCTTCGAGAGGTCTGCGGACTGCCCTTCTGCAATATATGGAGGCGAAAATGCTAATGTTTGTCATTTGGCGCTACCGCCTCCCATGTGTGCATCGGTGAACAGTCGATGAAGATGATTGCAGCCACCAAGCTCAACAAGGCCCAGCGCGCCATGGCTGCTGCGAAGGCGTACGGCGAGGCCAACAACGGTGAGTGCTGGATATTCCATGGATCCAGAAGATGCAAGGCGGATGCCTGGTACTGCCGACCAAGTGTTCATGGGCAGAAGTCCGCTGGAAAGCAGATGGCATCGTTTCCATAGCGTCGCACAGACATTTATATCTGGCTTTGGATGCAGCCCCCTGACCACGTTTCTTTCTCTCCTGTCAAATAGAGGTCTTCAAGAACTCAGAAGCTGTTGCTCCGGAAGGCGGCCGTGAGCTCTTCATTGTTGTTTCGTCGGACAAGGGTCTCTGCGGAGGTATCCACTCGTCCGTCTCGAAGCGCGCGAAGATCGAGTTCGCCAAGGTCTCGCCTTCCGCTGGTGATGCGCACTCTTCCGACGGCCCTTCAATCGTTGTGCTGGGTGACAAGCCCAAGGCGCAGCTCGGTCGTGCTATGCCCAACAACCTCGCCCTCTCCTTCAACCAGATTGGCAAGGATGTTCCGACCTTTTCCGATGCTGCTGCCATTGCCGACCTGATCTTTAAGTCGGGCCTTGAGTTTGACAAGATCAGCATCATCTACAACGCCTACATCTCCGCCATCGCGTTCGAGTCGCACATCATGGAGGCGTACAGCGAGCAGGCGCTTCGCAACGCACCCAGCTTTGCCGCTTACGAGCAGGAGGAAGACACGACCAAGGACCTGGCTGAGTTCTCCCTCGCCAACGCCATCTTTGCCGCACTCGTCGAGGGCCACGCTTCGGAGATCAACTCGAGGCGTAATGCTATGGACAATGCTTCGAAGAATGCCGGAGAGATGATCCAGAAGCTGTCGATGGAGTACAACCGAGGCAGGCAGGCGGCGATCACCAACGAGCTCGTCGACATTGTCACTGGTGCATCGGCGGTCTAAAAGGGGCATTCATTCGCCCGAGCTTCAGTGACTGTTAGAGCATGTATTTGGATCCAACGAAACATGCATTGAAACCCAGATTCAGAGGGTGATAGGCTACCTTCAGGGCCTGGTTGCGACCGAGGGATGAAGTTCCATAGGATTCAGAGAAACGGTCTGAGCTGGCAGGAAAGATCGCAGCAGTCTTCCTGAATCAAGCCCTGGTCAACAGGCCGAAATAATAGCTAAATGTGGCGCCCTTTAGGACGATTGAGACGAAGAATGTTCGCAACTAATTTGTCCTTCCTGGGCACGGAGGTCAGACTGTGCACGCAATCGAAGCTCCTCCATAGCGAATAGTATAAGATCGTGCACAGGCTGACACACAACTATCTTTTAAACATGCATATGAGTCGGGTGGAGATATGATACAGTGATGGCAGGCGGCCGTCTACAGAATTATGCGTGCATGGCTCCATGCGATGAGCGTCAATATTTCAGTCTCTTTCGAGGTCTATTGGATCAGGAGAAAGAATCCATCAGCCAGCTGAATCCCGAAAAGACGCAGCTACGCAGGTGACAATGACATACTGATGTTGTTCCCAAACTTGGCGTACAATTCGACTTTTAGTTTCTTCATCTCCTCGTTACAAGAGTCGGCTGCTGAGCCGAGCTGTTCGATCTCTTCCTCGACCTTCTTGTTGTCCCTCTCCAGCATCTCTAGCGCCTGTGCTTGAGGCACATGTACGAATGTTGATCCGATCTTGTACAGAACCTTGTCGTCCTCGTCGACCAGCTCGAACTCCATAGCCAGATCATCCAGCGCCTCCTTTTCGTCCCGCTTCAGCTTCAGGTCATACTCGACATCTTGCAGCTTGGAGATCGTGCGGGAGAATTTGTTGATGCGCTGCTGATCTGCCCAAGAGACTGATACATCATTATCGTCGGCTTCATTGAGCTGGGAGGCAATGAGAGTCAGCGAGGGACAGATTCAAAAGCACGGGAGGCGATGAGGCGGGAAAGACAACGCATTAGCTTCTGAAACAACCTCCATCGAAACTGAACTTGAAGTCGTACGCACCATGCGCATTTTCGCAACCTTCCATGGGATGTTGCTGCCTGAAACGCAGGGGCCCCACTTATTGCTTCGCCTGAGATTCCAGCATATGAAGCTGTGTCCCAGCAACCCACGAAGTGTTAAAACAAACGACCGAGGTGGACAGATGAAGATGACTTTGACTGATGGGCGGTGAGCGGTGAGAGACCCGAACCGTGCGCGCATTACTCTCGAAGCAGGAGATGACTCTTCCAGCGCGTCCAGCGTGTGTGTCACAGGTGGGTAATCTGCTGCGCTGTCCTTCAGGAGGCGGCGTTGTCTGTATATGTCTTGTTGCACCTTACGCATACTGTGATGGGCTGCTTCCAGACTAGCATGGAGGAGAGGTCCACAGAAGACGAGCTCATCCGTAACACCAACCCGCCAGCCAGCTCGCTGTGAGAAGGTGTTTCAAGATGCGATTCCTGCGAGTGCCTGCTGCCGCTGCAGCGCTCGTCGCCGCAACCTCTTGTGCGCTTGCATCAGCAGCCAGCGATGAGCAACCGCCAGCAAAGGCCCACCTGTACCTCTACCCAGCCTCACCATCGGCTGCTTCTTCAGTATCTGTCTCGCCTGCAGACGCGAACCGCGTACTTTCGTACCACCTCGATGTACCGGGCGAGCGCCTGGGCCTGGTGCTGAATGAGGGAAAGGACCGCGATGTGTGGAGCTGGATGAAGGACGCCTTTGGGCAGGAACGCCAGGCAGCTGGAGACTTGGCAGATATGCTGCAGGACAGCAAACATAGGATGGTCGTCTATGTCGATGGCATCGAAAATCCAGAGAGTGAGAATCCCGATGTGTGCTTTCGTACCGCTTCAACAGATGAAGCTGACCTTCTTCGCGTCATTCCCGTGGCAGACATGCTTGTCGGCCAAAACAGCTTGCAACAAACGCACCTAGTCTCCTCTTCGCCGTCTTCTCAATCCTGGAACGCCCTGCTCTCATCCTACATCCACCGGATTCCACAAGCAGGCGCCAGGTCTGCCGCTGCAGGCGGTCTGCTCGGCAGCAAGACCCTTGACACTCTCCCCTCGGCCGGCCACGATGCTGCGGAAAATGTCATAAAGTCGCTCACTATGATCGAGTTGAACCCGAGCGCCGCCATACAGGTCTTCAATGTAGAGCTTAACCGCTTTATAGCGGTGTTTGAGAAACTGAGTCACGGTGGCATGGCCAACATCGAGCAAAAGCCTGCATTCCAGGCCTGGCGTTTCTCCAGCTTACCCGCCCTCAAAGCCACGTACGGAGCGGACAGCGAACAGTACCAGTCTGCCGTACAAGCCGTCGGTGCTGCTATCAAGAGTGCCACCGAGAAATTGAAGAAGTACGCGAGCGACGCCAGCCAGGAGCTCCGGATGGCCGTCATCGTCTCCTCCGATGCGAGTTCGTTAGAAGTTGGTGCAGAGGATTCGGTCGTCAAAAAGCGTGAAGTCCAATATCTTCTCGCACCCTTCTCTACTGCTTCGAAGCGACAACACTTGTTGCAGCAAGACGTATACCACGCTGCAGCATCCTCACCCGCTTCGTCACCATACGTTCCACGCGGTTCGGCAGCCACGCTGACCACCTCCACACGCAGTCCAAACGAGGCAGACTACGCGGGCAAGTGCTTCCCAAACAAGTCCGATCTCTTTAAGGCTACGGCCGAATGCAGCGGCCGCGGCGATGCAGTCGAGAGGAACTTTGCAGGGCGCAAGTGCTACCGATGCGTGTGCAGGGTAATCCGAACGGACACGAGCGTGACTTACTGGGTGAGAGCATGTGCAAGTAATGGAGCCTTTTTGAATTGCACAATGTTAACGACTTCCCATTTCCCTTTACTTTCTTCCACAAGGCTGGAGAAGCATGCCAGAAAATCGACGTGTCGAGCCCGCTCATCCTTCTCGCATCCACCACCGTCGTCCTCCTTTTGCTCGTTGCTGGCAGCATCACCTACCTTTTCAGCGAGGGTAACCAAAAGCTTCCCGGGACGCTCGCCAGCATTTCACTGCCTAATATGAAGCTTTGAGATGGAAAGCGATTGTGTCCGTTCATGCTTCTGAGCTTTGTACATGAAATGACAGCAGCGGTGTCTCATGCGCTTGTTTGTTACGACTGAGCAATTGATAAAGCATGATACATTGTTGCGCCTCCGCTGGCGTCCACTATCTAAAATACAGAGTCATGTCGAATATAAGCTAGACAACTGCAATGGATGGTGTAGGAGCAATCAAGTCAAGTTGTGCCGAAATGGTTAGCTGCTAGCCACCATGACCCTCTCCTCGAACTGCTTCTCTTCAATGTCAGTCAGCGCAGGCGGCAGATTTGGCGGCCTGGGCACGTGAGAGTCAACTTGAATGCTGTTATTCTGCTGGCCCTTCTTCGACCTGGCGTTACTGCTGTCTGTCCCGCTCGCCTCTTGATCTCCTTCATCAGTCGTGGAAAACGCAACCGCAATAGCAGCCTGCTGCGCCAGCGATGGCGTAGGCGGCGCGTCTAGGTTGGGACTCATGTCCGGCGTTGCAGGAGCAGTCGATGATCGCGAGCGCGGACGCGGGCCGAGGCGTGGGCTAAATGACAGCTCGGACGTCCATGATGGCTGGAATGGCGGCAGGGTCGACTTTAATTTCAGGTGCAGATTGCTACTCTGGCTCATGCTGGACTCGCTCGGCTGTCTTTGCCGCGAAGAAGACATCGAGGGCGAGGGTGGCACCGCTGAGGCTGCGAATGCTGGTGAGAACGGCTCGTGTGTGCCTGTTGGCATCGCGGATGTGATGGTAAGTCCCGAAGGTAGACGCCCATCATCGAGGTTAGCTCCAAGCATGTTGTAGGGCTGAATGGGGCTGTTTTCTGCTTGAACGCCGCCGGTGGACTCTCGCTCAGGCCCTTGTTCATGCTCTTGCATTTGATCCTGCGGGAGTTTGGCCCGGCCCTGCCCTTTCTTCTTCGAGTAGAACACTTCCTCGAAAGGGTCGATCTTGGTCTGGGCAGCGAGCCTTTCCAGCTCCTCGGGAGTGGTGAACTTGCGCGCATACACCTCTCGGCGCATCCGCAAGATCGGATAAGTCGTCGCTACGACGAGCATTGGATCGGGACACGAGTCGACGATTTCCAGTCGAAATTTCGCGTTGGTTGCTTTTTTTTGCGTAGAAGTGAGTTAAGGGTGGGGAACAGAGAAGATCCAGGACGAGCCATTAGTATGGAAGTGATGGGACGTGTCAGAAAGCGGATGGGTGACTCACACATCATCAATGTCGCCATGGTAGTCTTGCGCCCATCCGTGTGGTACCTTCGTAGGATGTACGACTCGTGCAACGTCCCCTTCCAAACCCACTCTTCACTGGCGCTACCAGCGGCACCATCGATTCCAGTTGCCACTCTTACCACTGGCCTGGGCACGAAACTGAATTTGTTCTTGCCGCCGCCAACGCTGGAGAGGCCCAAACTGCTCAGCAGACCTTTCGAATGACGCACTAGCATGCAGCGACCCTCGCTCCCGTCGAATGGATCGCGCTCGACGACTTCGTACAGGTGCTTGAACGTCGATAGCGTCGTGCCTCCCTGCGAGTCCGAATCGGCTCGCGCCTTCGACTTCGACCTGAATCGGGCGCTCGTGGATGAAGTCTGCGGGCGAGCCCCACCCAGCGAGCTCCCCGGCACAGAAGCTCGCTTGCGGACCGTGTGGGTGACGCTGCCTGCGGAGCCGACGACCATGCGAGCAGATGGAGGTGCATTGGTGGTGCTGTTTGTTGTTGGGCAGGGCCGCCGTCCATTGGGCGTCGCTGCAGGGTAGATGGATCCCGATAAGGAAGGAGATGCCTGCGGCTGCACCAGCTGCTGTTCCGGGTGAACGAGATCGACACTCCACTCCCACATGAGGTCTTCATGACGCGCTATCGTGGTGGCGCCTGCGTTGGCCGTGCGGTATTGCGATGAAGTGGAGCATGTCGCGTAAAGCTCATCTCCATTTCCGCTTCTATTTGTGTTCTTCACGAGCGAGTCATGCCACTGCGCTCCACTAATGCCCGCCGAAGGCAAGAAGGCCAACAGCGCCGACTGGTCCGGATTGCGAGATTGGGCGTCTCTATTGGTAAACGCCTGTGACTGAGAAGAGTGAGAAGTCACACTAGCCTTTCGACCAAGGGTGACGGTGGAAGCAAACTGTGACTGTGAATACTGTTGGCGGTGCAAGGACGGTGAAGCAACCGAGACAGTGCTGGCTCGCGCCTTGGTGGATACTCGGCGCATGCGTTCTCCAGCACCGCTGCTGTCCTGACCACTGCGTTGGCCCCCTTGTCCGTGTGCAGAAGAGTAAGAAGGTGAGCTGCTGTCGCCATCGCCAGCGCTTCCGGTTCCATGATCGAGCGCGTAGGTTTGGGCTCGGCTCGGCGCCTGGGACTCGAGAATTTCCAAGCTCTCCCTCTCTCTGCTCGATGGTGTATCTTGATCCTGCTGTCCGTGCGTCCGATCAGCATGTCGAGCGGCCGGTGAGCCGGACAGGACCAGTGGCACCCTGGCTGTGCTGGCGCCCGCGCTGCTTTTTGAGTCAGTGGACAGCGCTAGTGTGGAGGAGGATCCGAAGCTGGAGGCGGGGTGAAGGGAGTGCGAAGCGTAGGCGCTGCCCACACTCCGGTTGAAGATCTTGGGATGCCAGATCCGGAAAGTCCATTCAGCGTCGCGGAGGAGTGAGTTACCAGAAGGCGCATTGGACGAGCCGGCATCGATCTCCAGGGTGACTGGTGGCCCTGGGACCGTCATCTTGGGGAGCCTGCGAGGCGAAAATGTGAGGCAGGATGGGCTCGTACCTTCCTCCGATGCTGGTCGATCGATGCAGCGAGGATGGATGGGCGAGTTACGACGAAAGCAGCCCCACTCGAATACAAAGGCGATGGTGTGACAAAAGGACGTAGAGATGATCTGTAATCGCGCACTGCGCACGGCAAGTAAGAATACTGCACAAGTGTAGCAGTTCCAACACATCGACTGACGGGAAGGAGAATTGACTATATTGCGGGCAAGAATAACTAGAGATCAGTCAGTCAGTCGATGAGCACACAATGAAGAGTGCCATACAAAAGCGGTTCAGACGGACTGGGTATCTCAATTCCGGGCATTCTCCGTTTCCGTGTTTGAATTTCGGGGATGCTCTAAAACTATTGCAGCGCTGAGTCCCAAATTTTGACGCCCTGTGCAGGCAGAGGTCATGCTGTGGCGCTGCGCCTGACCCGTCCTTGCGTCCCAATATCTGAACCTCTGCGGTTTCCGGGGACGCAGGTGGGCAGCGGGTCACACCAACGCACCGCTCACCAGAGGCTGATGACACTACTCTCGTCCACCCACCCAGCAGCACTGACCGTGGACATACGCAGACAGGCACGTGGTGTGAAAGTGAAACTCACAGGTCCCAAAGCGTGACCACTTGCCACGGCGCAATTATTTGCTGTAAAAAACCTGGATATTCCCCCGTGCCTCCAGCCGCCTCTAGGATCACTGTCGGGCAGATCTCGCCAGGGTTAATTGCGGCTGCATGTAGCGTGGCTGCAAGTCAAAACTCAGATACCCACACAGCGCGCCGGGTGAAATCCAAGCTCCAACACTGGTGGGCCTTTGCGAACAATGGGCCAAAAGGAAAAGCTCCGCACACACACGCACACTGCAATGCGCTATCGGCTGAGAACCCATATCTTATCTCCGCTACGCACAGGCTTGGTGATCACCCAACTCTCCTCCCCCATTGTACGTATTCGGTCCTTCCCATCACCCATCGTTGCTACACTCGAGCCGCGCGCGAGGACCCCGCGTTGCGATGTAAAAGGTAGGACACACCGCCACAGAGAGAAACAAGTAACGACTGGGATAGCCTCCGAGGACATCGCAAAGTGGGCCGTCAGCTGCCTCCTGTCCGCGTCGGCGCTCGGCAAGTATGCCGCCTAAACGTGCGACCATGCTCATCGAGTGAGTCCGAACCCTCGCCCCTGTGCCTCCCAGCTCCCACCGGGACCGGAGCGTGACTACATCTGAGCAAACAGCTCCTCTGGTATTGATCATTTTCGTCCCATGTTTCTCTCTGGCCGTTCCACGGCAAAGCATACATACGCACATCTACACACCGCGCCTTGTGTCCCTTCTTCGCGCGCGCACCACGAACCCGCGCATCTACACGCCGTTGCAGACATCATCTGATTACAGCGCCAATGCGGCAGCACCAGCAGTTCCCTCCGAAATGCTCGCCATCCTCCCCGAAGAGCCCGCCGGTGGCGGAAGACCCGTAGGCCCGCAGTACTGGTCGCGCGCGAGCAAACTCGCGTTCATGGATCGACACCGGATCGACGCGAGCGTTGTCAGTGTGGCAAATCCGTGGCTGGACTGGATGATGGACGATCATCTCCACGCTGTTTCTTCTTCCAACTCTGCTGCTGATACCGTCCGCGGTTACACGGATCAGGCATGGGAAGAGGGCGTGCGGGATATCATCAAAGTCGCCAAGGAGGCCAACGAGGATCTGGTCAGCTTCTGTCTCGGAGACTCGCCATCTACTACCCCTGAGTCGCCACAGTCGCAGGCGCCGAGCTCATCCTCGGACTCGGTGGGAATTACCATCTCGCCAGGGGTTGCAAAGCCCAAATTTACGCCCGCACTGCCGCAGAATCAGCGCCTGCGTGCATTCGGCATCCTCCCCTTTGCGCAAGGCGTACCCGTGGAAGCGCTTTTGCAAGTCGTCGATCAGATCGCTTCCTACTCCTACTCCTCCTCCTCCTTCTCTACTGAGCACACCAAGGGCAGAGTTCTCTGCGGCGCGATCCTCGGCACACGCGGCCTGGGTGCAGGCCTGGACGACCCGCAACTCGAGCCATTCTGGTCACGTGTCGAAGCGAGTGGGTTGACGCTATTCTTGCACCCTCACTATGGAATCGGAGGCTCGGGGAAAAATGCAATTGACTCGCCAGACGGCTTATTCGGTGGCATGCGGAAAGACGCCAACGGACACATCCTGCCGCTTGCGCTTGGCTTCCCGTATGAGACTGCTGCGGTGTGTATGGCTCCCTCGCTCTTACCTTCTGGCGCTTCGAGACCGATTTGCTCACGTTCTCAGCGCTCCTAATTTGCTCTTCCAGGCGACAGCCCGACTGATCCTGGCCGGCATTTTGGACCGGTATCCAAATCTGCGCATCCTCCTGGCACACTCGGGCGGCGCGCTGCCGCTGCTCTCGTCACGGCTCGCGTCTTGCATAACGCATGAGTCGTCCCAGTCGCCTGCCCGGCAGCGCCTGCAACACGACGCGCGCTACTACCTCGGCAAGCTGTTCTACGATGCAGTCGCGTACGGACCCGAGGAGCTGTATGCCGCCGCGAGCATCGTCGGCCGCGCGGAGCGCTACCGACGCGGTGGGTCCGGCGTAGGCGGCACGCCGCGGAGCATCGAGAAGGCAGCGCAAGAGGCGCGGGAAGGTAGCAGGCGCTTCGTATTCGGCACTGACCACCCCTTCTTCCCGCCGGTCGAAGAGGAGCACACGGAAATGAGCGACGAGCAGATATTGTGGCGAAGCGTAACGGAAAACCTGGCCAGTCTCGCGGCTGTGCCCGGCTGGGGTGAGGCAGAGCGTGAGGGTGTGATGAGCGAGAATGCCAGGCGCATCCTTGGTCTCGACATATAGGTGCTTTCTGTAGCCAGTGCACTAGTTGCGCTTTGCCTAATAGATAATTATTTCAAAAGGCAACACCACTCTTGTCGCGTAGAAGACGGACTTTCCCGCCAAGACGAGGAGACGGATGAGCCAAACAGCCATCGCTGACACACGTTGAAATGAGTATGCAATATGCATGCAATGCGCTCGTACAAATACAATTGACGGCAAGACGACCGAATGTGCGAAGATAGGTCCCTCTATGTGTGGCGCTACGCGACCGCAAGCACCGTGATGCACGCAACGAGGCCGTCCCTGACGCTAACTTCGAGCACAACGCCGGGGTGCCCGTGCAGGCTGCTCGAGACGTCGAGCTGCAGCAACTCTTTGAACTCGACCGCGTCAGACGAGCGGTCAAGTAGCATCGTTTCGCGGTGCTCATGCTGCGCCGACACAATCGGTTGCACGGGCAAGGCGCCAGACGCGACGAGCGCCTCGTACGGGCGCAGAAAGTCCGGCTGCGGGCCCGCGTTCGTTTCCATGTCCACATCTGCGTCTCCACCATCTGCCGCATGACTAGATGGCATGCGGGAACCGGGCCGCGCAAGATGCCATGGCAAGCGCTGGTAGCGCCCGAATAGCGCGTGCCCGGGAGTGTTGCTGTGGCATATTATCTTGCTCAGCACAGGTCCTTCCTGCTGTCCATCCTCATCTCCGTCTCTGGCATCTCGGTTGCTACAAGCGACGGGTAAACTTCTGTTTGAGTACTCGAATAGCAGATCGAAGCCAAGAGAGAAGTAGTTGAAGAAGAAGGGCTGCGGCCCACGCTGGGCTTCGCCCAAGCCATTCGCTTCATCATCTCCATCGTCATCGTCGTCGCCATCCCCATCATCTTCGTCGTCGCCATGAGCGTGAGCACGGCCATTCAACATGGTGTCGCCTCCTGCTCTTCCGGACGCACCAACCCCACCGCTAGCGCTGCGCTGCGACCAGGTGCTCCTCCACGACGAGTGGGGCACTGGATGCTGCTGGTGCTGGTGGATGCCCATGCGTTCGTCCTCCTTCCAGCAGCGCGCCTCGGGACTACCGAGCTCGCACAGCACGTCCTGGACGGTCGTGCGGCCGAGGGCGAGTGTAACTACCTGGTGATCCTGCTTTGTCCTGCCTGCTACGTCGCTACCACGGCCAGAGGGAGAGGGGGAGAGCGAGGCAGAAGGAGCGGTACCTCTTCGTCGCTCAGGCCTGCTCGTTGCATTTGAGGAAGAGGCAGCAGCGGAAACCGCGCAAAGTTGCAAGCGCACACCCTCACCGGGGAACACGGTAGCGGAGTCGACAAATACTTGTTCGTCGAGCATGTATGCAAAAGCGCCGCCGTCAGCATCAAAGCTGCTGCTACCACGCGAGGAGCGCGCGCGAGACGCATCTGTAGCGGCGATGCGGTCGTCGCGTGGCATAGGCCACGAGAGAGCCACAGGCTGTTCATCACCGCCATCGGCTACTGCAGCAACAGGAGCAGCATGCGGCGCCTTGCCGCTGAAAATGTACAGCGTTGACGCGGCGACATGGCGGTTAGGACCGGTCAGCTTACCCTCGCCGTTCTCGTCGGCGGCGGAGGCGGCAAGCATTGGGAACGAAAATGCGACGCCTGGGTACGACAGGACAAACTCTTTTGCGCCAGCAGCTGCAGTGCCAACCGCCTGTTCTAACGACTTCGATGGAGTAGCGTGACCGCTGATCGCACGCGGCAGCGAGCCGCCGCTGGTGCCGCGCTTTTTGTTTGTCGAGTCGCTGGAAGCTGCTACCGCTTCGTCGGCCGTTCCGTCACCGCGCTCCCGCTCCTGACCTGGATAAGTGGGCCCAAAGATCTGATGGATGGCAGAGCGCGTCAATAGTGGCGTGCCCGCTTGCGATGCGGCGGTGCTGGTGCTGCTTGAGCTGTAAATGTGCCTTCCGCGATAGACGATGCTAAACGGCCGCTGCCACGCTTCCCTGCCCTGCTTGCCTTTTCGCGCTTGCACACTTGCACCCTCATGATCATTCTTCAAGGTGGGGTCTCCAAAATGAGGTAGGTCATCGAGGGTAATGGTCTGCAAGCGCTGGTACCGGGCATCAAAGGCGAGGTGGAGATGATCCGATGCAGAGACGACGATCGGTTTCGCGACGGCGGCGCTGCTCGTCACGCCAGTAGTTTGGCCAGTCCGAGAGAAACTGCTGCTGCCGGAACACTGCGGTGCTCCCTGTGATGACGATGCATCCCAGAGGATCTTGATGCTGGGATACGTGTCGTGGTTCGCGCGCAGATAGTTGATCGTGCGCCAGAAGGACGCGCCTGCGCAGGAGATTTTCAATGTATCCTCGTGTTAGTTCATCATGGCTAGCCACAGTCAGACGGGGAGGGAAGCACCCAAGATGACGTCTGTGCAAGATGCAACAGGAAACTACAGCCAGAGGAGAGGAATGGGAAAAGGCAGCCGGCTCACCGAGGGAAAAGGGACCGAGGCGGACACCGGGGAGCAAGTCAAGCGTCGTTGACCTGGGTCCGGCGGCCCGATGTTGCAGCTGCTGTTGATGCTCTGCCATTATGATTCATTCCCTTGGGTTGGCTGTGCTATCTTTCTCTCACTCACTCCCCTCCTCGCGTGAAGATGCAGGTAGCTGAGCGGCCCAGAGTGCTTTTGCCAGCTATGCATACCTGTATGTGCGCAAAACAAGCGCCTCTCGCTCTGGCCGAGCAGCGCCGAGTCCACTCTGCACTTCCCTGCGCTTCTCTCTGCTATGCAATCAGTACTGCACACTAATGAAGCATGAACTGAGCTGGAAGCGATCCCCTGTTTGCCTGGATGGTGATGACCTGGACGAGATAGATGTCTCTCCAACGGCAACGAGCCCCAAGTGTCATCGGCCACCGGCCACGTCCATTGCCCATGGCCGGTCGCCGAACCAGGGCACGTGGGGGAGAGGGCACTGCAGCAGTCTCCCCTGCCCGCCCGCCTGCCTGACTACAGCCGGGCTGGCGGGCGGGACCTCATCCATCCCCATCTAAAGCCAAGGGAACGTACCAGCTGCTCATCCTCCTCTTGTCAGAACACCTGCGCTTTATAGAGGGCCGCACTGGGAGAGGTACGCAAGACAAGGAGTGGCAAGTGGCAACGACACTGGACAGGAGAGTGGTCTGCCGTCAGGGAGAGCGCATATAAAAGCACCGCCCACTCCCCATTGCCCCTTCCCGTGTCGTCTCTATCCCCGTCGCTGTCGCCTCGTTCCTTCCTCGCTCTCCTGCTGTTGCACCGGTTCTTCGTAGCACTCAACCTCTCCGTTTATCGCAGCGCGTGGAAAAGTTTACTCTTTCCATAGGCGTCAAAGACATCAGAGAAGCAGAAGAGGATAAAGAAATATGACCGCCAACGCAGCCACGTCGAAGGCGGTGAGCGTAGCCGCATCCGCTGCGACAGCGCCCAAGGGAAAGGCCCAGGCACTCGAAATCGGAATGATCAAACTCGTCCTCTCCCAAATCATCACTTTCGAGAATGGTGCGTGCCGTGGAACAAGCCGTCGAGCTTGGCGCTCCTCACTGAATGCTGAATGCTGACATCAAACCTGCCGTGCAGCCAAGACATTCATCTTCTACCTCGTCGTGTGGCGCTACCTCTCGCGACTGCTACGGCACGTCAAGGTTTTTGGCGTGACGAAGAGCGTATACCAGCTGTACACTGCTCTCTCTAGGGTGAGCCTTGCCCTCGAAGCGGCCGCCACCGCTTGTGTTAGACGGCCCAAACTCACCCACCCTTCTCTCTCGCTATTTCTGCCTCATAGCGCATCCTCACGCTCGTCCTGCGCATCCCCGCCGCGCGCCGCAAGGTCGAGCGCGAGCTGAAGCAAGCCGAGGTGGACATTGACCGCAAACTGGTCGTACGGCCCGCTCACATTAGCATCAACAGCCAGCTGCCCATGAACGGCAAGGACGTCGAGTGGCTGCGTACCGAGTTGCGCAAACTGCAGAAGCTCGAGATCTCCGCTTCATCTGGTGCTACCGGGAGCAAGGAAGGCATAGCTTCCGCGATCATCGCGGACGACAGCAGCTGGCAGGATGTCGATGGCCAGTCGGTTTGGCAGGGCGGCAAGATCAGCGGCGCCGTCTACCACGGCGGGCAGGACCTGAGCGACCTGCTAGCGGACGCGATCCGGATGTTCATGGTGAGCAACCCGCTGCACCCAGACGTCTTTCCCGGCGTGCGAAAGATGGAGGCGGAGATCGTGTCGATGTGCCTGCGCATGTACAACGCCCCGTCCGACACAGGCGTCGGCGCAACCACGTCTGGCGGGACTGAGTCGATCCTGATGGCGTGCAAGGCGATGCGCGACTGGGGGCGTAGCGTCAAGGGCATCACCGAGCCGGAGATCGTCATTCCCACCTCGGCGCACGCGGCGTTCGACAAGGCAGGCGCGTACTTTGGCATCAAGATCATCCACATGCCCGTCAACCGCATCTCGCGCAGAGTTCAGATCAGCAGCGTCGCGCGCGCCATCACCCGCAACACGATCCTCCTCGTCGGCTCCGCTCCCAATTTCCCCGACGGTATCATCGACGACATTCCTGCGCTCGCGGTGCTCGCCAAGCGACACAACATCGGCTGCCACGTCGACTGCTGCCTCGGGAGCTTCCTCGTTCCTTTCCTCGAGCGCGCCGGCCTGCCCTCCGAGCCATTTGACTTCCGCATCGACGGCGTCACCAGCATCAGCTGCGACACGCACAAGTACGGGTTTGCGCCGAAAGGTAAGCCTTGCATTATTTACGCTCGACCGGCCACCCGCACATGTGCTAAAGAATGACTGCTCCTTCCAGGCTCTTCCGTAATCATGTACCGCTCCGCCAACTTGCGGAGGTACCAGTACTATGTGCAGCCCGACTGGCCGGGGGGCGTGTACGCCTCGCCGACGATCGCCGGCTCACGCCCTGGCGCACTAATCGCGGGGGCGTGGGCCGCGATGATGACAATGGGCGAAGACGGGTACACGGGTAGTTGCAAGCAGATCGTCGGCGCAGCACGCCAGATTGAAAAGGCCATTCGGGACGAGATACCGCAGCTGCAGGTGCTTGGGAAGCCGCTTGTCAGCATCGTCGCCTTCGCCAGCGCTGGAAGCGTCAACATTTACGACGTCGGCGATGCGATGAGCAAGAAAGGGTACGTCCACGCCTCCTCCTTATCACTACCACTTCCCTACTGACCTGCTGTTCCGCTGCGCCCCTTTGTCTCCTCGGCTGATGATAGGTGGCACCTCAATGCGCTCGCGACCGATCCGCCAGGCATTCACATCGCATGCACGCGCCTCACCGTGCCGGTCGTCGAGGACTTTATCACCGACCTCAAAAAATCCGTCGCCGAGTCCAAAACCAAGCCGGCCAAGCAGGGCACGATGGCGAGCCTCTATGGTCTCGGCTCCAGCAGCGCCGTTGGGCCGTCGCTCGTGTCCGAAGTCGCTGTTCGTTTCATCGATACCTTGTATAAGATGTAGATAATATTGCCGGGTCATTTTCGCGTACCTTCCTTTTTTCGTAGGGAAACAGACGCTGTCTTGTGCACCATTGGCCTTTTGTACATTACTCCCGGTGACACGCATCTGTATAATACAAAGACAAAAATGTCCACACCGCATTTTCGCGGGTTGCATGCAGCAAGACAAATGCAGACAAGTACAGCGTCAACCCAAGCAAGGTAGAAAGTTGCCAACAATAAGGCATGGCAAGTCAAAGACATCGCGCTTGATCGAGAAGCACGCTGCACATTTGATGGGCTTGCCCTCGGCAGAAATGACGTTGCAGGTGGTCATGACTGACTGCGACGTATTCTCGAACGCATGAAGCGCGAATTTTTCCCAATATTCCAGCGTCGAATTCGAATCCAGGAACTGCATTACGACGTTGTAAGCTTTAGGTCCTCAAGATTTGGGATCCTGAGCTCACTTAAGAAGTCGGCTTACCTGGTAAATGTACTTTCCGAGCAAGTCGTCTCTGCTCCACTGCGTTAGCATAGAGAATTCTGCACCCACAACGCAAATTTCGCACGTCCGACGCCAGACGACAGTCGGAGTGCCAGAGAAAGAAATGAGCTTTTCAAATTCCTGTCCGGGCAACGTTGTCAACAACAATCAAACTGGCGGGAAGACGCAAAGGGCAGGTGAAAAGCAGCACTCACAAGTATGGTTCGTTGGATGCTTCGTTCCACGAACGTCTCGTCGTCCTCAGCCATGGGCATTTGTAGGGCGATCAACGAGGGTCTAAAAATGGCCAGCGCTCGGACAATTCGAAGCACCTCTGCTTTTTGGAAGCTGAAGAAGTATTGCCTCCTAGTCAGTGTCAAGATCATTCTGGAATGGGCGCGCAAGAGTCGGTACCACTCACTTTTCCGTGGCAAATTTGAGAAGAAAGTGGTAGCCCTCGGTGTAAGGGAAAGGCTTGATATCGTCTTTGTAAATTTTTGTAATCCTCTGCCTCCAATGCTGATCAACAGCTGTGACCTGTGGTCGCTGTTCAGCATCTTTCCGCTGACCAGTATCTGCGCTGGCCTTGGGGTTGACGGAAGCATTCTCTGCGGCAGTGTCGTTCGTGGATGAATCTTGCTCGCGGTCCTCTTCGTTCGGCTTGATGCTCCCACTTGCATGCGCAGGCGGCGTCTCCTTTGCTTTTCCAGTATCAGGCGATGGTACCTCGAGCGCTTGGTAGCCGCCTCCTGGCCCCAGAGGATTCTGCGCAGCATGCAGCTTGACAGCCTCGCCTGTCTCCACCCTCGCGGCCGTGCTCTCGCTGCCGGCCGCAAATGGCTGCGACATAATTACCGCATCTGGAGCCGCAGCGCCGCTGCCGTTGCCGTTGCCGCTGCTGTAGGATGCAGAAACATTTGGCGCTCCGACCACGGTGGGTACAGCAGCTGCATCGGCTGGTAAAAAGTTTTGATAGCTGCCCATGGGAGCTGTCAAGTGCGGGCTGCCGTAGTCGATGCCCATATGTGGCGCTGCACTCGATGTCCTGGCTCCGTTGGCTGCGCTGCTGCTGCCATCCCCAGTCGGGTTGCCATTCGTTTCAAGTGGGGGGGTGGTGCCCGAGGAGAGCAGCGATGGGTCGATGCCGTTCAACATGAAAGACAGCATGATATACTCGAGCGCGCTGGACTCTGCGCCGAATGGGACTTCCGATAGGCCGGAAAGGACTCCTGGCGTCGCAGCCATCGCGGAAGGCCCTACGCTTGGAAATGCCTCGACCTTTTTCATGGCACTGGGAGGCATTCCTGCATTGAAGGTGGAAGAGAATCCTGTAGAACAGGCTGCAAGATCCAGGGCCGGTCTTCCGGCCATCATGGCCGCAGCTGCATTTGTGGGATCGTCAAAGGAAAGTATTGATGGGTCCAGACCGGTACTCGTGCGGGGATGTCGAATTGAAACATCCGCACCGTCGTTTGTTGGCACTGCACCCTCCGCGCCTGTTTCCCAGGATGTGGAAGGAAATTGAAGCACACTTTTCCCGTTCGCTCCACTTAAAGTTTCCAGCTCTTTCTTTTCGCCAGACGCACTCGAGATGCTTTTTCCGCCTTTGCCGCTTCTCCCTGCAGAATGTTCGTTTCGCTGTCGTAGAGCCTCCTGTTTGTCCAGCTCGTCGTCTTCTAGCAGGTACTTGGCCTTCTTTCGCGTACCATCATGACAAGTGTCCGCCAGGCCTTTCTTTATGCAACGCTGACATGGTCGAGCTGCTCACAAAAACTCCTCCTCAGTGTGAGGGCAGGAAAGCGAACTGACGAGTACTCACACTCATCGCATGTAAGATGCGCCTTCTGGCAGTGATGGCACGCTCGATTTGTCTTCTTTTTCCGCGGCCGTTTGCCGTCACCTGGTGCAGGCGAACTTGAAGAGTACAGATATACGTCTCCTGCGTTGCTTTCCGACATCTCCATGGCCGCTGATCTCTGCGCCACTCCTGCGGTGAATGGACCCGCTACTGGCCCTGATGCCGGATGCTTGGCAGTCCCCTTTGATTGCTTTTCCGGCGAGGCCTTGCCAGATGCAGAAGATGGGGTGCTAGGTAGCTTGCTGCTTTGTGCGGTAACGCTGCTGGGTCCGGAAAAGCTAGCCTCCGACACATTAGACCCTGGACCAGAGGGTATGCGCTTCTCTGTCATTGCTGCTGGGGTTGTTGGCTCTTCGAATGCTTGCTGCTCGTTCAAATGTGACGGCCCATGCAGATTGTGATGTTGATGTTGATGCTGATGGTGTTGATGGTGATGATTATGTGCGCTTGCTAGCGAATGCAACGCGCCTGCAGCGTGCTGTGAACCGAAAGATGAAGAGCGGGAACGAGAGGGAGTCTCGCAAGTTATGGACGAGACTGGCGTCACAGCCCTGCCTTCGCGATCCCGATGAGGACCCGTAGAGGCAGTACCGCTACCATTTGCTGCAGATGCTGATGGATTTGAAGCACCCTGAGAAGACACACTGCCGTTGCTTGCACCATGCGTCCCACTCTGCTGCTGAAGGTAGTGATGATGGTGCAATCCCCCGAGTATGGCAGCTGCCGTCGAGGCAGCGGACGGCGGCGAGAGGGGAGCCATGCCTCCCCGCGCTAGCACATACTCAAAGCGCGCACGCACGGGCAGATGATGGTCTTGGTCACACACATCGGCTACAAAAGTAACAAAAGGACCTTCGGTGCCTTGAAAGTGGTTAACAAAATGTGTGGTTTCTGCACTTCCTCCGGCATGCAATGCTGCCAACCCGCTGCAAGCCCGAAGTGGGGGAGTGTGACCCACTCGCCCGTGAGTGCCGCTGGGCGCTGCGGCCCTCACAGCTAACAAAAAGAAAGAAATCATTTGCCGCACTGGAAGCTTTTTCATTCGCACTCGCTCGGTGATGGCAGCGTGACGGAGAGAACGTTATAATATAGCATCGCAGCAACGGGTATACATAGATGGAAAGTGCTCTATAGAGTGACGTCTCCCGCTCTCCCTTCAGCCTCCAACTTCGCCCAGTCGCTGCGCGCGATCTGGATCGCTTCCTTGACCGCGCTCTGCTGCAGCACCTCGCCCACCCATGCCATCAACACGTCGTCATTTTCGGGTATAAAATAGGAGGAGAGAGATCCGAGGGTATGTTCAAATGAGCAGCAGGGATCGCTTAGCTGCACCCGGTAGGCCCACAGAATGGCGAGCGCGACAATGACGAGTACGCTGGGGCCTTCGAGAAGGAACGCGTCCCATATGCGCAGCTGCGTGTCGAAAGGCACGACACTGTTGAACAGCGTAATGTACCACTTGGTGGCATACGAGCTCGTCGTGATCATGTGGCCATCGAGCTTGGCGAGCACGTCCGGCATGAACGCCTGCATCAGCTGCCTTTGCACGTAAAACAGCTCGACCAGGCCGGGGAACCCTGGCTTAAAGACTTTGTGCAGGCCGTACGCATCGTGAAGGCCGACCATGGACGTGTATGCTTGCTCCGGGAGAAGGTAGCAGAGGAAAGTGGCGGCGATCGGGCCCATGCCTTGGCAGTACGCACATGCGTCGCACAACAGGCTGAAGGTGTGCAGCACGCGGAATAGGTTGCGTTGGCCCAGTCCGTAGCGGGTGTGGAAGAGAATGTGCCCATTGATCGTCCTCGGCACGTCCAAGTCGATCTGGACATCGTGGCTGGAAGGCAGGTGCATGGCTTGCGCAAATGAATGTAATTTGGAAGTAGCTTGAGAAGACTGCTGCCACCCTTTGCCTTTGAGCGTTTCGACTTGCTGTCGGATGAGCGCTTCCCAGACGGCGGCTCGCCATCGATCAGGAATGCCCTTGAAGACGCGCCTGCGGACTTTGCGTGCATTCGTGTTGGCCGACAGTTTGAACCTCGTCGCTGGTTCATCAACCGATTTGATAGGAACCAGCATTTTCTCCCACTTGGCGATGCGACCCAGTTCCTTCTTCCTCAGCTGACTCTCCGCGCTATTGCGCTTGGAGAAGCCCACTTCCGCTGCTTTCTGAGCAGCATTGACCTCTTCATCAGCTGCAAACGCGTCCAGCCCGGAAGTCGCCAAGGGAGAGGATGTGACACGCCGTGCTGAACGTACTTTGGGCAGCTTCTTGAATGGAGCAGAGTGCAGCACCACGACTCGGCCTTGCGCGATGCGCGTGCTCAGGTTCGAAGAAAAGAACCCATATCTGAAGGGGTATAGGTGATCAGTGGTTGCAAGCACTCACTCATCGACGTGGTACGCTCACCTGTCGATGCGATTGATGAGTTCGTCGTAGCCCTCGCTCGAGACTTCCTCCGCAGAGCTGGCCGTGACGGGCACCTCCTCACCCCCGGTTCCTTCCGCAGCAGGCTCGAGGGTAGTAGCAGACGTGGCACTTGCTAGCTCTGCGAGATCCTCTTCGCCGGTTGCCGGCGCACTGAGTGCGGAGCTCTGAGTCGAGTGGTGGCGATCATCAGGGTGGGTGAGGCCCACCTCGAGTTTTCCTTCCCGCCAGACGCTGCCTGCTCCCAGCTGGGATGGTCTCGGAGCTGAATGTCGCGCAGAGGCCTTCCTCAGGCGCTCCCACGGGTAGACCTGACACTTTTGTCGGGTGAACTCGTTCCCTTCCACGAAGCCGTCGCCCGAGATGCCCTCTTTGTCAAAGTATGCATACGTCTTTCGGACAAGCGCACCCTCAGAATCAGCCGGTATGGCCCACTGCTCGGATGGATTTTCATACGATGGAGCTGGAGATAGGAGCAACGCCCCTCCTTCTGTAAGTGGTTCCCGTTGTGGTGAGGCAAACGAAGCGGCGGTTGTGGCACAGCTGCTCCGAGGCAGATCGGGCTTGGACTGAGGAGGAGGTGGCGGCAGAGATGTGGCCACGGGTGAGCTCGATTTGCTTGCAAGCAGCAAGGGCCTCAGCTTTGGAGAGGGATTGGGTGATGCCGCGTGCGAGGCGCCAGCAGCATTCGGAGAGGGGCTAGGTACGGATGACAAGCGCTCAGCTGCTACAGCCTCTGCCATCGCGACGTCAAGCGCTCGCCGCGGGCACTCGATATTCTCTCCAGGAGGACTTGCTTTCAGCGTAGAGTCGCATTCTAGCTGGCGACTGATCCCCTATTAATATCCAATCCGTGGGGAAAGGAGATCGTCCCAAGGTCAGAGTGGGTCTGAACAATCCAGATTGCTGGGCCGTGGGCGTGACCACTGCCATCAAAGTCCCACACTGAAGGGGCAACGCAACAACGCCTTCAAGTCGCGCACTGTCGTAGTGCCCAAGAAAATGCACTCCCCAGTGTGGTCTACTCAAACTCGACTTGAGCTCGTGCGAGGTCTAGATGCAACATTTGACTGTATCTGCTGGTACCGGCCTGTTCGAGAGCTGGCTGGTAAGTCACGAGCGGGAATCATCTATGTGTATCAACCCTCAATGAAGCACCAAAGGTGCGAACCAGGGCACATCCTTGACGGAGAGGGGCAGATAGGGAAGAGCATGCTCGTCGTGAATGAATAATGCTACACAGGACCAATGCCAGCTTGCGTGTCCCTCGTTTACCGACCGCAACATCTTCACCTTCGCCGTCGTCCGCGCTCGACGCGATGCTGCTGCTGCTGCAACTACTTACTGTCGCCCGACCTGCGTGAACGCGGTGAGCTGGGCGTCGTAATGTCCTTGGCGATCTTCTCGAGCGACTGGAAACAAGAAGCAGAGCGAAGCATCAATACCTGGGTTGAGGGCTAAATATCACAGTGGGAGACCACCACTCACCGCATCGCCTTGGCCTTCTTCCCCTTGCATCGCTTCTCTCTATAAGGCACAAAAGGGCAATGCGCGCGTTAGCATCTCCGATGAGTGCGCGATCTGCGCAAG